ACTGTTCTATCATAATAGTTAATATAAATAGCTCCAGGAATACCAGTTTAAATTAAAAAACATAAATCCCATGATAAATAATATGTTGTTTCTGGAGGAGATTATTGTGGATAAAAAGAAATTAGATTACTCTCTAATAATGATGATAAACTTAACCTTTAAATTGTATAATTGGATGAAATTGAATTGATTCAATAAGATATTCCATAGTTGATAACTTAAGAATAAATTATAGATTTAATAGAAAAAGAGAATGACAAATTCATTCTAAGAAATCTTTTAATTATTGCAAGCAAATTTTAATGGAAAGGATTTAATGTTGAGAAAATAATTAATAAAATATTAAATTTAGCCACTCTCTATTAAGGAGATAATAAATTTATTCAAGCCTGGGAAAGATTAATTGATAATAGATTATCTCCTAATTATTTCTTTCCTTTAGAAGTAAGTAAATCTATTAAATTTTTATAACAATCTTAATAAGTTGAATAAGAGGATTAAAAGATTGAACCTTTTGTCGAGAATGTGGATAATACTATTATAGTTGGTAGTACTTATATGTAATCATTACCTGAAGCATGCATTGTGTCAAATGAACTTAAATTAGTATAATATTGGGAGAAAAATATATTACCTAAAATATATGATTATGTTAAGGGTTCTTTAAGACCATATGAAATAGAAGATTTCTTTGAATAAATACGATAATAATTAAGAAAAGGAGAATAACATAGAGCCTTAGAAATAGCATATATAGTATGTGATTAAAGAATGCCTAATGGTGTTGTAATTCCTGAATCTAATCATGACTGGAGTACATTGACAATTGAAGAAGTATAAGCTGGATAATATGTTTTATGTAGACTTATTGATAAAACATCAGAACAATTATATTCTAAAGAATATTTACATTACAAAAAGTAAGGTTAAACTTTTATTTGTGGATAAATCATTGGTGTTGATTAAAGATCATCCTCTATTTTAATTACACATATGGATATTAATAATTCTTAACTTTATGCTACTTGGTTCCCAGTAAGTGCTCTCAAATAAGTTTAATTATACATTCCACCTAATGCTAATGCATATCAACAAGAAAAAATCTAAAAAGAATATAATCGAGAATTAGACTTAGAACTTAGTAAATAAGCCAGATTATTATTTATATTGATTAGTCAAACTATAAATATAGATCCTATTACATATTTATAATTGGCTATGTAATTTGAAGGTTCATGTATTAATGGTTGGCTTACTGAATAATTAATTGATGATAATACCAAAACTAATTAAAAATTAAATCAATTTCTCTCAAATCCAGATTCAATATTTACTTGGCTATTAAAATCTTTTGATTCTATTCATTAATTTGTTAATAATAATAAATTACATCTAGATTTAGTTAAATCTCATAAAAAACCTTTAGAACTCAACTCAGATCTTGATATTGCTGGTATAGCTATTGTTTTTAAAAATGATGCTACTCTATGCACTTGTTCTGGAATCAATTTCTTTAAAGATAGATTGGGCATTAATGATTTTTATACCATAGGTAGTGGTAAAGAAACAAGAGGTAGATTATCACCCATTATTTTAAATTAAAAAACTGTTTATTGTGAATATTATTTTAATGGAGAAGCATTACCTATTTATTAATAAAAATAATGTGTTTCTCGTTTACCTTGTGTTGTTTACAAAATTCCTACTTTATGGAACACTGTATGTTATGTGATTGATTAAATGAGCACAATCTTTATTAAAAACAAAGATATTTAAAATATTAAAAAAATTAATTAAATTTTAGAAAAAGTCTATTAATTACAACCTCATATTCTTAATCAATCTATTATTAAATTATTAATTAGAAATATACGCAAAATGCAAACAATCTCACATGAAACTTTAAAAGATGAATTTCTTTCCTATTTAATTAATGATGCTGTCAAAATATATAATATTTAAAAAGTAGAACCAAATGTTTTATATTCATCTTATTTCTAAGATATCACTGAATTATTGGCTCTTGCCATCCCAAACAAAACTAAAATTTAGATTCCAGATTGGTTAAATTCTTATCGCAACATTATTTAAATTGCAGAATTCATTAAATGTGGAAAATCTTTATATAATGAATAAATTGAATAAATTAATGCAATGTTACAAACTAATTAATGGGATAACTTAATCTATATGAATGAATTGCCATGTGATATATAAGATGTATTATAAGACAAATAAGTTAGAATTTTAAATCCTTCTATTGATATTTTAAAAAAGAATAATTAAGCTCTCATTCTTGTAGATGGATTTTAACTATTAAATTTAGAAAATATTGAAATTGAATTACCACCTGAACCTCTCTAAGAAACTCTTAAACTATGGGAATGTGAATTATGTACTTTCGCTGAAAATGTTTGGGATTCATAATAATGTGCTATGTGTGAAAATCCAGCTCCAGCAAATAAAATTCCATATAAAGCATCTGAAGATCAATCTCAATAAATAGAATAATAATAAACTTAAATTAATGTTGATGAGGAAGATGAAAAAGCTGATATAAGAGAAAGACAATTTTTAGAAGATCTTATTGAAAAAATCAAAGAAAAGATTTAATTATATTACACTGATTTATAAAATTAAAAATAATAAAAAATTAAAGAAATTAATTAAGCAATTGAAGTTCAATAAAATCTTTTAAAATAACTCAATAAATAAATGGAAAAAAAATAAAAATAATATAAATCTAAATCTAAATTAAAATAAAACTAATAACCACAAAATGAATTATAACAATTAAAAATTTAGGATTGCTAACTAAAACTATAAGAACTTACTTTAGAGTTGTTATCTATACAAGAAAGTAAACTTGAAAACAATTTCTAAATTTATTTTGGTAAATAAGTTTTTGAAAAGGCAATATCATTATTAGATGAATTCTTATTAAAAAGATTAGAATATTTCAGAAAACAAATCGATCCTAAATACTTAGAAGAAATGAGTAACATGGATGCTTTAGAGAGTTGGAAATACTTAGAATCTTAAGGTTATGATCTTCATTATTAATAAATTCATAACCCAAAGAATATTTAAATTCTACCAATTTAATAGATGAAACATTTACTTAAATTAATTGAATTTGATATTTGCAAAGAAACTAAAGCTGTAAGAGTTTATAATCCAAAAAATATTAGAAATCAAATAGATGAATAGGCTATTAATTATTAAGATTATATAAATAGTTTAACAAAATATTAGGATATTGTAAATGCTCCAATATTGATAATAAGATAATCATGGGCTATTATAAAATTATTCAATCGTTATTTAGAAACTTGTGGATAATTTATAAATATGGATGTTCCAATAGGTACAACATAATAATTCTAATAAAATACAATATTTTTATCAATGGGCAATTATATGTAAGTTTTAAGATAGTTGTGTATGACACCTACAAAAGTGGATATTGTTCAAAGAGTTTTAAATAAAACAAGTATAAGTAGAGATTCAGCTCCAAAGATAAATGTAGAGCGTATTCGTTTAGCTAATCGTAATGGAAGAACAAATCAATAAGATTTCTTATTTACAATAGCTTATGAATAAATGAAGAATATACCACCAACTTTATTAAGACCTATAAAACCATAAGGAACTGATCCATTTTTGGCATTTGAAGTAAATTTCAAGGGTGAAGATGTATAAGGTGAAAGTGGTCCATATAGATAGTTTTTTGCAGATATTAGTAAGGAATTATAATCATCATAATTATTATTGTATCCATCAACAAATAATCAAGCAAAATTAGGTAATCATAAGGATAAGTTTGTTCTAAATCCAAGTGCTAAATCTAATTATTATTTACATTTATATGAATTCTTAGGAGTATTGATGGCAATTGCTATAAGAACTGCAACTCATTTCTCTTTAGATTTACCATCAATATTTTGGAAACAAATTGTTGGTGAGAAAATTACATTTGATGATATTGAACAAATAGATGCTACTATGTGCAATTTAATTAATTTTATGTAAGAATGTCCTGAATCAACATTTGAAGAGAATATATTTGAAAATTGGGTAACTCTAAGAACAGATAAAAGTGTTTAAGAATTAAAAGAAGTAATTAATATATATATATTAAATTATAGAATGGTAGTAAAATACCTGTAAAATATGAAGAGAGACTAGAATATATAAATAAATTAATAGAAGTTAAATGTACAGAAAGCGAATTATAATGTGAATGTCTTATAAAAGGATTAATAAAAATAATACCCTCACCTTTATTGAATTGTAAATATCTATTTATACATTAAAATAGGGGTTTCAGCAGAAGATCTAGAATTGTGGGTTTGTGGAAGACCTATAGTAGATGTAGATCTATTAAAAAGACATACAAGATATTCTGGGGATTTGAATGAAAATAGTGATAGAATTAAATTCTTTTGGGAAACTTTATATGAATTATCAGAATAAGAGAAATTGAGATTTATTAAATTTTGTTGGGGTCAAGAAAGATTACCAGCTAATGATGAAGAATTCGATCGAAACTAAATTAGGTTCATGATTAAACCTTCAACTATTAATACCAAATAACCAAACAAAGCTTTACCAAAAGCAGATACATGTTTCTTTAATTTAGAATTACCAAACTATTCTAGCAAAGATGTATTCAAATATATTTTATAAATTTAGATTTAAAAAAAATAATTATTAACAGCAATTAATTTAGATTGTGACAGTATGAATGCTGATCCTAGAGTCAATCTAGATCCAAATGCTAGAAATCGAAGAAATAGGGAAGATGATGAAGATGATAGTTTGTTTGAGGAGTAAGAATGATCAAATCATTTATATAAGAAGTATATTAGTTTATTTTTGAAATCTATCTCCTTAAAACATTATTATTATAATTTATTTAAAATTATTATCTAATCTTTTTTAAATCAGTTTTATAGATAAGTTTTAATTTCATATTCACAAAAATATATACTTATAATTCAAAATTTGATTTAAGAATAGAATATATTATGACTATAAGATTCTTATTCATAAAATTCTTAATTATTTTAATCCTCTCCAATAGTATTTACATTCTCAAAATCATTCCTTATTTCTTATTATTCTTCTATTTACCCTCTTTATTGTAACTTATATATCAAAGCAGCCTTTTTTATCTTCGATTTATTTTTTCTTATAAATGCTCGAAGAAATCCCATTTTCTTATTTGCAAATTCCTCAATTTAACTTATCAAACGGACCTTCTTAAATATCTAAACGTAATCTTCTAATGTTTTTTTTGGAATTTTAACTAAGTTAGCAGCTTCTTGTAGAGTTATCCTTTGTTTTTTTTTATTCTCTTTAGTTATACCTTACTCATATAATCTTCTCCATTCGTTTACTCTATACATAGCATCATATACACTTCTTTCCTTCACTCTTTTTTCAGGAAAAGGACAATAATTGTCTTAAAAGTCTTGAATCATTAAGTAATTAAAAATAATTATAATTCTCTTTTAAAATTAAAATTTAAATAGTCATCTTATCTATCTATATTAATTCTATTTGATTTCATTTTCTTTCATTATATGATTATATCTACATATGCCTAATATATACTTATAGTATTAAAATATTCTATTTATAATAAATTATTTATATTCTTCATATTATATAGAAGTCTGAAAACAAATTCATATATTTATTAAAACAAAAATGTTTAAATAATCAAAATTATGATAGTTTGAAATAATAAATATCGATTGTTCTAGAATAAATATTTAATGAATAAAAATAATACAATTACAATTATAAAATATAATTGATTGAAAATAATGCAAGATATTTTTTATGTATTATACTTATTCTAATCATTAAGCATATTATTTTGTTTCTGATCTAACTGTTTGTTCAAATTTTGTTTTATCATTTTTATATAATTCCATCGCTTTTTGATTAAGTGCTTAATCGGTATTAACTTATCCCATTATGTTTAAGATTTTTTCTAAGACTTATTTAACAGTTTTGGTTGGTTGCCATTATTCCTAATGTTATATATTACAATTTACTTTAGTTTCAATCATATCTTCACAGAATTCTCCCTTTTCTGTAATATTGGGATGAAAAATTTTAGTTGTAAATATAAATTATGGGGCTTTGAAGGGATAGTTTTCTGGAAAAGTAATTTTTAACATAAAATTGCCTCCTTGATATGCTGTACCTTCTGGTCCTGAAACTATTGCTGTCCATCTTTACAATATATATTTTTATACACTAATCTATTATTAGCTTCTGAACTAATCTTAACACCGTGAAGTGGACTATTTTATGTTAAATCTAAAAATTCCTTATTCAATCTGTTTTACATTTTCTATAAATAAAAATTTATGATTTAAATCTTTAATATTTGAGCTTGTTTTTTTTATGTATAATATAAAACAGTGCAGAACCATTAATAACTTTCTTTTTTGTTATTTTTCTTATATAATGAGGTTTGTGATTATCAACTTATATGTTTCTGTAACTATCAATATGTATATATGCTCAAAAAGTTTGTTTTCTCTAAAGATCAGATTTTTTATTATTTATAGTCTTTTAATTGTTGGAATAAGCTGTTTTTAAATAAATTTTCTATTTATTATTAATCAAGATTAGACAATAATTTTTTATTATCTTCAAATTCTAGATTAAGTTAAAACTCAAAAAATATAGTTTTTTAGTTATTTATTAATTTAAAATTTTAGTTAAATTAATAATTATAACTTATAAAAGAAATAAATCATGTTTTAACAACATCTAATACTGATTAAAATTAAACTACTATCTTTTAAATACATTTATTCAAAGTTTAAAACTCATATAGTTATTGCTTTATAAATATTTGAATAGTTATTTTTGTTTTAATTTTAGTTTCATGATTATTGTTATAAAATTCCGATTAAATGCAATGCATTTTTATTTTGTTAAATATTATCTCTAAAATAATCAAAAAATGTTTTAGAAACTCAAAGCAAGTATTTTCAAATCATCCTTTAATCATCTTTAAGAAGCTTTTAGAATGACAAGATGGACAGGATGTACGACTGAACAATCAAAATCTTAATTAAACAATTTCGAATAGTTAATCTTGGATTCAAGTCAAAATATCTAAACTCAGGATGAATTATCCGAAAAATAATATTAATTGCTGATGTATGTTTTGAATAATATTGTAAGAAAAAATACTATTTTGATACAATCATACTTCAAAAGTTATTTATCGAAAAAAAAATATGCTTATATGAAAAAATGGGCAAAATATAGAAAGCATGTTTATTAAGAGTTAATAATTACAGAATAAGTTTACTTAAGTGATCTAAAGGCAATTATTGATAATATATTAATAATAGCCGAATAATAAAATCTATTACCAGAAAACGAGATACAAACAACTTTTAGTAATATCTGTCACATTTACAATTTCAATAAGAAATTTTATGAAGAAATTATAAGTAAGAGCATAATATTAATTCAATTTTAGAAGAGTTCAATAACTACCATCCAAACTCTTGTTTTGGAAATGTATTTCAAAAATTCATTCCATTTTTCAAAATATATTTCTAATATTATGCAGATTACAAGTCTTATCAAATAAATTATTTAAGATAAACATATCAAGATTTTGATAAGCATCTGTTTAATTTAGAAAAATAAGATTTTTTTAGAGGAACTGATTTAAACTCGTTTTTAGTAAAACCAATTTAAAGATTACCTAAATATGCATTATTAATAAAAGATTTAGTTAAACACACTTGGAAAAGTCATCCTGATTATTAGAATCTTTAATAAACTTTTTATGAATTTAATTTAGTTACTTTCAAAATAAATCATTTAATGGGAAAGTATGATTTTTTATTTATTTTATCTTAGTATTTTAAAAAATTAAGCACTTTTTGATTTATAGAAAAAGTTTTTCGATCCTTTAAATGTTGATATTGTAGAATCAACAAGAAACTTTATTCTAACTGAAACAGTCTACTTAAAAAATTATTAAGAAGATCCTGCTATTTTATATTTGTGTAATGATTTAATAATTATATCAAAAAAAACAGAATTTAATGAAAAATAAATAAATGAAAGATTGTTAACTTATCTCTATATAAATGAGTATTCATAAATATGGGATGCTAGTTAAGATTCTCTAACATTGATATTTGTAACATAAGATTAAAATATCAAATTTATGTGCTAAGATTAAGAATAATAATAAAAATTATTAGAAGAAATTAATAATCTCATAAAAGCTAATCATTAATCTAGTTGTTTGATTAAAAGTTCATTTTAAATTAATCCTGTAAGGGTTTTCGTTACATAAGTATCTAGAGGAAAATCAAGAATTCCATTCAAAACATATGCAAAATTTGAGATATTAGTATTAATATTTAAAAATGTTAGGTTGTTTTTGATAAGAGAGAGTATAGAATATGGACTAGACATAAAATTTTGTTAAAGATACAAAATACTTTAAAGAAATAATATTAAAAGGATTATGAATCAATGAAAGAAACGAATATTTTATTTTAAGATTGGATTAAAAATAAATTGAACAAATAAAATTATGATGGAAGAAAAGTTATTGTGGAAACATTTTTAGAAATTCTTTTAAATTCTCAATATGTGAAATCTAAACCTGAAAGTTATCTGAAATTTTTAGATCTTCCATAAAATTTTTATTAAAAATTCAATGAATCTTAGTTCACAAACTGAGACAAGTTCGTTAAAGATTCATGAAATAAATTAACAATTTTGTATTTATATAGAAATATCTATTACAAACAAAAATAAAAATATTTTAATGTTGATTTTGTTTTTTTTGTTTTAAAGAAAAAAGAAAACAAAAAAGAAAATGAAATTATTTGGAAATATAAAATATAATAATGATCTATTTTTTCATTTTCAAGTATGATCTCATTTTTTGAGGGAGAAGAGTTTGCCAAGAAAACCTGTGTTGCTATTAAAATAAAACATTCCTCCCATAACCAATAATAGGACTAGCATCTAATAAAATATAGAATAAAAGAATACTTGCATCCAAAACTCTGTTGAAAATAATGTTTTTTTCAAGAATGAAGACTCTTATTGAGGTTTTACAGGTTCTGGATGTTATTTTAAGTATTCTTCTCTTTCTTTTTCTTCTTATTCTCTTTTTTTCTTAAAATAATCTGTCATAGCATATTCAAAGACCTAAAATAGTTTTGAAATATTATATACTTCAAAATTGAATTTTCCTTAACCAAAAATTTCAGTAACATTTTCTCTACAAAGTCTTATGAGTCTTCTGACATATTTTTTGTTAGTAAAATTTAATTAATGTTTTATAACAAGTTCTTTGAGTATTTCATCATTTTCATAATCAATTAAATCCAAATTCATATAAAATGACATTGTTTATACAGTTTCTAAAAGTCTTTATAATTCCTATTTTGCAATCTTTACTTGATCATATTTCTTTTATTCCTAATAAAATAAAAAATAGATATTACAGCATAGAATTCAATAATCCTGTAATATTTATTAACCATTTCTTTAACAATTTCATATTCTTAATGTTCTTATGTTAATTGTGGTAGACATATTCGATATAAAAATTATTTATCTGTTTCATTTTGTTATTAAATTAAATCTTCTGGATCAATTACATCAGTAACACCTTCTTCATATGGAACTTTTCCATCTTCAATCATTTCTTATTCAATTTCATCAATTTCTTTTGCTCTTAGAAATAATGGTTCAACAATATCTTAAACCCATTATTTCTTTTTTTTTAAGGCTTCCATAACTCTATGTGCATGTTCAACATAAATTTCTTTAGCATTTTCTAAGCCCATCAATTTCAATATACCAGGACCTTATTTGAAAATATTTTCAACATTTGATAAATTGATAGCTTTTTCAATAAGTTCTTTAGCTTTTATTAAATCTTTATAAGTTGACCATTTATCATATAAAATGGCTTAAGAATATCTAAATAAATATTATGAATTTTCTTTTTAAATAACACCTGCATCATCTAATATTTTTCTAGCTAAATCAAAATGGGACATTTTCATATAACAAACAGACATATTAAGATATAGACCATACATAATAGAATTACACATTTCTTTATCAGCTTCATCCTTAATAGATTGAATGAAATGAATACTTGAATGTGTTCAACTCCATTGTACTTGACATTTTCATCAGTGTAAATTGTCATTAATGATTTATATTATTTTTTGAATTCTTTTTATTCTTTTCTATATTATTTAGCTGATTTTTTCATATCTTCTAATTCTTTTTTCTCTTTTTCAGTCATATTCGAAGTATCTTATTATTGATTTGTTTCATCTTCATCAGAATCTACTTCAGGAGGTTCTACAACTTCTAAATAACGAAAACAACCAAGAGCTCTTTCATAATATCTAATAGCCTCATCATATTCTTATTTTTGTAATAGTTTATTTCCTGATTATGAAATATAAGCAATACCTTTTTCTCTAAACTTATCATAAACAAAAAATCTTTAAGCCACCTCACATTATCTAAGTTTTTTAGTATTTTCATCATCATGAAACAATGTACTTTTTAAATATATTGGATATGTATCAAATACTTTTCTTCTATCCTTTATGGGACCTATGAATTCTATAATAATAAGCCTTACCTTTTTTAACTTCTTTAGAATCAAATGCTAGCATCCATAAACCTCTTGTATCAAGTAAATAATTCAAAGGACTTATATAATAAGTGTCATATTATTCTTCAAGGTGAGCAAGTGGAGGATTTCGTTTTTTTTCACTTGACATGAATGGACAACCACCTTTAGGTTACTTCTCTTTTTTCTCTTTTTTCTTTTCAGCACTTCCATCTGCAATTTTTATCTCTGGTTGTTGTTGCATTTGTTAATAAGGACATTTTGATTTATCTGTATAATTTTCATGACCTTTTGGTTGTTTCATTGCTTCAGAAAAAGGACATGAACCAAATTCAATATCTTTCTTTTAGGAACCTTGATTACCTTGCATTGATTTCAAATATATTTTTAATTATGTATAATTGTTTCTCAAGAGGAGTTCTTGAATTATATATAATATATTTATTCACTGGTCTATGACAATCATTTTTAAAACTCTTTCTACATATACATCATCATCATTATTTTATTTATCATCAATAACTTTATTTGATTTCTTTCTCATTTACTATTTTAAATCTTTTAATTCATCACCATCATCATAATCTAATCATAAGTATTTACCTAACCTTTCTTAAATCGAAATTATATATGTTTGGTAATTGTTATCCTTTATTATTTTATTTTATTTCATCAGAATCTTATTCATATTAAAAACTATTCTATAAATTATGTCTAACCCATTACTAATCACTTAACCTATAATATTTATAATTGCTCAACATCAGATTACTATTATTTCTTTAACAATTTTAAACACTTTAATCTCAAACCTTGAATTTATTCTATCCAATTCTATTTCTAGGATCTATTTTAAACACTCTCAATTGACATAATTAATCAATGCATCCATTATCAAATTTATTCTATTTTACTTTTTTTCTTAAATATTATAATAAAATGAACAATCACTCTTTGAACAATTTTAATTTAATACATTATTTTGTTTTAAATAACATTGGAAGATATACAAGTTCTTTTTAACCACTAAATTTACAACAATTAAATCCTTCTCAACATTCATTATAGTACTCTAATATATATTTTCCTGTGTTCCAATTTAAACAAGCGATTGGAATTTAATTATAAATTTATGGCTTTCTAAAAAAATCCTACCAATTATGATTAAAAACTGACACAATATACTCTTATAATAAAACATAAAGAAATCATCATCCATCATATTTTAAATTATGAATCAATTCTATAACTATATTTCCTTCAAAATATATATGCGAAAGAGCAAAATTTTCTATAATCAAATTCACAAATATTATTTGGATAATATGAACAGAATTTCCTCTTATAATTATCTGCTCTATAGAATTATTCTACTTAATTGTGCTTTAATAAAATTATCACCATAAGACATTATTAAATATTTCCAACATATGCACATAATTCTGCTGAATACTATGCATTTTTCTACATTTTGATTATTCCTATATAGTAGGGTAATTTAATTTAACAAACACTAACTTTTATCTATATTTAGCATTTTTTTGGTAGAATGGACAATTTTTATGGTTTATAATACCTGAAATTTTGCAAGGTTAAATTCTAAAGAAACTCAGGTCCAAATAATCTACTTAATTTATGGATTTGTATTAATTATGAGAAAATGAGTGACATCAGTTGTATCTAAAATATAATTATCCTTATCTGTATCCCTTAACTTAGCATTCCGCTAAGATACATTATTCATGCTTTTCATTTCTTTTGGAACTAAAGATATTTAAAGTTATTAAGAGCTTCAATTAAAATTTTATTATTGGCCTTATCGGCGTTGTTGTAACGTTTTAATGCTTTTTTTTAATTGATCCTATGGCTTTTACATTAATTAATTATTTATTATTAAATTTAATGATACCAAAATCAAAAAATGTACTATGTTTTTCTATTGAGTAACATGCTTTAATATTGATAATAATTTCAATTTTTATTGAATTGTTTTATTGATGAAAGGTTTGAATATTTTTAAATTCTTTGTACATAACTTTAATATTATAACATCAATCTTAATTTTTTAAATTAATCTCTATTGGTATATAATAATATTATAATCATTACAACAAAAATAAATGTAGTTTTGCTATAAATTATTAATATAATAGATATTGCCAATTTTATGATCATAAATTGGATATAAATTTAATAAATTTAAACTCAGAAAAATAGTATAAATGTTTAAAGTAGAAAAAAAAGAATTAAAAAATATAGTAAATAAATAATAATTGAGAGTGGTTAAGAATTGGAGATGTAGAAAAATAAGTTGAAGAATTATGTTAAATAGCAGTTAATAATTTATTTATATAATTCATTAATTTTAAATTCAAATTTGACACGAAATGAAGAAATAATTCAAAGAAGAAGCAATGCCTCTTATTTTTTATTAATAAGAAAGTTAAAGTAAATATTTGTTAAATTTGAACAGCTTATCAAGTAAATCCTGAGGCGATAGAAATAATAAAAAATATTCCATAACCAATAGGAATAGTTGGTGTAGCAGGTATGTATAGAACAGGAAAATCATACCTTCTAAATAGAATGCTTTTAAATAGATCTGATGGTTTTGGTGTAGGTCCAACAGTATTACCATGTACAAAAGGATTATGGATGTGGGGTAAACCATTATTAGGATAAACAAATGAGGGAGAAAGTTGCTCAATATTAGTTGTAGATAGTGAAGGATTGGGTGCTCCAGATGAAGACTCTACACATGACATTAGAATATTCTCTTTAACAATCTTATTAACATCTTGTTTCATCTACAATTCTGTTGGCAGTATAGATGAAAATGCCCTCCAAAATCTTAGTCTAGTAGTCAATCTTACTAAAAATATATAATTAAAAAGGTAAATTATAATTTTATATTTTTAGTGGGTAATCTCTTCAAGATCTTGAAGATTTGTCTTAATACTTTCCATAATTTTACTGGGTTGTTAGAGATTTTACACTTTAATTAGTTGATAAAAATAGAGAATAAATTACTTCAAAAGATTATTTAGAAAATGCACTAACAATCTAAAAAGGATCATCAGATGGAATTGATTAAAAAAATAAAATTAGAAGATTGTTGACTGCTTTTTTTAAAGATAGAGATTGTATTACATTAGTAAGACCTTTAACTGAAGAAAGTAGTCTTTAGAATTTAGAAAACCTGGATTTTGATAAATTGAGACCTGAATTTTTTGAATAAGTTATAAATTTAAGAAAGAAAATACTTAACAGAATCAGACCTAAAATACTGAATGGAAAAACACTTTCTGGTTAAATGTATTGTGATTTAATACGTTCATATGTTACCGCAATAAATAATGGAGCTGTACCTGCTATTGAATCTGCTTGGACTTATATTTGCAAAAATGAATGTTAAAAAGCAGTTGCAGAGGCTTTTGATACTTATGAATAAATTCTTAAAGAAAATCTTCATAATAGATTTCCAATTTCAAATGAAGATTTGAAAGCTTTTAATAGAAGTCTTAGAGAATAAGCATTTGCTTTATTTAAAAAGAAATGTGTCGGAGATGCTGAAGAATTTAAATTAGAATTGTCAAGGAGAATTAAATAACGATTTGTATAAGTAAAATAAGAAAATGATAGAGAAGGATCAAGAATGTGCACTTAATTTATTTAATAAGAATTTTAACCTATAGATAGAAAACTTAAATTAGGAGAATATAAATCTTTTGGAGAGTATGAAAAAGATATTAAAATGTTTTATAACTTTTTTACTGAGAATGGACCTAGAGTAGGAAATAGAAATTAAATCATTTTAGAATTTCTTTAAAGAGCATTGATTGAAGGATCTAATCTATTTATTAGATAATTTGCTTAAGAAACTGATTTAACCAAAAATGTTGCATTTGAAACTTAAAAAAAATTAGAATAGGAATTAAAAGAAGTTAGATAGGATAGTTTAAAAGATAAAAATAATCTTTTGATGAAATTAGCATAAATAGAAAGTGAAAAAAGTGAAATTGAACTTAGAGAATAAGTTGCTAGAGATAATTTGGAAGAACTTAAAATTTAAAAGGATTAAGTAGAAAGAGATTTAAAATTAGAATCTGAAAATGAAAAAATTGAATTAACAAGATAAATTTAAGAATTAAAAGGTTAGGTAATAAAAGCAGAAGAATTCAATAAAGATTTAGAAAGAAATACTTTATTTGGTAATTCTGAATTTGAAAAAGAAAGAGCTTTATTAGAATAAAAAATCACTTTCTTTGAGAAACTAGTGAATGAAATGAATACTAAAGAAGTTGAATATTAAAATGAGATTAAGAATCTTAGAAAAGAACATAATTTATAATCTAAAGATTAATAAACAAAATCAGATTAAATGGTTAGATAATTATAATAGAAATTAAGTGATTTATAAGAAAAACTTAATGAGGTAGAAAATGAATTAATTGAAAAGGAATCAAATTTTGAAAATGATTTTAAAAAGTTTGAACACAAAGAAAGAAGTTTAAGTAAATAAAATTTCGAATTAAATGAGTAAATTCAAACATTGACTAGAGAACTTAGAGAATATAAAAGAAATGAAGAATAGATGTAATAAATGGTAAAGAAAGATGCTAATAATTAAGTTAATGAATTGTTAGAAAAGGTTTAAGTATTAGAAGATTTAATAAAAACAAAAGATGATTAATTCAAATAAATAAAAAGTCATAGTGAAAAAGATAAAGCATTAATGTAATAAAAGATGGAATTTATGGAAGTATAATTGGATGAATATAGAAAATAAATAGAAGAAAATAAAAAATCTCATGAAGCTATAATGAAAGCTTTTGAAAATTCAAGTAATGAATCAACTTATAAGATTGATGCTGCAAAAATGAATGATTTAAGAGAATAACACAAGAGAGATCTTAAAAATATAGAGAATGAATATGAAAATGTTAAAAAGAGATTATAATAATAAGTAGATTAATTAAATGAGAAGAATAGTGAATTAGAACTAAAGGTTAAATTTGAAACTGGAGATTTAATTAAAGAAATTGAGAATCTTAAAGAATAATTATAAACAACAGAAGAATAAAGAAATAAATTGTTTGAATAAAATAAAAATTTAGATGGATAAAAATTATCAATTTTGAAAGAATAAGAATTAAGATTTTAAAAGAAGATTAAAACTTTAGAATAAGCAATGGATGAAGTAGATATTAAAACAGCTAGAGAAGTTAATTAAGCTTAGGCAAAAGCAGAGGAATCTTTAACTTAATTGAAAAATTTTTATGAAATTGAAAGGGAAAGATTAGAAAGGAGAATATGTGAAGAAAAAGAAAAAAGTGATAAAAAATTTTAAGCTGCTTAAGAAGAATTCTATCATAAATTAAGAGAAACTGAGTAAAATTATGAAGAGGAAATCGAAACTCTAAAAGATGATTTAAGAGATTAAGTTTAATAATATACAAATACAATTTAATAATATGATCATGAAATAGCTTTAAAATAATAAACTATTGAAATCTTTGAAAAACACATTAAGGAAACTAAAGAATAACTGATATCACTTTAGAATAATAATAATGCAACATTAGAATAATAAATGAATTCTTTTACTACAGAAAGAAAAGGATTGATTTCTAAAATTGATGTTTTATCTAGTTAGTTAAATAATCTTTAAAAAGAACATATGGCATTATAATAAAAGAAAGATCTTTTGGAAAATGAAAAAACAAGAAAAGAATAATAATTTGAATAGAACAGAAAAGAATGGTAAGAAGAAAAACGAGAATTAATAGATAGATTAGAAGAAACTAAATTAAGATTACAAAAGATGAATGATGAATTTTTAGATAAGAAAATTGAATATGGTAGAGAAACAGCATTAATATAATAATAAAATGAATTCTTATAAAAAAAGATAGAAGATTTATAAAAACAAATTGATACTTAATAAACAAGATTTGATGAAAAAATTAAACAATAAAAGAATGAATATTCTGTTGAATTAGAATAAAAATTAGAAAGAGCATAAGAAGAAAAGACAACAATTGAAGTTAAATATGAAAAGATTAAGAAATAATTGAAAGAGAGTGAATATCAATATAATAAATAAGCTTCAACTTTAGAAAGAGAAAAAGCAATTTTGAATGAAAAGTTAGGAAATTTGGAAACAAGAAAGAATGAATTAGAATCTAAAATAAAAGATGAATCTGTTAATGTAGCATAATAATAAGCTGCTTTAAGAGAATAAATAGCTATAGATAAGAAATAATTATAGTAAGAATTAGAAAAATACAAATAATTTAATATTTAATTAGAATAAGAGAAAAGTGAAATTCATACAAGTTATGAAAGAGATAAGGCTTTGTGGGAAGGTAAATTTTAATTTTTGGAATAACAAAAAGAATAAGCAAAATAAGATTTGGTTGATGCATTAAAAAAATTTGAGATGACATTGATGCATTTATAAAGAGCTAGATCAAATGAAAAAGATGAGTAGGAGAATAATTTAAATGAATTATTGTAAAGTGTTGAGAGAAAATATTAATCATAAATTGAAGAAGCTAATCAAACACATTAAAGGATAGTTTAAGATTATGAAGATAAAATAAGAAGATTATAGAAGGAAGTTAAAACTCATAAGGATAAGATTTTAATTGATTAACATGGTAAAATTGGAAATTAATTACTTTCAGAGAAAAAGTTTGCAGAAATGTTAGATAATGAAAAAAGATTATAATAAGAAATTGAATATGTTAAATAAGATCGAGATTAAAAGATATTTGAATATTAAAAGATATTAGAGTAAGAGAGAGAGAATTTAAAGGCTAAGATAGGTGAATTAGAAACTAAATATAAAGAAGTTGAAAGTAAAAGGTCTACTCTAATTTTTGAGTTTGAAAAAGAGAGAGCCAAATGGAATTTAGATAGAGATCATTTAAATAATATTAAAAATGAATTATCAGATTAATTAGAGAAATTAGGAGACAAAAAAGAATAGTTATTAAGAGAAAATGAAAAGTTAAAAAATGAATAAAGAGCTACTAGACGTAGTGTTGCTGCTCATAATATGACAACTAACAATATTAAAACAGGAAATACATATAGAAATCCAATAAACAACATATCAAGTATTTATTACAAATATAATTTAAGCTATTGGTCTCTAAAAATTAAGTCCAACTCATTCAAATAATACTTCTACTTCTTCAGCTAATATATCTGTTCTTAAAAAAAATAACTTAGCAGATATAACTAATTATGAAAAGACTGCACCTTTGACTTAATAATCCTTTTAAAATAGTAAATACTACTTTTATGGAAATCAATAAGGACAAAATGATGATTCCATTATAGGGTAGAGTGATTTTCAAAAATGATATAATTAATATGTATAAAAATTAAATTTAACAACTATCATAAATTAAATCTTTTATAATATTTATTAGAACCGATAATTGAGATTATTTATAATTAAAATACAACATGACTACATAAAAATAATATAAATTAAAAACTAACTAAATTTCATTCTCCAATTTAATATTTTTATTTTAGAATATTTGATTAATAAAAGTTATAAAAATAAAATTTTACGCCCAAAAAGGGTCTCGATTCCTGGACCTAGAGATTAAAAGTCTCTCGCTTTACCAAGCTGAGCTATTTAGGCGTATTAATATTTAAAATTATTAATATTTATATAAGAACCTTCAAATAATCATAATAACACTTAATAATTGGTATTGTTAAAGATCTTAAAAAAATAATTTAGCTTAAAATACATTAAAACTCTATCTAAAAAAAATAAAAAACTATAATTATTTAATATTCAATAAAATTTATTTAAAATAATTTATATATTTTGGTTATTAATGGATTAGAATAACAATTAAGAAGTTCAAAATGAAATTTAGTATCCTTTTTAACCTATGTTATCAGAAGATCAGTTTCATTTATTTGAAGATGTAAAAGTGAAATTAATTGGTTAAAATGGTAAGGAAATTGAATTCCTACAAAATTCTGGAAATTTACTCATAACAAATGAGAGATTATGTTGGTATAGTTTGTTATAAAATAATGAATCATCATTAACAAATGAATAAATTTAATAAGAAAAATAAAATGAAAAAATTGAAGGAAATGGATCTTTAGTTTCAAATATAAAAGGAAAGTCTTTTATGTTTAATTATGAAACTTTGGTGTCACATGGTTAATAAGGGGATTAATTTATGTGTTTTTTAGGGTCATAAGAAGAAGAAGAAATGGAATTAGAAGAAGAACAAGAAGCCTTAATAGAATTAGTTCAATAATAAAATCCTGCTGAAATAGTAAATCTAGGAAAAGGTGAATATTAGGTATGAATAGATTATAAAAAAGATATATTTTGATCTAAGTAAACTATCAAAGGAAACTTAAATTAAAATAAATGATATATTTACAGAATTAGCAACAGCAAATGTAGAGATGGAAGAAGAAGGAGATGAATTTATGGATGAGATGATTACAGCTGATAATATAGATTAAGATGGAAATATAATTATAAAGAAAAAGGAATAAAAAGAAGATGAAGAAATAGAAGACAATGATGAAGATTATGAAGATGTAGATGATGATGATGATGAAGAAGAAGAAGAAGATAATTAGTTTGTAAATAAAAAGAATAATTAAGAATAAAATTGATTTTCATTTCAATATAATTTCATCAATACAGGATTCTATTCCCATTAATTATTGGACATCTTTATTGAGAACAAGTTCAAATTATTTAAATCTAGGAACAATAAAACTTTTAAATTTAAATTCTGTTGCCAAATTTTAACCATCTCCTTCTTTACAAATTTTAATTGTTTATCCTTAAAAATAACATTGTTCAAATAATTCAACACAATTTTTGTCTGATAAAATCAAATCTTCATCAATAATATAAGCCAATATTGAAACTTATGCTTAAATTAATTATGCATCATTCCCTAAATATCAAATAATTAAATTACAGGTTCCAATTTCTGCTAATACTTTATCATCGTATTTTAAATTTTGTAATTATATTTTTATTGATGAATTCTTAAATAAAAATTCAGTAATACCACCAATCAATATTGGATTATCAACATTCAGATCATATGAAAAACTAATAAATGCTTTACCTTTCTGTTCTTTCATCCAAGGATGATTATTAGATACAGAAAATGGGATAAATTTAGGATATAAAGCATGTTTTGATCCAGATATTATACATAATTTTATCATCTTAACAGAATTTGTTACTTACAAATAAGCATTTCCATTATCAATTTTTTCTACTTAAATTCCAACTTAATTAGAACTTCCTTAAACACCAATAATTGAATATGCAAAATTATCCTCATATACTGGAACAATCAATTACTATTTGAAAGATGTATAATATGCCACTTCAACTCTTGGATCAAATATTGCTAACCATTAAATTTAAAGTGTGATTGGGTTTTCAATATATTTTTTATATATTATTTTAAACCCTTTTTAATTTACTTCAGCTACATCAATTTCAAATCCATATTTTTAACCTTCCATCGATAATTTAGTTAAAGTGATATAAATAACAGGTGTTTCCAAAAATGGTTCTGAAAATGTGATATCTTAAATTAATTTATCATTCTCTAATGTGACACTTTTCTCAATTTATTGCTCAGCTTTCACTCTGTCATAACCAAAAGCTATTGTTATCAGAAGAATTAAAAAACGAAAATTCATTTTATTTATAATTATTAAATAAATAGGATTACTTATAAGGACTAGAAAGACCATCTCTATATTTTTTTGGAAAATCGATTAATAAAGAATATGCAGAATATTTAGACTATTTAGAATATTTAGACTATTTAGAATATTTAGAATATTTAGAATATTTAGAATATTTAGAATATTTTCATATAAATATAGAGTTAAATTCTGAAAAATCTTTAATATTTTCTCAATAAATTGCATTTACAACAAGATGCTGAATTTATTACAAATAAAAGTATTTAAACAATACATGGTAAATAAAATAGAGGTATACTTTATTGATAAGGAATAAATTTTAGTTAGTTTTAGCAGCAATTAAAATTATATTGTAGAAAATTTAGTAGCAAATAATTTTACAGAAAAGTTGGATTTAAGTTTAAAGAATAAGTTAATTTGAATATATTAGATTTTAATAAAAAATTAGTACATTAGAATTATTCAAAAAAAAAATTTATAAAATATATATAAACCTTTTTATAAAATGGATAGGGAATAATAGAGAGTGAAGGAACACTTGAGTTTAAGGGATAATTGAGAAATCAAATAGAATAGATTTTTAGATTTAAAAATTTAGCTTTAAATTTATTATATGATTTGACTCAAATATGTAGGAGAATCAGTTACTATAGAAAACATGCTATAACAATTATTAAGTAGTGAAATAGAATAAATGCAAATTAGATCAAAAAACATGATCTCTGTGAAAGATAAAGCTAATCACAAAGATAAAAATAGATGAGAAAGTTAATTATTAGTTTATTATAATGTATAAATCCTCAGTGATTGATATAGAAATATCTTAAAAGAATAGATATATCTATTTTACTAATCATAATCATAAGATTTATTTACCAATTTAATCATTTAATTAGATCATAAAAATCTAAAAGTAAAATTAAAATATTAATAAATAATTAATTATTATTTAAAATATAGCAAAATAATATTGTTTTAAATGCTAGCTTAATAAATTTTCTAATTTTAGCATACTAAAAAGGATCATTATATTTGCTTAATCCCTATCTTCAATATATCTGATCAAATTAAATTTATAATCCCTTTAATTGGAATAACAAAAGAATATAAAAACTGTTCTTTTAATTGGGTATGTTATAATTAAAATATTATAATATGAATAAGGTTAAAGTTGATTATAGAATCTCATTTATGTACATTAAGAAATGAAGATTTTATTTTTGACTAATAATGATTTAAATGTTTAGTAATTCTATTATAATAATTGCAAATAAACATTATGCCATACAAATTATCAATAGTCATTAGGATTTGGTCTCTATTCATGACCAGAATACCTTTTTTTAATATCATCTATTTTAATTTAATTAATAGAAATTACTTCTTTTTTTTAATCTATCTTCTAATGCATTCTTTTAATTATCAAGATCCTTTTGCATCATTTCATCAAACTGGGCAACATGATCATCATAATCTTGTAAGATTTGCTAAGCTTTGTCATATTCTTTTTCTAATCTATCATGCATGGTTAAATAAGTAGCTAATGAGTTTCTGACTTTAGGTTAATTAATATTCATATATGCTTCCATTTCTTCGACATTTGTTTATTTGCAATAAGATTATTAACTTTTTTCTAACATTTATTATAATTAAATGTTATCACTGTTTTAAATACACTGTCTGACTTAGGGTTGTTCTAATAAACTATTAATTTTATCCTTAAAATAAATCATCAATCCATCTTATCCTTGAAGTTATTCAATAATAATAAGATAGCTATCAATTAAAGTTCGTATCAACTCAATGTTTGGGTTATGTAATTAAGATTATTTTGGCTCTAAAGACAATAAAGATATATAGAATTCAGGAGGTAAAACCTATTTGTTCAAACTTATTTATTAATGTTCTTTTTTCTTTTCTGTAAAATAATTCATGGCTGCTCTACTGTTAACTTAATTCTATTATTATTTTGGAAATATCAAGAGCCGAGGAGACTTTTGTTCGACTTATAGTTTCTTTTAATTCATAAATTTTTATTTGATTATTTATTATTTACCTAAAAAATTAAGAATAAATTTGTAAGTTTAGAATATTGTACAAACATAAATAAAATATCATTTTTTAGCTTATTAAGCAGCTAAATCTTCATCCATTTATTTAAGTTGAGCACCTCCTCTAAGAAGTCCTGATCTTCTGGCAGCTACAAGACCTACTTTTTAACCTGGTGGAGCATATCTTGATAAAGTTGATGGATGTCCAATATGTTATTAATTACCACCACCCTATTTAAAAATGAATAAATAAATTTACATGTGGATGATCTACTGGGTTCATTGCAACACCTCTAACTCTTGGCCATACTTTTCTGAGTCTTCTATATTTATGGAACTGTCTTCCAGCTTTAAGTATAGGTTTTTCAGTTCTTCCTCCACCAGAAATCAAACCAACTGTTGCTCTGCAAAGAGAACTTAATGTTTTTCTTGTACCAGATGGTAATCTAACTCTAGTTTATGCTCCATCATCTGAATGACCTATTATAGTAGCATAACATCCAGTAGCTCTTCCTAAAGCACCTTTATCTCCAGGATGCTCTTCCAAATTGCATACAACTGTACCTTCTGGAATTGAACCTATTGGTAAAACATTTCCTGTTGCTAACTAGGCTATTTAATGATTCTTATATTAAAGAAGAATACCCTTAGAACCGCAATAAATATATTATCCAGTATAAGCACCTTCTGGAGCTATAAAAAGCTTGGTCTATTTTTTGTATTTATAAGGATCATTGAATTCTACTTTAGCTAATGGAGCTCCTCTTCCTGGATCATGAATAATTTCAGAAATCACACCTCTTACATAACCATGTCTTTCAGCATAATCAAGATGTCTATATTAAGGACTTCCAACTCTTTAATTCTAATGTGCTTTAAAAACACTGTTTGATTTACCCTTTCTTTATGCTATAATGATATAAGTTAGAAAACTTACTTCGAATTCTCTTGCCCATATTTAAAAATATATTTTAAATTTTAATATTTATGATTAATCATTTTCCAACTCTTAAATTATCCCAATATCGTTTATATTTTTTATTATGCAATTCTGTTATATTTTAATGGAATCTCTCTTTTCTTTAACTGTTATATTCTAATAAATCGAGATTTTAAGCATGCTTTTAATTTATTTCTTGAATAGATTCGACTCTTGTTTCAGTGTCTTTTATTTCCATTGCTTTTAATAATTCAGTTGCAAGATTTGCATTTTTCTATTTACCTTTTTCGAAACTAGGAATAAATTATGCTTTTTCATTAAATTTATCATATTTTGTGATCATTCTTTCTATTTTTGCTTCTTAAAACATTAAATAATTGACCTTCCTCGTTTTGATTTCTTCGTCTTTAGGCTTGTAGACTACTCAAATTCAAATAAATTACACGTATTTCCAGACATCGAGAGATTCTAACTATTCCAAAATCCATCACTATATTTAGTCTTTAAATGTTAGATTTATCTAAAATCTAAAGAAGGTAAAGAATGATGAGATCTAAATTAAGAATTTCCATAATTATATATTTTCTAACTAACTTTCTCAACTTCCTTTTAAATAAATTTTGGTTAGTTGTTAAATCTTTGATTCAAAAACACCTTTATTTTCTCTGGTGAATTCAATCTTTATTCTAGAAGATCAATATATCCTCCAAATTACTCCTTACCAATATTCTATTTCTTTAATATATCTCCAGAGTTATCTATTTAATACTATTTATCAAATACACCTTGCTGATGTTCTAACCTTAGGATCTTCTAGTTTTTCTTTAAAATCTCTTTTAATTACTCTTATAACTCAACACCTCTTTTAGTTACTGTAATTCGTTGACAGGACATATATAATTAATTAAATAAATGTTTTCTAAATTTAAGAATAAAGAATAATACTATATACTATTTAAACAAACAACTCCAACTATATAATTTTGATCCTTAAATTTACTCACCATTTCCTTATTAATTAACTTTAAAACAAACATTTTTTTATCATTATTCCATATTCTATTCATAATTTAATAACGTATTTTATTCACTTTCCTATATTATGATTGAAAGCTAATCTCAAAATATATTAAATTAAAATTGTTAAAAAGCCGCTTAAATAAATTTTTTATTAAATTAATCATTCTTTATGAAGATTATATCAATAAAACCTATATAAAAATCTCAGCTTTTCAAATAATTAATGATAAGAGATTAATAAATAATTGTTATATAATAATAATTGAATAAAAAATTTTAAATTAATAGATTAAATAAAAAAAAAATTTGATATTAATTTTAAATCAAAAAATTAATTAATCTATGGTTTTAGTTTTTGAACTAATTAACTTTATGTATTTTTCAATTCTAGAAGCAATAGTAGGTTTCATAGAGAAAATAACTTCAGTAATTTATTCGTAATTAGAATAACAAATTAAATAATGAAATCAATATTAAAGAATTTTAAGAAGTAATGCATTTGAACATCCAAAAATTTCATATTCCAATCTAATAACAAAGAATAGATAAATCGAATAAAGTGTTCTAATTCTATTTATTAGAGATTGATTGAGCTAATGAAAAAATTAATTGGTTATCCTAATCAAAACTAAAAAATAATAATGTATTTAATTATTGTGATATTTTGATATTCAAATTAAATCATAAACATCTAACCTGTTATTGATATTACTTTTATTATTGTTTTAATTAAAAACAGAATCTTCAAAACTTAATAGATCAATATCTTATGTTTTTTATTATGGTTAATTTTGATCATCTTTTTTAATATTTTATTCATGTTAATATTCTTTTTAAAGTAAATCTGATTAATCTTCTACCTTATATAATTTAGTTTCCTATTAATGACTTAAATAAAAGATAATTGTACTTGTTTCTAACTTTAATATTTTTGTAGAGTTAATTTGGTAGCTTATGAAATAAATTGCTTATACTGCACATGTATTCTAAAGCTACAATTAAATCCTTGGTCTCCCATAATCGTATATCCTTTTAAAATTATGATGAATCTGTCATAGAATAAAAAACTAAATTTCTAACTGCTTCTGGATCAGTGGACAATAATCTCCAATATATATAAGTTCTATCTCTAACATCAGGATTAAAAGAATCTTTAGCTGAGTTAATGAGTTATTAAATAAGTGCAGAACATAATGAGGGATATTTAATATAAAGTTTAACTCCTGATGTTAAAAGTTAAAGTTAGACTAATCTATCTTCAATTAACATGCACTCTAAGAATGATAGTGAGAAATAAAATACCTTTGCTTCTGGTTCATTAGCATAATCAAGAATATTGAATATTATTTTTAGACTATCATTAATTTAATAAGAATTTTAGACTATCATTAATTTAATAAGAATTTCGATTTTTTCTATATAAAATTTACATTTGAATGAATAATTCTTGCACAGGTTCAGTAGCCTATTAAACATTTTTTGCAAATTCTACTAATTGAAATAGCTCTAACGAATTAAGTAATTTTTACTCTGAAAGTGCTTTATCATATATAATAGCAATTTTACCAATAGATTTAATAGTTTTTCTGACAAAATTAGGATCTGCTTCATTTATATAGATCATTACTTCATTGAGAACTTAAGGAAAATTTTTAGAATCACAAATTCTTACGATAATATCTAACTTTTCATATTTAATGTAGTAAGGTTAATTGAAAGAACAAAAAAGACATTGAATTCATTTTCAAATAGAATAGGAATTTTCTACAAAATTAATGATATGTTTCTAAGAATAGTATACTAAATTTCAGGTTAATTCCAAGATACTAAAGATATAAGTGAAGGTGAAATCTTTTTGCAAAAATTTTTAACTAAATCTCCATTATCAAGAAAATCTAAATATTTAAGAATAAGTTTAACAATACAAAATGTTACAGTAGGATTAATATGACTCAATCTTGGCAAAGTCCTTTCAATAATAATTTCAGCTTATTTAGAATCAACTGGATCATATGTAGCCAAATAATCTAGAATAAAGATTAATCCCCATTCTATACATTCATCAACAGCTAATAACAATTTTTAAATTATTTTTGGATTGAGCACAATAAATTATTTACTATTAACAACTTCAATTTCTCCCATAGATTAAATTAAATTAGCCAAAACCATGCATTTGATTCTTTTTCTAATAATTTCTACAATTATTCTAAACTCAGCATCATTTTCTGAAGAATTAATTAATATTCAAAATTTTGTTCTCTTTAATCCAATATTTAGTATTGTTGTTCCAACTTCAATTTCAATCGAGAAAACTTTTTTCTTTTTAAATATATTGATAAATTTAGTCAAACATTCTTACTATTTAAAATGTATTATAGAGATTCAATATCATTCACCAAAAAATCAAATATTTGATCCTTAATATGTGATTAAGTTCACAATTGGATAAATGATCAGCTACTTCAATTTTTTTATGAAGAAATTTTAAAGTTTGTAAATTTATTTGTCAAATATTATTTATTGTATTGAATAAACTTAACTGTATGAATCTAACCTTCAATTTCATAAACTTTTTTTTAGTATAACCCTACCTATTAAAATTAGCCATCAACATTACTAGTTCCAACACAGTAATCTTTTTTTCATACAATTCTGAAACATAAGAAGAACAGTATTTATATTTAATTACAATTTTATGTCCATCAAAAACCACAAACACACAAATATAAATTATACTTAAAGAATCAACATTTACCAATTTTAAAATCAAATTTATATTATAAAGATCTGTACCTTTAAAAGTCCTTGGTCTTCTCTAATATTTGGTGAATCTTGAATCAATTCACATACCAATTTCAGAAATAATTATTTATCTGTCGCACTCTTTAAGACTATTTTAGTCCAAAAAACATTTTTAAAATCTATACATTTAAATATTCTCTTCACTAAATATATATTACTTTCAAGCAATAATATTTTAATACTATTATTCAAATTCATTCATTATATCTTAAATGTCTTTGACTGATAAACTCTAATCTGAAATTCTTTATTCATATTCTTCTATCAATTCACCGATTTTTATTCTTTATGGAACATTTAAATTTTAAGTCTTATACTATTATTTGACTTCATTTATTCTTCTTTCACTCTAATATCTTAATTCATGAATCTAAAAAGATTAAAAATTAATGTTTTACTATTTAAACATTATTATCATCAAGTTCTAATTAATCTTCAAGTTACATCATCTCAATAAGTCCTATTCTCTGATCTTAAATTGGAATTGCAATATAATTATCTTTAGACATTTAAATCACTCCAAAATCATCATAGTAAAACATAATTAATTCTGGGTTACTAATTTGAAAAGATTTAATCAATGCTTCATAACCAATAGGAGGTGGATCATAAAATATAGTTATTCCATAAGATTTAAACTTATCCAAAGATTTTGTTAAACAATGAGTAAATTTTATACATTCACCATTAAGAACAAAATATTCTCTTAAGCTTGTTTTATTTTAAAGCAATTTTTATTAGAATTATTACTCTGTTAATTTATTTTTCCCATCTTGGCTACTTATTCCTATAAATACAGGATACTATTCATATATATTTAAATAATGTTTTGTGGGGTTCAATTTTTTTTATTACTATTCCTTTCTCTAAGTTATTAATGTACATGAAACAGCACATCCTTGACAAATCGCTTCCGTTGCATGTATGGTACTTTAGATTTATTTCCCTTCAAATATAGCTTTAATGCTTTATTGTATAACTGGAATTCTAGAACCTCCTCCCAATGTAACTATTAAATTAAATTTGAAATTTTGTGTTTAATGATGGAGATTAAATAATAAATTTGAAAGTGATTCTAAAATTGGTTATATGATTGCTTCATATTTTTCCCTAAAAATTATAATATTTTCTTACCTTGTTAAATTGTATGTAAAATCAACATCTGGTATTAATTATTCAATATCAATATAAGTTTCCTTATTCGCACTTAGCCTTCTCCTAATATTTTCACAAGTATCCAATAATCTCAAATAATATTTGCTCTTCTTATCTATGTTGATCTTTGCTTGACTTATAATCCATTCAGCAAGATAATAATCCATTTAGAATGTTCCTAAATTTCTATCAAACACTTCACATAGCACCTATTCTTAAGATAATAAAAATGCTGTAAATTTTGAATGACCAAAATCAATTATCATCATTTCTTTTTGTAGAACATTATTTTGACAATAATTAACATATGCGCTTATTGCCATATTTTCTGGAATGGCTGCCAAAACTGGAATTTTGCTTATTTAAATTGCTCTCCATAGTCTGATCAAATCAAATTGAGTGTAAAAATCTGGATAAGAGATAACTATTGTTCTATTGTAATTCCTTAATAATTTTCTAAGAAAAGCTCCTATCTACTATTCAGGCTCCAATTAATATTATCTCCCTTTATATTAAAATATATGGGTTTTTTGGAAACCTCTAACTGAATTTAGAATGTGAGATCGATAGGAATGTGCAGCCATATTTCCAAAGAGTCTTTCATTAGCCGAAAAAACAATGACATTTTCTGTTTCTCTTTAACCTTCATTTAGTACAACATCAGCTGAAAATAGATTGCATTTGGCAATTAGTGTATATCTACCACCTAAATCTACTCCATAACCTTAATTTTCTTCTTACATTAATATGATTAATAATAATGATTCAGATTAAGAACTTATGTAACAGATTCTTTCTCTTTACGCTGATCGAGAAGAGAAGATTAATAAAAATTATCACATTCATTCCAAATTTAATTGTGATTGTTCAATATGCCACCATCAACTTATGACTGACAATCAATTAAAGAAAGATTTAGTTTATGATGATTTCTATGATTAACCGAGTGAAAGATACCTACCTGATGAATAGACTCATGTAAAATTCATGAAAAAAGATGGAGGATAATAATTGTTGCCTTAAATTAGAGACCCTATTGACTTTTTAGGTCTCTCAATTAAAATGATGCAACCAACCAAAAATGGAAAAACTTTAAATTTGAGAGTGATGGATACTTTATTCTTCTATTAAAGAGAGCCTTGCGTATTAATTTATCATGACAAAGATAAAGGTCTTAGAATCATCAGAGACCGACATTTATTAACTAATTTATAAGAACTTGGTCAATTTTTAGTAAAAAGAAGAACAGAATATGATATAGAATTAAGAATAGCAACAGAGAAAAGAGAAAATAAGGATTTCAATAATTTAGAATTTGATTAAAAGAGTGCAGAGATATAATAAGGCATAAAAAAATATGTTTAGAATATTGGAATTTAGAAGGACTTTATATTAGTTAAATTCAAGAATGGTGGAGAATAAATAATGTCTTAATTAGCAGCAATGTAGTTGTTTGAAAAGCGAAAGATTGATTCTATTTGGGATACTATAGTGATGATTCAAGCATACCCATTTGATTTTCATGGAAAGCTAATATTTAAAGTTAAAGAGAATCCAGAAAAGGTTGAAAACAATAGAATATCAAAATAGTCAATAGGAAAAGATTTAAAGAAATTTAAAGAAGAAGAAAAGCCAACAGAAACAAAGTAAAGTAAATCAAAAATAGCGGATGATAGTATAAAGTTAACTGAAGAATAGAAATAGAAATTAAATGAATTAAATAAGAGTAGATATTAACGTATTACATACATAAAAGATGATATAAAATATTAGGAGCAATTTGATAAAGCATTAGAATAGATTTGTTAAATAAATAACCCAAATTTTTAGACAGGTAACCATATTAGACAACATGAATTGTATTTAAAAGATTTAAAGAAAAGGAATATGTCATAATATTTATAGTAATAAAATATCATAAATAGTTTAGTTATCATATGTATTAGATAGTTCATTTTTTTGAAGCATATCATTAACGAAAAATAATGAAGTTGAGATTGGATTTTGCAAAGGATGATTTTGATAATTTATATATAATAGATGCAGGATAGTTGTAGTTTATAGATGTGAGAAAGATAGAGTGGGATGAAATGATATTGAAGGAGATATCATTAATCAATTAAGATTACAAATAGTTAGTTTTAAAAGAGATAGAAGAGAAAGAGAAATTGTAAAGGGAAGGGGAAGTGGTTGTAAATCATTAGAGACAAAAGTATTTAAAATAAGCATTTGATGAAGTGGTAGGGTATTTTAGGGAATAGTATAGTAAGGCAATTGATAAGTGTGAATCAGACTTATAAAATTAACCAGATATAGACAAGACTGATGAAATATTTAAGAAAATAAATCCAAGATCAGATTTAAAGTTTTCAGAAATGTTGGCTATACACAAACCTGATGAGATAATAAAATAGAAAGATTTATTATGCAATTTTCCAATAGATAAAACAAGATTCTTGAGTTAATAGAAATATTATAGATAGTCTAAATAATTGGTGGAGAGCAAAGAGAAATATAAGAAACAATTGAGATTAAGTGCTAGTAAATTATCAACAGTTGATTTGAGATAGTCAAAATATGCATTTACTACTAAATGAAATATTAACTAAAAATATAATATCTACAAATATAGTAATTAAAAATTGAAGTAATTAATGAAGAATATAGTTTTGAATATCTCATAAATCTCTTTAGATAGTAGAAATATTTGATTGGGTTTCAATTTAAAATTAGGGAATAAGTTGTAGCTATTATAATTTAATTATTCTTATTATAAAATTTTGTTTCTATTCTTGGATGTTCATTTTTTAATAAGGTTTCATAGAAAGGGTTTTCAATTTCTTGAATCTGACATATGGTCTGAGTCAATTTTTATGTAAAAGTAAGGAGAGTACTTAAATTGTGAAGTTGATAGTATGATTAGAATTTAAATATTGTTATTATCTTTGTGTTAATCATTATTTTGTTAATGTTAAGAATGAATGTGTTATTTGGTTTAATAATATCATGAGATATGCGAAACAGTACTATTGTTTGAATTCATCTAACAGATAATTAAGATATTCTGAATGTGCATAATTAAAATTAAATGATTCATTTACCTAGAGGATTGAAGAATCAACTTAGACAAGTGACTATTCAAACATTTGCTAATTCTACTAAAGTCCCCAATCCTTTTGCACATCATGATGACCATGGAGATCATGGGGATCATGGAGATCATGGACATGGAGATCATGGACATGGGGATCATGGACACGGACATGGAGATCATGCTGTTGCTCATGGTAGAAGTAGACCAAAGGTAGAATACAATACAATTACTTAACATTTGGATCATTAGAATTTATATACTTATTTTGAGTGTAATAAATGATTATTTTATCATAGAGGGTCCTGGATATATGTATTACCCAGGTGTTAATTATAATGAAGCTCATGGTAAACCTTATGATTGGAGAGATGATCCAAAATACAATCCAGATTATGTCATTCCTACTAAACATGTTGGATGTCCAGATCCAAAAACATACGTATGGCCATTTGAAGGAAAACTTGTTCATTTCAATCCTTCAGAAACCTTACCCTAAGATCATCTTTATAATCCATCACTTCTTTTGAAACCAGAAAACAAATAAGTAGGACAACCAATCTAACATTTAACTGCAGCCCAATAAGATTAAGATGCTGATGTTAATCATGAATTCGATTATGAATCTGAAGATTGTGATTTCTAAACTGAAAGTTTTAGAACTTAACATTTTAGAAAAAGAGGACCTATGTGGCCTTGGGCTCTTATGGCTACTATGCCATTTGTTTATTTCTGTAATTTCTTCTATCTTATTCTATTTTAGGGGCTGAATTCCTTTATCAAAGATATCCAGATGAAGATCACTGGAGAATTACTCATCCACCTCCTCTCAACTTCCCTGATAGTGAAGTAAATCTATTCCATATTATATATAGGATACTGATGATACTGATTCTTATTAAGATTATCACACTCCAGGTGGTAGATTCCTTAGAGATATTGGTATTATTGGAGATTTGTGGTTCGATATTAAAGATGGCAAGAAGGTTATGAATAAATGGTCTGGATGCAATTAACCACTCCCTGATATTTGAATAATACACAAAAACATATTATTAAAGAATTATTAAGTTAACTTATTTTATTACATTTCTTTCTTTCTGTCATTCCTTAATTCCATTTAAATTACACTTTCATTAAAACACTTAAAATTCATCAAATTACCTAAATAATATACTCTTATTTCAATTCATTAAATAGAAAATTTATCATTTTATCATTTAAAATACTTAATACATTCTAATTACAATCATATTCATTTAATCTCAATGTTCAATCACTTCTAAGTCTATTGAACTCCTATTAATGAAATTAGAATTTTGGCAAAGGATTTACTTTGTCCTCCAATCAGCATGTTTATTAATGTATAAAAACGGTATTTATATCAATATTATTATTATTGAAAAAGAATGAAAAGTATTTCAGGAGTGTTAATCATTCTCCTTCTAAGTTAGAGTGTATTTTGTAGCCCAAAGAAGATCAATACAGACTTTTTGAATTTACTTAGTTCTAAAACAAATGTCTTAAGTTCTTAAGATGCCATCTAATCAGTGCTTATTTTACTTGAAGATCTTCAAGGTGCAAATGTTGAAGCTCAAGATAAAGCAGACCTTACCTTCTAACGCTTTGAATCAGCTATTTTATAAGACATCAATGAGTTCTCAGGAATTGTTAATGTTAATTCAAAGAGTGCTGCTGCAGCCCAATAAGACTTAGAAGCTGTTGAGTAATTATTTATCTTTAAAACTAACAAGTCTTAAAATACAATAAACAACTGATTACTTAAATTGGAATAACAAACGATATAAGGCAAATGAAGTAAAACTTGAAAACTTAGCTGAATAAAGATGTGAAGCCAATGCTCTTTTCATTGATACACTTAGAGAATATAAAAATGCTCTTTCTGTTCTTGATTGGGTCAGAAGTGATGCCAAAAGCAAATAAAGTACTTTTGTAGAAAAAAGTCATATTGGAGATTATGCAGAAAAATTGAGTAAATATGCAAACTTGTTTGAAGAACAAGCTGTCTAAGATTTTGTTAAATTAGGAGAAGAAGAAACTTAATTTGCTTAAACAAGTAGTTTCTATATTTAATTAAGGATCACGTGGAAACGGAGAATAAATGGCTTCTTTATTAGAAAAAGATGTCGTTGGTATCATTTAATCATTAATTGAAAAATTGAGAGAAACTATTAAAGGCTTAGAAGAATAAGAAATATAATCTGCCAATGATTTTGCTGATTTTAAGACTAACTTACTTGCTGAATAAGAATCTCTTAAATAGGAATATGATGCTAAGGCTAAATTTTTAAACTCTCTTTAAAATGATAAGGAATTAGCATCAGATATTTTAACCAAGAAAAAAGAGCTCTAAGACCAAAGCATGAGAATCCTAAGTTTAACATAAGGTAATCATTTTATTCTTATTCTTTTAGAGGAATACAATTATAAAAAGAAATTATACAATTCTGAAAAAGCCAAGAGACATGAAGAGAATTAATTATTAGAAGAATCCCTTTTAATCTATAGAGAGAAGATTGCAACTGTTAATGAATATTTGAAGAAAAGAGTTAATGAATACATAGGTGAATCCCTAGTTGAAGAACATGCAGTTATTAATCAAGCACCTGTTCAAAATAGAAAGGGAAAATAATGAAAAACCAACAAACATTAAAATTATTATTATTTAAAAAGTTCTTTCATTAAAAGTTAAAAAAAATTTAGAATTCATTCATATATTCTATCCATTCTCTTTTCTTTTTCAATAATTGTAATATAAACAACCTTATATTCAATTAAATGTTATTTTCTTATTAAAACTTTAGAAATTATTTCCTAAACTATTTAATAGTAACTTATTATTCCATTATTGAACTGAAGAAATTGATTGAAACTTCATTTTAATATATTTTAAGACTTTATATAAATCAGTAATCTTTGTATATTCATAGATTCTATATCTCGTATTTTTATTTAAAATATTAAGTGATTAAATTAAAAGAATTTTAATGAGTAAATTTAGAATATTAATTAATAGAAGAATGATAAAAGCAAAATAAACTTTAAAATGAGTAGAATAAAATGAAAATAATTCATACATCAAAAATTAGACTTATTTTCAAAATAGCACTAAATTTAAGATGCTTTTTGAGAGATATTAAAATAATTAGTTTATCGATTATAATTTAATTAAGAATGAAAGCATAAAAACTAAATAATTTTATAGATAGTAAATTTAGGAACAATTATTAATAATTAATAAGAAAAATGATATTTTATAAGATAAAAATATTTTTTTATAATATAGAATTGATACTATATAAATTAAATGAAAGTTACTTAGATATTTACATAAATATATATTGTACTATGTTTATAATTATATCAATAGAAGAAACCAAGGATTTTACCTCCAATATGTCTTTATCTGGCTTCTTCATGGGTAAGAATTCCAACATTGGTTGTAAGGACAACACAGCCAAATTGTCTAGCAGGTAGAATGTTGTTAGCCCATCTTTCAAATTCTCCTAATGTAACATCATATCTGGGAGAGATTACACCACATTTATTAATGCGTCCTAAAATTTATTGATTATTGGGTACCCAATAATTCAACAACAATCTTGCCACTTCTATGATCATCAACGATTTCGAATTCACCAATGTAGCCGTGTCTTTGCATAACTTATAAGAACTTCACAACTAATTTGGATGTGGGTCTAATGAGCACTTGCTTTCTTCCTTGTCTTAAAAAGTTAGGACAACAAGTACAACCTTTCAGCGTTCACTATAGAACGGAGGCAATCATTGAGGACATTCATTTTCACCATTGGTCAATAAATATTTTTTTTAATTATTTTTAAATCTTATTTAATATGCTAACTTATTATTTTAATATGTTATAATATGTTCAATCAACCACGGCCCTTCGAAAGACTTGCATTATGGATAAAATAATTACTCTGGGTCTTATTTAAGTACTTTCTTTGCCTATTTCAATGCCTTCAAAGTTTTTTGAAGTTATTATCTTTCTTATAAAATGTAGACAGGCTAAAATATTATAAATAGGAATCTATTTACCTCTTCTAGCATTTAGAAAACATTATCACTCTTATTCATTTAATCATATAAAACCATCTACATTTTATCTAAGGTTTATTTCACTAAGTAATAACCAATATACTAGGAAGAATAAACGAATAAATTACTTTTGGAATGCTATCTCTAAGATTTCTGATTAAGATTTTATAATAGAGATCAACTCTATTTCTGAGTTCCCTGACTAAGATTTTTTTTGGATCAATGGTTTTAGAGTTTTGTTTAAAGACAAGATCAGCTTTAGTTGTTAAATATTCCTCATCATTGGTATAGATGTAATTCATTTCTGATTCAATTTGATTGATTACAACTTACTCAGCTTTGGCTCTTTATGATTCGATAACTTTACGACTCATTTCTGAGATTTCATCTAAAACTGAAGGGAATCTAGTGAATACCTAATTAATATATAGGATAGAATACTTTTCTTAAAATTTATTAACTGATTTCATCCATATATTAGAATATTTGATCTAGAACATCTTAAGCAGGTTTAATGAGAGCTTAAACTTAGGGAACAATTAAATAGAGAAAACTATCAAAAGAAGGGAATCCAGGAATGCTATCACCTTAATGTAATTAATCAGCTAATTCAATATCTTTATCTAGATAGCAATCTGTAACATGATATTTTTCATCAGCATACTCGAAATAAAGTTCATTAAACATTTATTTAATTTTAGCTCCTCCTGTAAGTTCAATTTTCTTTTCTTCATCTTGAATAGTAGCTTCATTTTTATCGTATTTTCCATCCATCGTATTTTTAAAACCATCTGTATAATCTTGTAGTAAATTGAAAACTAATTAAACTTTATCTTTTTAATCTCTTGGTAATTCAGTACCAAGTAATTTGAGTTTATCTTCACATTCATCAGCTTTAGTATCAATTTCTTTAATGATATCAGGTAAACACTTTCTAATATGTTAATATAAGACAGTTGTTAATTTTTCAATTAAAGCTCTAGTTCCTAATATATCTTAAGGTATCCCTGAATAACGAGGATCATTTGCGAAATAATCTTCTTCTTATCGAAGAGCTTTCTATACAGGTACTTTATTGATAATATCTTATTAGCTTCTATTTTTGACTCCTATATATCCTAATCTTAATTTAACTTCTTCATTCATTAATACTTTAGATGCATCTGAACCTTCTCCCATAATATCAATTTTAGTGATAACACCAATAGTTCTAATACCATCTGGATCAAGTTAACGAGCTAATTTCAAAGATCTCTATGTCGTAATATCTTAACTTGCAGGCATTACACATAGAATGATAGTACGTTCATCTTCACAATATCTATATTTATAATATATTATTAATACCTTCTGCACATATTTAATGTAATTTCTTCAATATTATCTGGTTAATCAGAATCTTTTAATGGTATTAAAGTTATTCCTGGTAAATCTATAATAGTAAGATCTGGACAATCAGGTGACCAAATTGTCAATTCTATTGGATCAGGCAAGATGTCTATACTCTAACTATATCTTTACTCTTCTTCTATCCTGCTTTTGAATCTGTTAATCTATCAATTTCCTCACGAACCTTTGTAAAATCTGTAAACTTTTTCTCTGGTACTTCCTTAAAGATTGCCCATGGTTATAATCTTTCTTAAATATGAACAAGACGTAACTCTAATGGTCTACGTGTTACTACACCCTTTTTTTTATAGCAATTTATCAATTACATCTCCTCTTGGTAAAAAATCCAATCCACAAATATTTTCCAATAAACTACTCTTTCCTGCACTCTACATACCAACAACACATATTCTTGGTAATTTTATGTAATCTTAAACACCACAATCTCTTAGATCATCAATTAAAGTGACCATTTTTCTCATATTATCCCATAATCCAGATTTCATCGTAATAATGAATTAATTAAAAAACAAAAAAATCAATTTTTCAATTCCTTTTACTCCATCACCGCTTTAAATAAATTCATTTTATATGCATCCCACTTTTTCACTTTCTTTGCTTCCTCACTATCAAATATATGATCAAATTCTGGTTTTCTCTTTATTCCATCTATTAAATGTTGCTTTAAAGGTTAAGTCACTAAATGAAATAAACCCTTATCTAATTTATAAACCTCAGTCTTTGCTGCATCACTTATCACTGTCAATCTACTTCTTTCTGATAAATCATATTTCATTTCCATTATATCTTCATCAAATAATTTATATTCATTCAACAACACTCTACCCATAAAAAAATCACCTCTTACAAATTCCTTATAAAGAAAATGATATTTGAATGCCATATATTCTTTATTTTTGTATATTTCTTAATATTAAAAAGATTAAGGAACTCCTAATCCAGGAACATTCTCTAAATCTAAAGATGTATTTTTGACTCTCATTTTCTTATCTTCTCTAATTTAAGCATCTCTAATAATTATTATATATTACAATCAATAAGTCCGCATTTAAGTGGTTTTTTTAAATTAGGATCATCAGCTCTCATTACTTTCAAATCTCTAATAAAGACTTCTTCCTTTACACACTTACATCTACCACTTGCTACAATGTAAAAATATTTTTGAGGCTCACCTTCTTTTAAAATGACTTAACCTAATCTATATGTTTCACTTTCTAATAGATTGGCTATAGGTATTAATTCCATTTAAGATAGAAACTATTTATCTATATATGCAATAATACATCAAAACAAGGCATAGTTAATAATGTTTTTAATTTATCTTCAAGTTCTGAAGTAATTACATTAAGTATAATGCTTTTAAAGTAATCTCTTGAAATTGCCAATAAATAAGTATCTACTGCACATTCAATAGAAGCACTTCTCTTTGGTTATATTTTAATTTATTCTTATTTTTCTTCTTCATTATAATCTTTTTTCCACCAATTTTTTGCTTTTTCTTTTTATAATTCTTATCTTTCCATTTCATTTCTTATTTAATTCAATGTATATTTGCTATTAGAATGCAATTAATTTTGATCCGGTCTATTAATTTTTGTATTTGAATCAATCAATGCTAATTCTCCAAATTATTACCCTGTATAAAGTGTACTTACAATTGGATTACAATCAGCAACATGAGGATTCTTAATTCTTACATGACAACCACCATTCAATATAATATACATTTATTCTCCCACGTCTCCTTCATAAAATATATATTCGCCGCATTTATAATAAACTAAAGAACTTAATTTTAATAATAAAATTCTTGTTTATTTACTAAATTACCAAAAAAACTTTAAATTTTTACAAATTCCATCCAACACTTAAAATATGTATTTAAATTACATTCATAATTTCTATCATCTACTGATTTCTTTAATTCTCTTAATACTAAATTAATTTCATCTAATGAAAAATGTTCTCCTACTTTTAAAAATAGAGCCGGCTTATCTATTTTATTTTTTTGAGCATCTTCATATAATTTATTATCTTCTTTAACCATTTATTCAAATTTTTATTGAGTTTCTTTCAATTAATATTCAAATGAACGATTTATTGGATCAACTTTAGCAAAAAAGTTTTATTATTAAACTAAAGGTTTATCAAATATTTAAATTTCATCATCTAACATTTCAATACTTTCTTCTTTAGCTAAATCTCCATCATCTTCTAATTCACTTAATAATGAATTATGTTAATCAAATTTATCTAATAAAACCTCTCTTTTAGCCAATGCTCTTTTCTTTTCTGCCTATGCTTATTTCATCTCCAAATAAGGTCTTAAATCATCTAAAAATTATTTTCTTTTCTTTTTAATATATTCTTTCTCTTTTTATGTCAAAACATTTGATTCTAAATCCAAATGAGTCAATGATTTCTCCGATTCATGAATTGATTCTTCTTTACCTTTATATGCCGTATTAGATTAAATTATAACTTTTTATGCTAAATCTTTCCAACAATCACCTAAATGATTCTCTCTCTTATAATTTGTTGTTTTAGGTCTATTATCAGGCAATAATTTTCTTTTCTTTATTTATTATGATTAAACTGGACGATTCGATATTGTTTTCTCAATTAATTCTCTCTATCTTTCTAATTTTGATGATTAATTTCGAGGTAATTATTAATAATGTACTAATCTTGTTGAAGATTTTAATCTTTCCATATGTTTATGAACATGTGGATTCACTGTAAATTCATCAAAATCATTCTAATATCATTAATTTTCTATTTCTTACAATATATTCAGGAAATCTATTTTAAATCATAAATTATCCTGTTGTCGGTTCCATTTTTATTACTTAAGGTACTCGTTAAATCAATTATCTGAAATCTTAAATTGGTTTTGGTTTCCTTTTAGCACCTTCAGGAGCTGTAGTAGCTCTAATTTCAAATTCAGGTTCTTGAGTTTGTTTAGATTGTTAAACATCTTCATCATGAATTGATTGAATTTATTGTTAGGGTTATTCTTAAAAAAAAGGATATTGTAATTATGGAACCTTCTTTATTGGTCTTGCTATTGGTTATGCACTTAATGGAAGTCCTAAATATTTATCCATCTTATATTACCTTTTATCAACTTCGATGAATAATAAGCAGATGTTATTCTATTTTATTATTTCAACTATGGATATATCAGACTAACTGTTGCTGTAGATTCATGTTTCTGTAATTACTTTGTTTAAGTTTCCTATTACCCTAATTATTTCTTATTATTTAACAGTGTTTTCATTATGAGCAAATGTATATTATTTAATAATTTGTTATATAAATATTCAAAGTTTTAATAATTTTGATTTTTCGAGAATCTGGCGCATTTGTGTAATAGCAATTATCAACTCACTTAATTAAGTTTAATTTTCTTTTAGAAGTCCTTTTAGGATTTAATTCTAGACTGTTCTGATTTCTGCAACCTGTTTTACATCCTCTAAATCATCTTTCTATTTTATTTTCAAATCCGAAAATTCTAACTGCTTCTATTTCTCTACCTTTACTTTTTCAATATTAGTAGCCAATTCCTTTATTATTTAATTATATTATTCTATCTTTGACTCTAATAATTTATTTTCCTCTTCCAATACTTTTATTTATTAAGCACTTGAAGCACCACTCTAAGATTTCAAATCTCTACATTATTTAGATAATCTTTAATTTTCTTTAGTTAATTCTTCATTCAGTTCAGTTAATAAATCAATCTCATCATTTTTTTACTGTATTAATTCACTTTTATTTTTTTCATCTTTCATTTTTTCCAATTTCATTGACAATTATTGGTTTTATATTTTTAAATCTCTAACTTCATCAGTATTATTATTTTATTATTATAATTAAAATATTTATTTCTAAAGTAGCTTTATTTTATTTTCATAATTTTCTTTCATTTCATCAATTTGGATTTGATTTGGTTAATTTTATTATTTTTTTTCTTCAGCCTATTTTTTAAGATTTCTAATTTATTGTTCATATTTCAATTTAAATTAAGATATTTCTTCCAAATCATTTTCATAGTCACTATCAATAGTTTCAGTTTTTGGTTTTGTAACTTTTGATTTAGAATCTTCCTCTATTTATAATTTATATTTGGAAATTTCATTATTTAACTTTTCAATTTAGGATTTTAATACAGAATTGTCAATTCTTAATTCATGCAATTTAACTTTATAAAGTTCAGCATCATTATTTTATTGTTAATTGAGAAGTGCAGAATTCTCTTTTTGCAATTATTTTATTTTATCTTTTAATTAAATAATCTCATAATTTAACTTTTTCATTTCTTGATCTCTGCGATCAACTTGATCTTAAAGTTTTTGATTAATTTCACTGACCTTTTGTATATCAGGTTTAATCATAGATTATCTAGTACTCAAAATTAAATTATCAACTTAAATAGAATCAGATCTACTTGTGATATAAACTTTCTTATAACTTTCGAAATCGCAATTTTGTATTTATTTTTAAAGAACACTTAATTAATTAGTACGAAGTTATCTAAGCATGAATAATTCTGTTTCTTCATGATTAAATTTATTTTTCTATAATTCCTAATTAGATAATGAACATAAAATAGCCATTTAAGCCATTAAATCCATATAGCCATTAGACCCAGATGTTAAGACTGAACTAATAATGAAAAAAGTAGTTTCAAATAAAAAGAGATTAATACCTAATGTAAGTAAATAGTTTTTCAACTTTTGTTAGAGAAAGCTTTTAATTACAGTCATATCATTAAGATCAACTTAAAGAGCATCTTTTAATACACCAACAACAATAGCATATTCGTTTACTAAATCATATTTAGTATTTGACTTTGGATATAATTAAGATGGTAAAATATGTGCATAAATTGCAGTTAATAGAATATAAGCAGATGCTTCAGATGCAAAACAAAGGAGAAAATAGGTAATTAGTACTATTTCATGTGAATATCCTATTTGAGGATACAATAATAAAAGTGTTCCAGCAACTTTTAAAATAGAAGTCTTCACTACTTCTTTTTGTCTCTATGGTTCCACATTTTTCAATGCATTTACTATAAATTCTTTGATTGAATAATTAACAAATCCATCTATATCATTTATTACTACTTCTAGTTTTGCTTTAAAAATATCATATGCATTTGTATCTTTACATAGCTTTGCATCATCTAATGCATTGAAGAAATCCTAAAATTCATGTTAATAATTACATTTTTAGCTTTCGTAATATCAGTTCCAAATGATTGTAACCATTATTATGAAAATGAATCTTTGTTAAAACTTATTTTGTATTATTCCAAGAATCTTTTTAGTGAATCACTTTCCTAAAAACTTTAATATAATTTTTTTACATCTTTACAAAAATTACATAGACGATGTGCCTTCTTAGAAACTCCATCTGCTTTTTATACTATAGCTTTATTTGGAGCACATTTATCACATACTGCTCTTTTACATCTTTTGAATTAAAAATAAATAAATTACCTTTTACATTAATGTTCTTTAACTGACATTGTAAATTTTACTCCACATAATTAACAATTTTTTAATTTTCCTCTATCATCTTTAATTGTAATTCCGTATATAAATATTGGTTATGATTTACTCATCGATAATATTATTTTTTTAATTTATTATTACTTATTTGTTATCTAATATAATTAATGATAAAATAAACCTTAAAATATGGTTAAATAGTAAGAATTCATTTAAATAGTAAGGAAGAAAATGGTATAATAGTTGCCAAAGGGTATAATTATCTTAATTTTATCTAGATTTCTTGATCCAGATGCATATTACATGTAAATTGACGATCTTAGAAAAGCAAATAATTTTAGAGATTCTCTTTTTACAATACTTCCAAGAGGTACTTTTGAATTACATGATGAATATCTGAAAGAAAAAAAAAATTAAACTGTAGATGCTTTGAAAAGTAGAGTTTAAACTGAAGCTTCACAATATTACACAACAATATAATCAAGAATGCATGAAGAAATATTATTTGGAGCAGAAGTAGTGTTTAAACATTAAGATTCAGAAAGATATTTATTTGGCTCTTATGTTTGTTCTGAAGTAGCTATGGACGCTTTTAAATTAAAATTATCTCCACAATTAAGTTCTCATACTATATTTAAATTGGCTCCTTATTAAACATATTAAAAAGAAGGTCAAATCATATAAATTGATGAACCTTTAATTATTGTTCATGAGAAAACTTAATGTAAATTAGATTATGAGAAATGTCCCATGTTTCTGGATCTTCAAATGATTAATAATGGAATTAATTCCACTAAAACAGAATCTTTCAACAAAACATTTAAAAAACCAATTAATACTAGAGATGAAGCTGTAGTCTCTTTAAATAGCGACAGATAATGGAAATTTTAATTACATGAATAAAATGGTAAAATTATCCCTAATGATCTATGTTTCTTTATTTTTTCGTAAGATGGATCATATTTAACTTCAGATGGTCGAAGATTGATACTCTAAGAATATAAAGATAATGAATATATTCCACTTGATTGTGTTTGGGAATTATCATTATATGAAAATAAATATGTAATCAGATCTTAAATATCAGGTTCTGTTATCAATTCAAATGGCTTTCTTTCATAATATCAAATGCAAGATGATCAACATTTATAAATAGAACCTGCTAAATAAGGAACAAATGAAGTATCATTCAATATGTTTGTCAAAATTAAATTTGACAATAAAGAATTATAAAAATCAAATATTCAAAGAAGTAAAACAAAAAAATTAACAATCACTTAATCTGAGATTGAATAGTATTAAAAATTATTAGGATAAGAAGATTTAGATTATGTTTAATATAATGTAGATTTCTTATCTACTAATTCAGTTCATGGATTTTAAATAAAAAGACTTAATGATGATTAAAAAAAAGATTTACTCTTAATTACATCATCTCATGAAATACTTAAATAATTTATAGATTCTTTATAATTAGAAGATTGTAAATAAATTGAATCGATTATTAATGAAAAGATCTTAACTCAAGTTCTTAAAGTTATTTAAAAGTTGATTGCTTATCTTCTAAATTGCGAATACATTCATATTGATAAGTGTGAAAATCTCCCCATCTATTCTAGATAGTTATTTATGAAAGATTTAAAGATGGTTGAAATTATTATTTAAATTATCTTTTACTTTTGGGAAAAGCATAAAACTATGAGTTTATTCTTACATAAAAATTATGAAAAAGATAAATTAAGATAAATTTGTATATACTCATACATTTTAATTGAAAAGATGGCTCGCAATAATTCATTAGTCAAATTATATATATCACAATGGCTCAAGTTTTTCTTAATGTAAGCAATTGAAATTGATGATGAATAAATTTAAATTTCATTAACTGAACTCTTAAATGATAATTATTATTCAATTAATAAATTTATCTAAGAAGAAACCTTTAAAGGTTTAGTTTCCACTATTAGTACTAAAAAAAATGTTCATGAAAAACATTTAAGAATTTTCAGTTCTATTATTATTTGTGAAGGAAAACCAATTATAAAAAATTAAATTGAACTTCTTAACAAATTTTTTAAACCTTAAAGTTCTGAAAAGAATTATTATTTATTTAAATTTTTATTCAAAGAAGAAGGTTAAAAAATTAAAGTTTAACATCTAAATAAATAATGGTTTACTTTAAAAGAATACCATGATTTGAGTTAATAGTAAGATTATTTATAAACTTGGAATTACTTCCTAGCTTATATTAACTTATTATCAGATATTTGCTAAAATAGAAATAAATAAGGAACTAATTATGTTTGTGAGTTTTATTAATTATCTGTTTTATGTTCAATATTAGAAGATCCTGAAACAGATTAAATTAACGCTATTGATCCTTTTCTAAAATTAATTCATTCTGCCTTTATTGATTGTTCACGATTTGCACCAATTAGACGTATAGCTAGAGTTAGAGAATGGGCTAAAATTGAATAAAAGATTGATATTATTAAAACTAAAACGGAAATTAATCCTGATTAAAAAAGAGTCCTATCTTTTATATAAGATTTCATTACTAAAAAATTTAAACAGAAGGAAAAAGAAAAATAGTATTTTAAAACTTTATACACAGTTCTTTAAGTTCTTAAAACTACTATTCGATTAGGATATTGGCAGAAAATAGATGATTTAAAAAATTTATTGGATCCATTATTTAAAATTATTACTTTTAGATAAAATTAATTCGAAAAAAAAGATTAGTAATTACATAATAATGAAAATAATTAAATTTAAAATATTAAACAATCTCAAAATAATCATTATCAATCTCATAAAAAGAGATTTATTGAAACTAATACTGAAAATATGATTATTTTAAAATGTAAGTAAATGTCTTGTGAGATTTTAGATATAATCATAGACATGGAAACTAATGTTAGAGTTAGTATTAGTACTATAAATTTAAAAACTATGTTTAAAGAAGAAGATAATAAAATTAACAATTTTGATATAAAATCTACTTAACTATTAAAAGAAGATCAAATACAATAACAAATGAAAAATAAAATTAGACGATTAAGTGCAAAAGAACTACATGATAATAAAATTGAAAAGTGGAAATTAATGTTTTCTGATTTAATAAATACTAGAGATTTATTTGGAAGATTCTCCAAAGACATTATTTCTAAATTTGCAGAATTATCAAAGTATGATAATGAAATTCTATAAACTTATTCAATTAAATTGCTCAAGAGAATTTATGGATACAGAACAGAATTAATTGATAACTTTGATAAGACTCTTATAGTAAATGAAGGATTTACTCATAAACTTTCAGAAGATAGCAGAAAAACAAGAACAAAATTGCTTTCCTTTAATGATTTTAATATACTCAATCTTAATCTTAAAAATTAAAGTGAATACAATATTTATTTGTGGGTTGAATAGAATGATATCAAAGAAAAGGGAACAGGAGTTATATAAGATTTATGTTGGTTAATTGAATGCTTAAAATCAGGAGATTAAGTATTATAAAGTAATGTTAAAGTCTCTTATGATGAATTCTATGCTGAAAACAGATTATAATAAGTATATTCGGAAAAAGAATAAAACTTCAAATTACATCAAAGTTTAATTAAATGTCAAGATTTACATGAAAATATTTTGGCATTTATTAATATTGCTTCTAAAATGGTCAATGAAGTTTAAGAGGTTTCATCATAATTAGAAGCAGAAAAAAATAATTAATAAAGTTAATAAAATAATTCTGATGATAAATTAATAATGAAGACATTATATGTGTGTTTCTAATTTCTTACCATGTTGCTTTGGAATCATCATGAAAATAAATAAGACTAAGATTTCATTCGAATTATTCCAAATTTAAATTAATATATAAAATACAATCTTTATTGTATTTAATTCTTAAGAGAATTATTTCAGAATAATAAATCATTATTGTTTAATGAGACTAAAGTAACTTAGATAATTAATGAAGTTGTCAAATAATGTGATGCATTAAACTTTGATTAGTATTATAAATCTTAATTAATTGATTTTCTTCGAGTTTTGACAATTTATAACAATAAATCAATTAAGTCTAACTAGAATTTAATTATGGCTGCAATGCAAAACAGAAATTACTAAAAAATTATGATATTATTTGATAATAAAGAATCATTGTTTGATGAAATTGATAAATTAATTGATGAATATTAAATATAATATTTTAAGGTCTTAAAAAACAACAATAAAAAGGATGAAAATTAATTTATTAACATTAATCCAGAGTTAACTTATCTTTTTAATTATTTTTAATTACTAGTTTTACTTATATCCAATAAGAATGAAATAAATTTAGGAAAATGTAAATAAATGCATTCTCATTTAAAATTGATCAAACTCTATTAACGAACAGGTTAATGTTGGCCTTTAAAGAGATACCTAAGAGCATACATAAATAAACTATATTATGAACATAACAATGATTTCATTGGAATATGCTAAAATCTTATTGAGATTGATTTAGAAAACATTCTAAATGATTTAAAAGATATTTTAGAATTAAGAGAGGTAGAATGTGATTACTAAAAAATTAAATTAAGTAATCCAACTAGATTTTCTTATTTATGTTCTTATTTTTTTATGACTTTAGAAGAAAATTTAGTATCTTTAAATTTTATTTTTGATTAATTATATTTTTTTGATGAATTAGAAGATACATTAAAATTAAATTTAAAAAAATAAGAACCCGTATTAAAATAACATTGCTTATTATTAGAATTTGGAAATATTCTATTAAAAATTGAACATTTATGGTACCAATCAGAAATAATTTCAAATTTAATAAAAGTTCTTATGGTTGTATTTTGCAACATTTATAAAACTTTTGATTTACACATATTAATATTAAGAGATGTATTATCAAATCCAAAACCCTTTACAAATGTAATCATCTAAACAACATGTACACTTAAAAAGTGTTTAAATGGCAAAGAATAAATAATTTAACAAGATATTATCAAATAAACACCTGAAATTAATTAATCAACTATTTTATCATAAAAATATTAAGATTTGTAATAAAAATGGCAAGAAATCTATAATGGAAAATTAGAAAAGAATAGTAATGATTATAATGATCAATTAAAGGATATTCTAATAAATTAAGTATACGATTTTGACAACATTGATAATTAAATAAGATACTTAAAGTAAAATAATTAATAAGATGCATCAAATAAAAAGAAAAAATTAAAGAGAAAATATGAAGATACAACAAAAATAAATATGAAATTAAATTAAAGATATAGAAATTTAATGGAAATTTTCTTAACAGATAAAACAATTAATGTTTTTTTAGAAGAAGAATTTAATTCTTTTTGTACTGATTTAGAATAAATAAAATATCCAGACAAGTTACCTCTTTAACCTCCTATTACTTTAAAGGAATTTATATAAAATATTATTCATTTAAATCTAAATCATTACGATACTTTAAGTTAAGATATTTAAATCTTTTTTCTAAAAGCATTAGAAAAAATTATCAGAAAAAGTGAATAGGAAGATAATCCAGAACTACAAAATAAAATGGTCAAATAATAATAAAACTTTTTATTGGAATGTGGTGCTGCTGAATTAATTTGTAAATTTCTTCGCATTCCTAATCTTGAATTAAGATAAGCATTAACAAATTCATTAATATCATTCGGAAATGCTTTTCTAGAAAGAGGAAACGCAAAATGCTAAAATGAAATATATTAAAAATTATTGGATGATTCTAAAAATAAAATTTTAATGAATTATAGATAGTTAATTAGAAGAGTGAGTAGAGCTGTTTATAATAATTTTAAATTTCGAAAAAGCAAACCACATAAAAGTTTTACAAATATTGAATTATGTGATACTTTTGATTTTTTTGATGATGAAACTTCAACTATGTTAAGGTTGAATCATATAGAAAAAGATGATGTAAAAGAAGAGAATATCAAGGAAGAATTTATAAATTTATTAAATAGATCTTTTAGATTTTTGTAATTATTATGTGAAAATAATAATGTAAAAATGAAAAACTTTATAAGATAATAAATAGATCCAGATCTTAATCCAAAAATAGGATCAATCAATTTTATAGAACTTGCAACTTCATAACTAAGAGTATTCTGTAAAGCATTCAATTCAAAAATAAGTGAAGTACCAATTTACATATTGGATTTTATATTAGAAGTAGTATAGGTACCTTGTCTTGAAAATTAAATTACTCTATGTAAGACAACATTTTTCGAAGATGTGTGTTATTTGGTATAATAATTAAGCATAAGACAAAATTAGGAATAGAGAGGATTTCTAGAAGATTTAGAAGGTTAAGGAATGCAAGCATTATTTAACATTTATAATAAAATCATAATAATTATAATGAGTGTTCTAGAGGGAAATGATGAAAGAATATAGGAGGATTTATAAAAAAAAATTGATCCTAAATTTCTGATTGAAATTATCAAATAATATCTTTAAAATAATAATCCGAAAATTGAAAGTAAAGAAGATATGGAAAAAGCACTTGAAGAATAATCACTATAAAAAAATGAAAAATCATAAGTAAAATAAAGTGAGCAAGACAAATTAATTTTAAAGAAAAATGATAATATTGAAAAAATTCTAAATGTCTTGATTATTAAAGAAAAAATTAAATTTTAGAATTTTTAATTAGATGAAAGAAGCAATTATATAAAAGACATTATGAAATTTTTAGAAACTAAAATTCTAAGAATAGAAATAATTTATGAAAATAAACCTTAAACTATTTTATATCCATCGCGTCCATTGTTTACATTTTTATCAGATGAAACAAGAGACATTATAATGTATAATGTAAATAGAGATACCTAAAGAGATAAAATAAATGGATTGTTAGAATACAGAAATTAAATATATCGAGAACTTTAATATAATTACGAATTAAGTAAAAGAGAATTCTTACCAATAACATCATAAATTATTTAAGTATTAAGGTATCTTTCGGCTTTTTTTTCAATCTCAGTAAATATCTTAATGATTATCTTTTATAATATGGAGATATATAACTTTTAAGTTCTTTTGATAGCGGAATTTCATGAATAATTAATAATTAATGTGCTTTCGTTTTGTTAATTATTTACTACTTTAATTTACTATATTTGCTATTTAAATTATAGAATACCTATATGCGTTGATAAATTTAGACCTTTAGGCAATAATTTATCATGTGATGATTCAGATAATACAAAAAATTATGAAGAATCAGATGCTTCAGATAATGAATAAAGTAATGGATTAAATGAAATTTAAGAATCGGTAAAATAATTAGATCAAAATCAAAAAAAGAATTCATCAAAAATTTAATAATTTTCTCACATTTTAAGATACTTCTTGGATTCTTTAAAGAAACTTTGTTAATAAAATGATGATTTTATATCAATAACTTTTTATTTAGTGTTTTCAATTCTTGGAACATTTTATAAAAGTTATTTTTTCTCTTTACATTTATTTGATTTATTCAGTAGATTAACTTTATTGAATAACGTTTTCTAAGCTATATCTCACAATGCTAAATAATTAATAGTCGTTTCTTTGTTGGGTGTTTTATTTATTTATGTTTTTTCATTTACATCATTTGATCAATATGCAGATGATATATATACAGAAAAGTAACCTGAAGAACATTGTGAAACATTGATTTCATGTATGATTACGCTAGTTACAAGTGGAGTTATTGGAACTTCAATGTCAAAATGGGATTTTGGAAAGTTTTGTTATGATACTTTGTATTTTGTATTTTTTGCTTTGCTTTTTACAAATATAGTGTCTGGTATTATGATTGACACTTTTGCAGAATTAAGAGATTAGAGATAAAAGATTGATGATGATAAAAAAAATTGCTGTTTTATTTGTGGAGTTAAAAGAGCACATTTAGAAAAGAATCTTGAAGAATTTGAATAACATGTTAGAGATAAACATTTTTTATGGAATTATATCTATTATATTTATTGTCTAAAATTAAAAGAAACTACTGATTATACTGGTTTAGAATATGCCATCAGTGAAATGATCAAAAAAGAAAATATATCATGGTATTTCTAATCTTCATTTTAGGTTTCCCATTTAATTTGAGTAAGATGCAAATCAAGATAAAGAAATGGATAATATAATAGCTTAACTTAAAGGAGAAATTAAAGAAAAAAATGATAGAATTGCTTAGTTAGAATAAGATGCCAAAAATAAATAAAATTTAATTAATAATATTCTGTAATCGTAAGTAGAAAAAGAGATTCCTTCTAAACTAGACAATATAAATTAATTAAATACATAAGTGTTATGATCAATTAAAAGTATTTGAATTTATCTATATTAAATTTAATATTTATAAATATACATGAAGAAAATGTCTGATTAACAAACATTAAAAAAGGTATCTATGAATCATAATCATACTCATTTTGAATCAGAAACATCAGATATTGAAAGAACTACAAGCTTCGAATCAAGTTAATTAGGAAGAATTATTGATATTGTATCATATCGGAGAACTTCCACTTCTTCAAAAGGAGATAATAATTAAAGTCCTAGACAATAAAGAAAAAATTCATTTGTCACTTTTGAATCTAATGACATATCAATCTCTGTCAGTCAAATTAAATACATTAATGAGTAATTTTTTAACCAAACTATTAGTCCTTCATAATATCTCAAAATGAATGATTTATAAGTAAGAGTTTGGAAAGCTTTGACTAAATGCACTAATTCATAATTAGTACTAATCATTATTTATTTAGGAATCAGTTTTTTTGATTGACATTATTGTTTTGCATAATGATACAGAATTTGAATTTAAGTTTGACCTTTCACAATTATCATGTTTTATGACTGTTAAAGAATTAAGAGAATAAATACATATTATATTTACTGAATAAAAGAATCAAAGTAGGATATTTTATTAAAAATGTAGAAATATAGGACCCCTAATTGTATATATTGATTGGAATTATAAAAACATAAAAATTGGATGGTGAAATAAGATTGTTTGAATTACTAAATATCTTACTCAATGGAAAAAAAACATTGATTTTGTAATCCTCTTGTCATAATATCTGAAATTTATTTTTTTGTATATTTCTTTCCAATCAATAAATCTGTTAAAGCCTTTCCTTAATTTATTTTATTAATGGTTTAACTATTATTTCTTGAATGACTTAATAAAGTTTTTTAATCATTTTCAAATTAACTGATTTATTAAAATTATAACACAAAATTTAATATTATATGTTAATTTATATTTTTAACACATAAAGCAAGATGCCTATCTATGTATAATTATAAAATATTCTATAATTTTTTTATTCTTATATGAATAAATCTTTATAAATTTTTTTTCATTATATTTGTATAATAGATAATATTATTCAATAACTTTAATATTATTTTAGACATTAAATGAATTTAGATTAATTGTATATATAAAGAATACTTTTTATTGTTTACAATTATTATTGATAGAATAAATAAGAAACAATTCCTTTAACTTTTAATAAAAATAATTTCTTTTGAATTAATTCAAAATATAAATGACATAGTGGATTATTTTCAAAAAAGCTTTTTAAAGCTCTTTATTTTTTTAATAAATTACAAGTTTATAAAATCAATTAATGAAAAAGTGCAGTCTGGCTTTATAGACATCAATGCTATTTGATGAATAAGAAGGTTCATAAACTAATTAATTTAGACTTCTAAGCTCATGATTGTGATGGCTTAGGTCCATGGTTTAAAATGAAAGAAAAAAAATAAATGATTGTACCATTATAGCCAATAAGAATTCCTTAAGTTAGAATTAAAAGCTAATAATAATAAAAACGTGTTCTCAAAATAAAAACTGAAAGGTATAATACTGAAAGGGCCATGCATGTAAATGAGGAACCGATTCGCTTAAATAACTTAAAATAACATTAAGAATACAATGACTCTTCATCACCAGTAGAATAAATTATTAAGAAACACTTTTCTAATAAATAATCTGTTTTTTTTCCAAAAAGCTAATAGAGTTCATTTGTTTAAAAGTCGGATAGATCGAATAGATAAATAAGGGTGAAAAAAATCAAGATTTGTAATTCAGACATTCCATTACTTAACTAATATAATTATTTTTCAAGATTGTCATGAAGTCTCAAATATTAGATTCTCAACTAAGTGCAAACCCAAGTTGATAACTTTTATAAATAAATTATTCTAATTATTTAATATTTTCAGTATTCAAAGATATTAATATAACCTTAATAAAATTTGATAAAAAATTGAATGTCATTGAAAGTTTGAGGATGAATAATTATTTATATTATTTTCCCTTTAATAATAAGTTCATCACTAATTAAGAATAATACTTCAGTATTATATAATTATTTATGAAATCCAACAGTTTAAAAATCTTCACATGAACTAGAATAGAATCTGAATACTTACTTAATATATATTAAGTATATCACATTATAATTAAAAGAACAAAGCTGAAAAATTAAGTTTATTTATGAATATACTTATTTACTATTATTTATTTAACATATTATACTAAAGGTATCATTTTCCTTTTTTAGATTAAGCAACCTTTTTAGGAGCTTGACCAACTTCTACTTCAATCCAACCTTCATCATCATCATCATCATTATTTTGAGGATTTTATGGTTGGATTTATTATTATATTTATTATGGTTATTATTATTGAACAGGTTCGGCTTTTTTTTGCTTTTAAGCAGGAGGTTTCTTAGCTGAACCTGATGAAATCGTTATAGAATCAGTTTTTACTTCAACAGCAAATCCAGGAATATGGGAATTTTTTTATTAAATCTTTTTATTAATTGGTTTTTTTTTATCTTTATTTGATGCACCAACAGTTTACCATCCGTCTTCATCTTCATCACTATCTTCTTCTTTTTATTATTATTATTATTATTATTATTATTATTATTATTATTATTATTATTATTGTTATTATTATTATTATTATTATTACTATTGTTATTATTATTGTTATTATTATTATTATTATTATTATTGTTATTCTAGCTCTTGTTTTTTTTATATTGTTGTTGATTACTCAGTTTTGGTAGTTGATTTTTATTGTTATTATTCTTTTTTTTTTTATGTATTTTTTTTAGATCCAACAATTTCCCATTCTTCATCAGCACTATCAACAGTCTCTTATTATTATTTAGGTTGTAATTTTTACTCTTACTTTGGTGGTTCTGTTTTCAGTTTTTATTATTTTTATACTTGGGTTTGTTATGATTGTAATTTTTCAGGTTTTTATTAAATTTCTTCTTTTACTACTTCTGGTATTCTAGTTTACAATTTTTTTAAATAATCTTAAACTTCTTGATTGATAGAAAGATCAGATTCCTCTTTTGGTTTGACCTCTAAGATTACTTCTTATTCTCTAAATAAATAAAATTTATATATACTTTTCATATCCTTTTTTTACATATAAATTTCCTTTGTTTCCTTCAACATGCATACTTTTATTATCACTTCTTTTTCTTTCTGTTGGCTTATTTATTTATTTAGATTATTATTTTGATTATTATGTATTATTAGTAAAGGCTTTAGTAACTTTGACTTGGATAGGTTGTGCTACTAATGGTTTTGCCCATTATCCCATATCAATATTTTATTTAATTTTAGAGTAATCTATTTCAAAATCAATTCCTTATTCTTCATTTTATTTAGATTATTAAACTTTTGGTTCTTCTTATTTTTCAATTTTGGTTGGTGAATCAAGTTATTTTTATTGATTTTCTTCTTCTTATTTTAATTTAGATGCTTCTTTTAATTTTTAGTCAGCTTCTTTTTTTTTATTAACAGCTTAAACAATTTTTTCAACTCTAACCAATTTATCTAAAGTTTCTAAAGCAACTTTAGTTTACATATTTATAGTGCCTTTAGTAATCAATTAATCAATCTCTCCAGAGGTGTAAGGTCCTTATTATTTTGAATTTTCATCTAAGTAAAACCATGCTTTCTTATTTGGATCACAAAGTCCACTTTCAACAAAAATTGTAAAAGCAGGTTATTTAGAAATTTTCTACACTTTATTGTCTTTTTAAAAGTATTTAGGATGAGTGAATTTTTAATCTGGTTGAACTTCTACAAGAATTTCCTTAGCATCTAATTTCAAAGGATATTAAACTCCAAAAGTGGAGGGTTATTAATTCTGAATGAGAAATAAGTCTTGATGTTAAGTGAGCAATTTTATTATATTAGGGTTGGGTTGTTTGGCTGGTTAATAGTCAAGAAGAGTTGAAGGTTAGCTCATTAAAATTTTACACGTATATATAATAGCAAAAATAAAAAATCAATTAAAACTGCAATTAAATAATTTCATTTTATCTTATTTCATTGTTTTGAGCATATTAATAGAACTAAATATTAATATGCAACTACTTGACAATATAAAATGAATGATCAGTCTTTTATTCTATAGTCTTTTTAGGTGGAGCAGGCTATTCTGTAATTTCTTAAATTATGGTGGTTTTCTTTATTGGATTAAGTTAAAATTTAGGTTCTTCATTCTTTTTTTTTCTTCTTAAACCTGAAGATGGTTATCGCAATGCTCTCTCTCTAGTTTTAATGAAAACAAATTTAGCATCTTATTATATAGATGGACATAATCTATCTACTAAATTGTCTGTAGGGTCATAAGTCTCGGATGCTGAATAATTCAAAGGAATCATTTTTCTTTATCTAGTTTAAGTTTTTGGCCTTTGTTTCTCATCTTAATCATAATAAGAATTGATTTATTGAAACAATTGAGATATCAATTAATGATGAGAGGAATTTCGAATCTTTGAATCTGTTGTTTTCGGCCTGATTTTGGTAAAAGTTTAATTCATGAAATTCATTATTTATTATTTTGCAAACATAATAAGTATATAAAAATCAATACTCATTAAAATGTAATAAATTATATTTTAAATATGGTATAACTCCTTTATAAATCCTTTCTAATCTATCTTATTACAATTATTCGAAATTTTTTAGCTTTTTCATTTTTATTGTATTTTCTGATCAATTCCTCACTTTTATTTTCTATTAATTCAGCATTCTAATCAATCTATATTTACTTTATCCTATCCTTACTTGATAATATAGATTATCCAAAGTTTTGAATTTTTTAATTGTCATTATTTAAATTATCTACCTTAAGTAAATATTTTTTGATTTATATTGCTTAAGTAAGTGTACAATAGCTATTTTGAGAATCTTTAAACAAACTAAAAAATGATATTAGACCTTTTCATCAAGATTAAGACAATTAAAATGGAAAAATATGACCAAAAAATTACAACAATGATTGGATGATTTTTTAATAATATTTGTAAAACAGACAAAATCAATATTTTTTAAATTATTGAGTAGATAAGACAACTTCTATATTCTTCTAAAATAAATCTAGCATCTTTGACATTTTTATTTTAACAATACAATATTAACTTTAAAATTTTAGTTTTTATGTTATACTCANNNNCTATAGTCTTTTTAGGTGGAGCAGGCTATTCTGTAATTTCTTAAATTATGGTGGTTTTCTTTATTGGATTAAGTTAAAATTTAGGTTCTTCATTCTTTTTTTTTCTTCTTAAACCTGAAGATGGTTATCGCAATGCTCTCTCTCTAGTTTTAATGAAAACAAATTTAGCATCTTATTATATAGATGGACATAATCTATCTACTAAATTGTCTGTAGGGTCATAAGTCTCGGATGCTGAATAATTCAAAGGAATCATTTTTCTTTATCTAGTTTAAGTTTTTGGCCTTTGTTTCTCATCTTAATCATAATAAGAATTGATTTATTGAAACAATTGAGATATCAATTAATGATGAGAGGAATTTCGAATCTTTGAATCTGTTGTTTTCGGCCTGATTTTGGTAAAAGTTTAATTCATGAAATTCATTATTTATTATTTTGCAAACATAATAAGTATATAAAAATCAATACTCATTAAAATGTAATAAATTATATTTTAAATATGGTATAACTCCTTTATAAATCCTTTCTAATCTATCTTATTACAATTATTCGAAATTTTTTAGCTTTTTCATTTTTATTGTATTTTCTGATCAATTCCTCACTTTTATTTTCTATTAATTCAGCATTCTAATCAATCTATATTTACTTTATCCTATCCTTACTTGATAATATAGATTATCCAAAGTTTTGAATTTTTTAATTGTCATTATTTAAATTATCTACCTTAAGTAAATATTTTTTGATTTATATTGCTTAAGTAAGTGTACAATAGCTATTTTGAGAATCTTTAAACAAACTAAAAAATGATATTAGACCTTTTCATCAAGATTAAGACAATTAAAATGGAAAAATATGACCAAAAAATTACAACAATGATTGGATGATTTTTTAATAATATTTGTAAAACAGACAAAATCAATATTTTTTAAATTATTGAGTAGATAAGACAACTTCTATATTCTTCTAAAATAAATCTAGCATCTTTGACATTTTTATTTTAACAATACAATATTAACTTTAAAAATTTTAGTTTTTTTATGTTATACTCATATACTTATAAAATAATGTATTTTATCTGTACTAATGATATAAATAGCCTTACCTTTAAGTTAGAAATCAACTAAAGATCTAATATTTTGAATGCATTTAATAAAATTAATATCCCCTAACTTAGAATAAACTGTGGTTAAGAAATAAATGTGAATCTCCAAAAAATAACAATAAAATTCACTCTTAATATTAATATTTTATAAATACTTTACTTAAGAATGCTTTTTAGTATTTTATTAATAAAATCATCTATTTTAACGTAGAAGGCTTGTGTAATGGCTCCTGATCTTTTAAGTAAGTAAACCAAAGCATATCAAATATTGGATTTTATTTCAAGACTCTTATTATAATATCTACAGGATATTGTTCTTAAAGTTCCTTTATAACTTTCTCATAACAAGAACATGAAATTATTAAATAACAGAATTCGAAGTGAAATAATACCTGAGTTTAAAATTTTCAATAAGTGCCAAGCAATTATTGAATTTGCATAATGATGAGATTTAACAAGAAAAGATAAACTTTATTGTAAATTGTATTTTTAAAAAGCTTTCCTACGAAATCTTAATTTTAAAAGTTAAATATTAAAAACTTGTTGAATAAAATAAGATCAAAAGAAAGTCAGTCTTATCTTAATTTTTCGATAATTTCAAAAATTTATTCATTTAAACTTAGAATTTAAATTTGTTTCCACCCTTATTCAAATTTTTAGTTTTAGAGACCATCAACTCATTTTTATTTAATAATTGATTAAATATCTCTAGTAATCATATTCTTAAATTTTTTAAATATTTTGATTTACAAATAAATTTTTTTACGATATTCAATCTAATAAAATATAATTACTGATGTATTAAATCTAACCTCTCTCAACTAACTCCAAAAAATAACTTTTTTTATTTATTTGATAATAAGTGTTTGAGATGACAAAATTTAAAATTGAAAATTCAACAAAGAGTAATTTATGATGATGCATATGATATTTTAATATACAATAATCTCAATAAATTGAAATAGTTAAAAAAAAGTAGTATTAGATTTTAAATCTTTAAAAATATTGAGAATAGTGGATGAAAATCCTAATCTCTTTATCATAAAAAATAAATAGCAAATTTGAATTAATCTAAGGTTAACATTTGAGGGTTGTGGATAAATAGGCCTATATAATAAATAAGGATAATGAATTAATAATATATTCAAATAAAAATAGGTACTTAGATTATATAAGAGAGTTAATTTAATTGAGCAATTCTTTTATTTACATGCTAATATAAGATTTATTAAATAATTAAATGTATATCAATCTCACATAGAATAACAAGTCTTGGTGGACTCATACTTCCCTTGTCCCAACAGAAACTTAAAATAAGGTGATAAATTTAGTGAATGGATAATCAAGTTTCTAGAATAAGGCAACATTACTTTCGACTTATTTAAGTTTGGAGGCAGTCAATAGAATAGGCCCAGCAAAAAGATTAGCTATTTATTTTAAAGCTGGAATAGTTGGTGCAGTGTTTTTAGGAACAAGGTAATTAATAAAATAATTATTAATAATATAGATTTGCATCTGGAAGTTATTACACAAATAGTATTAAATCAGATATTGGTAAATTACTTGATGGAGCTCCTGTTTGGGAAAATAAGTTTGATGTTCCAGAATTAGATAAAAAATTTTTTTTTATTGATGATGATAACAATTTTGAACCTTCTTTATGGCATCATGGAATGTATGATGATTAATTAAATTTAGCAACTAAATTGACAAGCCCAAATAATTTTACAAATTTGAATGAGCATTAAAAACATATATATATAATTAAATTAAAAATGAATCCGATAGATTAACACAAATTATAATTTGTGCTAAAGGATTGTATTCTGAAATTGCAATTCATTGGAGAAATAACAAGAGATAATGATATATCATCAGAATTGGCAGGTTATGAATAAAGTAAATTATTAACCGATCAATAAACATTGGAAGTTAAATATGCAGAATTAGTTGCTAAAAGAAGCACATTAGTAGGGATTTCTAATAGAAAACAACTTACTGAGACTTAGAAGCATATTTAAGAGGTAGCATAAAGACTTAAAGAAAGTACTAAGAAATTATGTAGGTATAAGTTTCATTTAAAATAAAAGATTATTTAAAGAAAATCCAAATATAGATTAAGACTCATTAAAAGTATATGAAGAAAGAGCAGGATTAATTTCAGATTTAGAAGTATAAAATTTAATATATTGAAGAATCTTAAAACATTCATTTAAAATAATCAATTGAATAAATTTGCTTAAAATGTTACAAACAGTTTAGAGGAATAGGATTCTTTAAGAAAATTTGCGGTAAGAGAAAAAGAATTAGCAGCTGAAATAAAAAAACTATAAAATGATAAAACTTAAGAAATAAAAGAGCATGAACATGAGAAAACAGAAAAACAAAAGAATATATAATCTTTAAAAGAAAAATTATTATATAAGACAAATCGTGCTGATTTAAAAAAAAAATATGATGAAAAAGTTGGAACATCAAAAGAAAATACATAAATGAGAGTTTTTGAATTTGCATTAAAAGATATTGAAGCATAAATTAGCAACTTTAGTGCAAAAATTAGCACAGAAGAATAGGTTCATAAATAATTAAAAGATTATTTAATAAGAAAAGAAGTATTTAATAGAATATTTAAATTTAGGAAGAATCTAAGAAGAAAACAGATGATTAAAATAAATATATGGATGAAAAGAAATAAGAATTAGATGATAAAATAGAAAAATTGACAGAGTATTAAAAAACAATGTTGGAAGAATTAGAAAAATTAAATAGAAGATTTGAAAAAGAAGAATTAGAAAAATAAGAACGAGAAAGAAAAGTAAATACATAAAAATATTAAAGGAAATTTAAGAATAAGAAGCTAAAAAGTTAAGAGAATTACAATAATTAAGAATGGAAAATGCTATAAAATTAATTTAGAACGAATTAATGGATAGAAAAGAACTTTATGGATTAGGTGCCAAAAAGAAGAAACCCAAGAAACCAAAGAAATGACTAAACAAATTTAAATAAAATTAAATCTTAAATTAATTCATGGGACGTATGTAAGCTAAGGGAAAAGGAAAGGGTATTTCTGGTTCAGCCCTCCCATATAAAAGAAAAGCACCAAAATGGTTGACCTTATCATCTAAATCAATTGTTGACTAAATAGTTAATTTAGCAAAGAAAGGTTATTTTTAATATAATTGCAATTTTTATAGGTTTGAATGGATCTCAAATTGGTGTTTACTTAAGAGATTAATAAGGTATCCCTTAAACTAGATTCTTAACAGGTTAAAAGATTTTAAGAATCTTAAAGAAAAGAGGTAAATATAGCGATCATTAAATATATAGGATGTGCTCCAAAAATCCCTGAAGATTTATATGCTTTAATTAAAAAGGCAGTTTAAATCAGAAAGCATTTGGAAAAGAATAGAGGTGATATTACAAGCAAATTCAGATTGATTTTGGTTGAAAGCAGAATTCATAGACTTAGTAGATATTACAGAAGAACCTAAAAGTTGCCTTCAAATTGGAAATAGTAAACATTTTTACTTATCATTAAGTGTCTCAAAGACAGCTTCTGCCTTAATTGGTTAATGAGTTAGAATATAAACACAATAATGCATATATTTTAATATTTTATATCACTTTTTTATTTTTTTCAAGCTGTCACACACTTCCTTAATATTAATACGATCTTCCTCTCTTTTTTAAAGCATTTTCTAATAATTAATAAAAACATTAATACTGTAATTAATTCTTTCATCTCTTAACTAACTTGATTAGTATTTGGAAATTGGACTTTCTAATTATTTATAGCATTCAACAACATCATAATAGAATTAGTATCCTTCCATGGTAGTACTCCAAATAACATTTAATATAGAATCACTCCCAATGACCAGACATCACATTTAATACAATAACTAAATCATAACTATTTAATAAATTACTCTTCCCCTGCTAAAATCTATGGAGCCATATAATAAGGTGTACCTACAGAAGTACCATGAGCAGCTTTATCTTTTTTATCTTCTTCAATTACTTTAGCAAATCCAAAATCTGCTAATTTAGCTGTACCATTATGTATCAAAATATTTTCAGGTTTTAAATCTCTATGGAAAACACTCTTGTCATATAAGTAAGAGCATCCTTCTGCAATTTGTAGAAATATATCAACTGTTTCTTATTCATTCAATTTTCCTTTATCCTTTATGAGCATATCTAAATCTCCACCATTACAGTATTCCAAAAAAAAATAAATATTATTTGGGGTTTCAGAGAAATCAATAAACTTAACAATATTTGGATGATCCATTTACTTCCACAAAGAAACCTAATAAATAAATCTCAAAACTATACCTCTTTTTTTAATGAATTGATTATATACTCTTTTCGACTCTCTGGATTGTTACTTTTTTTCAGCTTGTCAATTATATTTTGTTTTGCAATTAATTTACATGCAAAAACTATTTTCTCATCTTCTTTTAATGTTGCCAAATGACTGTTGTATATTTTAATATATACGTTTCTGCAAAATTTCCTTTTCCCAGTTTTGTTGTTTTGATGAAATATTTCCCATCAACCATCTTATAATTCGGAATTGTGGCTGCTATTTCTTCCAAATTTTATTTCATATATTATATTTATATGTATTTAATTCCATTAAAAAGGTATTTAGTTATTCATAATCTATATATTTTACTTAATTCGTCATCTTTATTACCTGTTCTAATAAATTCTTATTTTATTTTTAATATTAGATTATAAACTCCTCTTGAACAATTTTCATCAAAATTTTTTTATAAATTATTTCTAAGGATTCTTAAAGAAAAATTAGTTTATATTGATTAGTTTCGATTAAATTTACATACAATATCTTTACTCAAGTTTGCATACTTCCAATATTTGAAGTGTCCAAATTAATATAACCCTATTACTATTTAATTAAATTAACGATTTTTCTTTTTCTAGTTTAAGATGTTTTTCTATCTTAATTGATATTAAGATTTCTTGAATTGCTAGATAAAATATCAAAATTCGAAATATTTTAATTTGGAAAGATGAAATAAAACTCAAAAGTTTTTTGATACATAATAATAGAAACATTTTGGAACTTTAATATTTCTCTATAATACATTTTGAGAGTGGGATATGAATGATAATACTTCTAATTATTTCCTTTTTTTAATTGCAAAAGCTAAAATATGATTATAAGCATCTTTCATTATTAAAAAGGAAAAATTAATTTTAGAAATAATATTATTAATTTTTTTTAGAGAATAGATGAGAAAATAATTTAACTCGCTTTGACAAATTTAAAATGTATTAACTAAATAATAATAATTTATATGAAGCAACATTTAGCTTAGATTTTTTAATTTCAAATGAAAAATCTAAACAAAAATACCTCTCTACAATTTGAAGAGAATCTTTTTATTTAATTAATATAAAAATAATTTATACTTATTTATTTTGAACTTAAATTAGAACTTTAGAGAAAACAAATTAATAACCCTTCTTGTTGATTAAAATATAAGTATAATTTTTATTTTAGATATAAAATATAATTGGTTTTATAGAAAGAGATAATATTATTGTTTGAGATTTGGGAAGATAAATGAAAAATTACGATTTAAGAAATTAAATTTTTACTGAAATTAATTTGTAAGAACTTTGAAAACATGTAGGAAGTCAAATTTTAAAAATTAAGAACAAATAGAAATTAATCAATAGTTAGAATAATAAAATTTCTAAGAAGAAAGAATATCATTATAGAGTTAATTTCGCATTTAGTTTTTAATATAAAATAAAAATTTTACATTTAGAAATTTTTTGTATAATAATGTTGTGTAATAAAATAAAAAACAATATTATTAAACATAATGAAATAAAGTATGTTGATATGAAATAATTAATAATGCAATAAAATCACTTTATAAAAGATGTTAATTAAGTTGGTATATTAAAACATATATAATTTTAAATATAAATTCTCGATATGTCAAGGAGTTAAAATGATGATGATAAACCTAATATTCCATTGCCTTAAGCTACAGATTAAAAGAAATAAGAAAAACTAGCATATGAAAGATAGATGGCAAAAATAACTTTATTGAAATAGACAGAGTAGAAAAATTTACATCTTGTAAAATGTAACTTGATGTAGGCAGGCTAAGTTATACGAGATGGCAGCAGATAAAATTGAGAATGGAATCTTAGTAAAGAAATAATTGTAGGAATTAGCAAATGAGGCATAATAAATAAAAGATGAAAAAATGAGAAGAAGAAAGTAGTAAATTTAATCAATAAGAAAATGTGAAGAAGATTTTATTGAAAAAAGAAAGGAAGCATAGAAAATGGGGTATATTTAGTAAGTGATTTTAGAGACTCTATGAAACAATCTTAAGTAAAAGAATACAAAAGTACAATAAAGTTAACTTTAAGTAGAACGAGAGATTTTATACTATAAGAGAACTAAAAAATAAGAGAAGCATTATATTAGGAAGAGAAAGAGAGGAAGAAAAAGAAAGAAGAAACAAAGAAATTGGATGAGATTAAATCATAATAATTTTATAAGGAGAGAGTTTCATACGAGAGATTAATAGAGGAAAAGTTAAAAAAGTCAAGAGAAAAGTTGTTTAAAGATGAGGAGACTTTGAAAATTCGTTTAAAAGTATGATGAGCAATATTAATTAGTAAACTTAAGATTTATTGAGTAAGTCTCAAAATAAGTTCATGGAGCTTCAAAGTTGGAGTGGTTAGAAGAGATGACAAGAAAATATTAATTATTATTAATAAATTATATATATATGTCACTCAATTCACGATATGTCAACGACAGCTTATATAAGAGCCATTAAGAACATTTAAATTAGATGATATCACAATATTGCGATTAAGTGAATGTTAATTCAATAGAGAATGATTCATAATTTTATGATGGGTTCAAGTTTCAGGCAGCACATTAATAAATATGTATAGATTTACATTTTAATTAGCTGACCTCATATCATTGGTTGAGATTAGTTCTAAGTTAGATGAAGGAAAAAGATAGTTATCAACTTAAATATTAGGTTAAGCTTAATAGATTCTGAAGAATTATAGTTCATAACAGAGCTTAATTAAAGTTAAGATAACTTAGTCATTGTTCAATCTCTAAAGAGATACAATAAGAACAATATAAGAAGTCCATGATGCATTTAGTTTAATAGAATCAATTAAATGGCCGTGTAAAGGACCTACTAATAAATAATATGACAAACATCTACGTGCTTTGGAAAGGCAGTGCTTTTTTTGGGAATAAGTGTTGTTGTTGGAAAATAGAACTACAAATGCAATATCTACAAATGAATTTAAATAACGTTTAAATCACTGGTTTGAATAATTCGCAAATGAAATAAGAACGAAGAATTCAGATAACCTGAAAAAATCCAAAAAAGGATATTTGGATACATAACTGAGAAATGCTCATGAAATGTATGCAGGTTTAGGAATAGAGAAGAATAGACATAGTGCGCTATAAATATACAAAAGACTTGCAGAAGACAACCATCCAATAGCTTAAGCAATTATGGGACAGATATTTATGGATGGAGATATTGGGGAAAAAGATTATGATCAGGTAATGAATTTTAACACCACTTGTGGTAGGCTTTTAACTATTTTAAATTGAGTGCTGACCAAGGACATACATTTAGTGTCTATTGGGCATCTAGATTAATATTAGTAATTAAATCTAAATAATCTATTAGGAAGAGAAAGTTTTTGACAAATTTTTCGAAAAAGATGATCAATAGAGTAGAAAATCAAGTGTGACTGTTATTAAAACTAAAGACTGTGATTTAGCTATTAAACTATTAAGAAAGGCAGCAGAATTGGAACATGTGCCTTCTATGAACTATTTAGGTGATTTGTACACCTCTGGTTTAGAATTATAAAATTGTAAAATTGATAATTATAAATAATAATGATAGACTCTTTGGAGAAAGATTTCTAAGATGCTGAATACTTTTATAAGTTAGCTCAAAAAAGGAATTCAGTTGAAGCTACATATAAATTATCTTTATTGTATTAAGAAATGAGCAAATAAAATTTAAATAAAGTAAATATAAATATTCATATATAATCTAGAATAGAAAATAATTAATATACCCGTTACTTAATCAAGCCAAGAATTAAGACTATTTACCAGCATTTTACGATCTTGGAATGGTGTTGTTAAATGGTTTAGGAGAAGAATTATAATCTAATCCTATAATGGCTGACTTAATTTTCGAATAAGGTGCACTAAATGGTGATTTAAAGTGTGCCAAGAAATTACTTAATCTTCGTTTTCAAAGTTTACAGAGAGAGGAAGGTTCGATAAACGATTTTCTTTCTTTATTAGATTAGTTGGAAGATATTTTGAAAGATTAATCAATAATAAATCATATGAGAGGTAAGGTTTATTAAAAGGGGATATAATGTGAGAAGAATTTATAAAAAGCAGTTGAATAATTTAGGTATTTGTTATTAGATGAAAATAGGATAGGATAGTGGAGGGGATGTCTAAAATGCAGAGCTTAGTTAGAAAAGTTATTAAAAGACAAAGAAGAGTTACCAACAAGTTCATAATAATCGTCATTATAAAAATTAAATATTTAAGGAGGATTTATTGATTAAGTGAAATAGAGTGATTAAAGAAAAGCATATTAAATTTAGAAAGGAAAGATTTCATAAAATAATAGATCGATTCCTTTAGAATAAGAGAATCAATCTACTAGATAAGATAGACATACAATAATGACAATAAGTATAGTTAAACCAAATGAGGTGAATGATTAAGATAGAAAAAGGGGAGGTTCTGAATACAATAGTTTTAAAAGAGGGGAAAGCAGTGTTGTGCTATCCTAATTAAAACTATAAATTCAATCACCCTAATAATAATAATCATCAACAAGATTTGATCAATAACAATAATCTTAATATGGATCTCCTCGTCAACCCTCTTTAATTAATATATCTTCAAATTCTTCTAAGAAAGATCGCTTTAATTTTACTAAATTACCAAGTCATAGATCTATCAATTCTTCAAAATATCTATTCAACCAACCTTGAATTTAGCATATTAACTCAAACTTTTGTTATAATTTATTTATTTATAAATGGAATAATCGAAATAAATATAGGAAAATGAAGAACATTAAAATGTAGTGCAATAACCATAGACTCATCTTATTCAATTAGATGTAGAAGAGCCGAATGAGCCACCAGTAAAGAGACCAACCCCAAAAACATTTGGAGATTTAACAATAATATTTATTTTTGAGACAATAGGAACTGGATTATTTGCATATGGAATAGTAGCATCAAATGGATCAGATATATTGATTGCTGCTTATTTATATGCAGCAATATTTTTAACTTGCAAATTTACAGGTGGCCATGTTAATCCAGCTGTATCTTTTAGTTTTTATTGTGATGACACGATAAGTTCATGGACATTGAGAATATATTGGACAGCTTAATTATTAGGTGCAGTTGGAGGAGCATGGATAGCTTATCTAATACTTGGAGTAGTAACATCTCCAAGTATTAAAAGCACAAATATTGAATGGATGTTAGCAGATTTGTGTGGAGAAGTATGACCAACCTTATTTTAGGCTTTTGGAACCTTTATGTTTGTTCTTTTTATACATATTTAAGTTCATGAATAAACACGTTAGACTAATAATGATATTGCAGGAATTGCTTGGATTGCCTTAGCTTTATTCTTTTCTAGATAATTATCATCACATTCAGGAGGTATTATATTCATTCTCTATCTCAGGTTGTTTAAATCCAGCTATGGGTGTAGGATTAGAATTATTTGAAGCCTTCTGGTTAAATGACACTACCAAATTAGCCAATTTTTGGGTATTCTTATTTGCTCCTTTATTTGGAGCTTATATGGCTTCCATTTTTTACAATTCCATATATTTGCCTTTATTAAAAAAATGAGACATATATTATAAATTTAATTATGGAGTAATATATTGATCAAGAACTAACCATACAATAATTCTTCAAGTTGCATCAAATTACATCGCCCTTACTCTCACAACTCAAAAGAGAGTTTGCTATCATCAAACATCCAACTTTTATTATGAATAATTTACTCTAAGTATTTTCAATAGCATATTATTAGATCATTCAACATAAAAAACATTTAACATGCATTGAAGCTCCTAAATAAAGTGGAAGGACTACCTCCTGTCTATTAATTATTTTGGATTAATTTTTAAAATCTCTAGATCATTTTACTCCAGATGAAGATGTAAGAATTTATCAAACTTATTATAGAATGGATATTATCTCCTTATCACTTCTGCTAGCAGAGAACAATCAACATATTGCAAAAATTTCATAGAAAAATTACTCTAAAATTATTCATAAGAAATTGCTTTACTTGATATTAATTCACAATTTCCTCTAAATGCAAAAAGTATTATATTTTATACTAAAATATTAGATGATTAATATAACATCGTCTTACCTCCTGTGACATAACCATCAATCTTATTTGCCACCTATTATTCTGTTAGTAAATTAAAAGCTAGTGGAAAGGTTGATAATAAATGTTTCTAATTTGCCTTATTTGATGATTGCAATTTAGCAACACTTTATGGAGGATAAAACTAATTAGAAACAGTTTCTAAATGGATTTCTAAAAATCAATTTACTATATATGTCGGAGATGAAAAATTAATTGAAGTTATGCTTGGAAAACCTATTACAGTAGCCAAAATTGAAGAAGATTAAGAAGAATAGGAATAATAAGATTAAACCATTCAACAAACTAAATGTGAATTACCAAATCTTTTTTATTATTTCTATTCAGACTTAACTTAATAACAAATTGTTGTTTATATCACTCTGAAACTAAACCTTATCTAAGGTAAAACACTTATTATAGTTTAAAATTTATTCGAGATTTATTATTTACAATTACTATTTTAAAGATGTAATATTGAAAGATTTTAAATTTATAATCATGAAAACCCAAAGACACTTAAATATTATACTTTATCAACTTTCAATACTGGTGTAATTTAAATACTTATTGCTACTGCAAATGTGTTTTTAGACCTAGAGAATGAATTTTTTGAAAGAACAAAGTAAGCAGAGAAAAAATCAAAATAACCTTATACATTAAAAAAATTAGATAATATTATTTTATATAATTTATTACCAAATGAATTACCAGATCAAATATTAAAATCTGTATCAAATACAGTTTGTATTGCATCTAATAATGAGTAGAATGTTGAAACAGTAATGTAATTTGTAAATAAAGAATATAATAATATTAATTGTAAAGAATATCCAATAAAATAAAATGAAATAGAAGCATTTCGATATCGTATTGAGGATACAACAAAGAATATATCTAAATATTAAGTTAAGATGGCAGAGTAGATAGATTTTAAAAAGAAGATGCTAAAATCGCCAGATTTAGGAGAATATTTTTAATAAAATTAGAAAGAGAAAGAATTATTATAAGATTAAATAGTATAATTAAAGAAAAAGTTAAATAGATCGTCAATATAATTACCTTAAGGTATAGAAATATCAAAATAATATAGGACCTGTGCCTGAATATTTGTTACCAGAATTCATAAAGAAGCAGAGGAAGATGCAAGGAGATTAATCTAAAGTTAGAGTTCTAGTGAGAGTTCATGATTAGAATCATGATAAATTAATAAAGAAAAGAAGATTATTGAATGAGGAAATGAATAATAATATGTTACCTGAATAGGAAGAGAAAGAAAAGGCAAAGAAACCTGAGAACTAATATGTTACAATAAATTAAGATGAAGAAGATCCAGAATTGGTAGATTCCTCCAGATTAAGACCTATAAGTGGTAAGAAGGTATGGAAATTGAAACATGGATTTAAATTGAAAAAGAGAAATAAGAGATTGGAAAAGAAAGGAGTTTTCACTACATGAGTGTATATAAATCTATTTATTTAACAATTTTATAGAATGTTGTATGATATATAAATGTTCATGAATAATTCATTAATCTTTAGGCTAGTTAGTTAGAACTTCCTTGAATGAAAATGGCATAAACTTAATACCATCAGCTTTATAGAATTTGCTTTAGAATTCTACCCATTGCAATCTTAAAGCATGTAAGAAGCATTCCATAAGATCCATACACATTAGAACTAAAATAAAGAATAGAAATACCTCCGATAGTGCAATGTAGAAATATGGGCCAACCTATTACTAAAATGATAACATTTCCATCAATAATTCCTGCACCAATACATTTTTCGAAAAATACTTTGGCCAATTATCCATGAGCTAAAGATAAGGCCCATAAACGTAAGTAAGAAGCAGTATTACTAATAGATCCAAGAACAAATTCAATTGTTTCAATAATTTAATGAACTGCAAGTTCTCCAATATCAAATTCTTCATGGCCATGTCCATGTCCATGTCCTCCACTTTATTCTTATTATTTTGGTAATAATTATTAAGGTTAATCTTATGGTTTAACATCATCACCTGCTTATTCCTTTAATCTTTATTCTTCTAATTATTTCCTTCTTATTTCCTTCTCTTTTTCTTTTTGAATTAATTACATTCTTAATTCTTCTGCTAATGCACTTTAATTAATTGATTTTGAACTCTATTACATTGGTAATAAAGCTTCTTTACTTTCATCCTTGGGTTCAAGGGCCTTTGATGGTTTATTTTCATGCTTTTTTCCAGTATAGTGTTGAATAACTTCGATTATTGGTTTTGGAATCAACATCCATGGAATGCATAAAAATGACCAAAATAAAATTGATTATTAAAGTGATTCTTATGTTTCCAAATGAAATAATGGTTTTCCATCTGTAGATCCTCCTTATAATGGTATATTGATCATTGAATTAATTATTGATGGAGCTTAATCTGTTCTTCCTTCCCAACTCTATCCCCATTTTAATATAATCATTATTGCCATATAACCAAATGTAATACACATAAATATCATTTATGGTAAGAACTCACATACAAATGATAAATAATCTTTAAAATAAATAGTATTCACTCCTTTTAATAAAATACCAAAAATCATTTAAGATACTCCATAAATTATTGCAAACTTCATCTTAAAAGAATTAAAGAAATTCAATTCATTACTTGCTATAAACCATTTTGGATCAAATCCAATTGGATAAGTACATCCTTTTATATATACAGTCTCTTCTGAATTTTCTACATTTTCAAAACAACTTCCAAATAGATTCCAAGTTAAAGACATGAAATCATTATATATTAAACCACAATACAAAGCACATAACCCCATTAATAAAAATAAGTATCTAACTTATATTAAACCAGCAAAATCAGGTAATTTTCTTAAACTATCAGCATTTTTTACTAATAAAAATGATAACACAAATAAAACACCACCATGGGCTATATCTCCAAACATTATACCAAACATGAATGGGAAAAACATTACAGCAAACATTCCAGGATTTACTTCCTTATATCTTGGTATTCCATAAGTATTAACAATTTCTTAAAATACATAGTTGAATTCATTTATTTTAAAATAGGTTGGTGTAAGTACCTTTTCAGGTGGTTCCAACTCAATTATTTATCCCACTGAAACATTACTTTATTAAACACTCAATTGGTGTAACATATGATGTAATTCCCCTTCAAAATGTTTAGGTGCCCAAAAGAACCCAATATATATTCTTTCTTTTTAATAAAGATAATTTAAATTTGTATATAACGCTTTTTCTTTGACCATCAAAAGCTTACTCATTTCTAATAATGATATTTTCAATTATGGTTAAATCTAAGCATATTCCAATAATAATTCTTTAATTTTACCAGCAGTCAATCTCAATAACTAAAAGTTAAATTTCATGATACATTATCGCATTCATCTAAAGAACGATCTAGTTCCAAAGTCTTTTAAACTAACAGTTAAGGCTCTTCTGGAAGTACAAATTTGGCACAATTAAAGGAATCACAAATTTTATTGAGTTTGGCCCTTAAGAAATCTTATCCACCTCCAGTATAAACAATCAAAAAGACTGTTCTTTATTTTTCCAAATTCTTTGATGCTGACTTATCAGAATCCAAGTTCCCTGATTCTAGTGAGGCATCAATTCTTGAATATTCTATATCAGACAACACAATCCAAGCATTTCCTTTTGAAGCTCTAAATACCATTCTTTTAAAACGATTGGCTTCTAGTCTATCAACAACACCCACCAAATAATTTAGATTGTACACTATAATCATTATAACATACAATTTATACATGGTTGTACTACTTTTTGTTAATCAGGAATACCACCTATTTGTGGATTGATAGCCACATTTCTTCCTTTTGTGAAATAAGTTGGACCTAACACTTCCTTTGATTTTAATAAAACTGCTTTATGTTCAAATAAAGTGTTTTTACGAACAGATATTTACTCTAAATTTTGAATCTGTTCTATCAATTGGGCTTTAAGATAATGATAATAAATTACTATATTTTTCATCCAAAGTACTTTCAATAAGATCAAACCATTTATCCTCACTTTAGTTTATATCCTTTGTATATAAGGACATTCTTTCTAAGAATTATTAATAATCAGAGCATTTTAGATTCTTTATTTTGTACTTCAACATCTCAGTTTCCAGTACGTTTAATTTACTAATCACTTCATCAGCTCTCCTTATGTATTAATAAAAAGGTCTATTCACATGAGGCTCATCTGGTGACATGTCTACAACTTAGACCTTAAATAAATTTTTCATTCTCTACCATGCTCAATTTTCCCATCTGATTAAACACTTCCCATGCACTCTCTTTAGGTACTATTATCTAATAATAAGCCATTGTCTCTGATCTAAAGAAACTCATCAATAAGATATAAATAATATTTATGTTAATTCAAGAAGCATAAATAAATTATTTATAAAACTATGATCATTACAATCTTTTTATTTAAATAGTTGCTACTAGATTTTTCATTCAAATTCTTTCAAGTTTACATTCAATATTAGGATCTTAAGATCATATTATATAATCAAAATGATTATTTGCAACATTAAAATTCTTACTCTATAATATTTTAAACCCAAAACCTTTGTGTATTATTTAACTACAATTTAAATTGAGATTCTACGGCTATTTATGAAATTTTATATCTTAAGATATTTTCATAGCTTTTAATTTTTTTACGTTAATTTAGTTATTATTCCCTGTATTTGTATAAGGCTCTTATTCGCTTTAAGAAGAGGGTTATTGTAAAAAAAGACCTAAAGATTATTTAGAGAGTGATTTTAAGTAAAAAATGCTAATATTTTAATATTTGAGTATTGGTTCCAGTTCTCAAGTTTTAATAAAAGTTTCTAAATGATTGAACAAATTTAAATATATAGTTGATGCACTAAAGTGAATTTAAATTCTTTTTAACTAATTTTATTAACATTCTCAAAAATAATTGATAAGTCATAAGTATATGGATATATAAATTTAAGATGAGTGTTGATAATAATATTATATTTGATTGATAAAGGTGTTAAATAAATAATATATAATAGCTTAATATGAGAGTATGATTTGATAAAGAAGATCTGTAAAATTTTTGTTATTGTTTGGGTTTGAAACTAAAAAGGAAATTCTACAAAGGAAGGAATATTTAGATATTAAAAGATAAGATAATAAAAAGAATAAGTTTTAGATGATGTTAAATTTGAAATAAATCTAAGCATAAAGAAAATATATTAATAAGGAAATATAAATTAATTAAAGAATTTAATTAATGGAGGAATCAAAATTAAGAATTGCTATCATCAATAAAGATAGATGTAAACCATAGCGTTGTGCTTTGGAATGCAAGAAGAATTGTCCAATAAATAAGAGTGAGAAACTGTGTATTGAGGTTACAAAGTAAAGTAAACTATGTACAATAAATGAACCATTATGCATTGGATGTGCAATATGTGTTAAGAAATGTCCATTTAAAGCAATTATGATTATAAACTTACCAAAAGATTTATCAAGAGAATTGACTCATTAATATGGAGCAAATTCTTTCAAATTACATAGATTACCTACACCTAGACCAGGTTAAGTATTAGGATTGGTTGGAACAAATGGTATAGGGAAATCAACAGCATTATAAATTCTAAGTGGTAAGGTGCAACCAAATTTGGGATTATATAAAGAGCCGCCTTCAGTTGAATAGATTTTAAAATACTTTAGAGGAAGTGAATTATAAAGTTATTTATAAAAAGTATTTGAAGGAAAGGTTAAAGCAGTGATTAAACCTTAATATGTCGATTCAATTGGTAAGGCAGTAAAAGGAAAAGTTGGTGAAGTAATAAAGAATAAAGATAAATTGAATAGAGCAGATTAATTATTAAAAGACTTGGAATTAAATCATTTATTAGATAGAGAAATAGGAATGTTATCTGGAGGTGAATTATAAAGATTTGCTATATTGATGGCATGCATATCAGAAAGTGATTGTTTAATGCTTGATGAACCAACATCTTATTTAGATATAAAGTAGAGAGTAGTAGCATCAAGAATTATTAGAAATTAAGTGAGAGATAATAATTATTTAATTGTAGTGGAACATGATTTATCTATTTTAGATTATCTATCAGATTTTATATGTTGTTTATATGGTGAACAAACAGCTTATGGAATAGTTACTATGCCTTTTTCAGTAAGAGAAGGTATTAATATCTTTTTAGCTGGATTTGTACCAACAGAGAATATGAGATTTAGAGATTATGAATTAAATTTTAAGATTTCGGATAATTTAGATATGTTAGAAAATCAAAAATAAAAGAAAAATTATTAATATCCTGATATGAAAAAAGTATAAGGGGAATTTTCATTGTAAATAAAAGCAGGAGGTTTTAATAATTCAGAAATTGTTGTTTTATTAGGAGAAAATGGTACAGGAAAAACTACATTTATAAAGATGTTAGCAGGAAAAGATAAAGATGCTGTTGATATTCCAAAATTAAGTGTAAGTTATAAACCATAAATGATTGCACCTACATTTGATGGAACTGTTTAAGAATTATTTAGAGTTAAATTATAGGATAGTCATAGAAATCCATAATTTTAAACTGATGTTTATAAACCATTAAGGATTGAAGATTTAGAAGATAATGAAGTAAAGAAGTTATCAGGAGGAGAATTATAAAGAGTTGCATTAATTCTTGCTTTAGGAAAACCAGCTGAAGTCTATTTATTAGATGAACCATCAGCTTATTTAGATGCAGAATAAAGAGTTGCTACATCTAAATTAATTAAAAGATACATCATGAATACTAAAAGAGCAGGATTTGTTGTCGAACATGATTTTATTATGGCTACTTATTTAGCAGATAAGTAATCATTATACATATTTCTCAAGAGTTGTTGTTTATGATGGAGTCCCAGGAAAAGCCTGTGTTGCTAATGCTCCAGAAGATTTATTATCAGGAATGAATAAATTCTTAAATGTACTTAATATCACATTTAGAAGAGGTATATATATATATTTTATATATTCTTTTAAGATCCTACAAACTTTAGACCTAGAATCAATAAAATGGATTCACTCTTAGATAGAGAATAGAAATAAAGTGGTAACTATTTCTGTTTAGATGAATGAAAATTGTTATTAAATTTAAATCAATTATAATTATATTCTTAAATGTAAGTTGGACTAAATAAATTTGGATTCTCTTTTGATAAAAAAATTGGAAGTGGTTCTTTTGGTTAAATCTTTTTAGGTATTATTACATTACTAATAATAATCAAGGAACTAACAAATAAACTGGACAAGATGTTGCTATTAAGTTAGTATGAGAATATTTATTAATCTAGGAAGCTATAGCTAATAAACATCCATAATTAATATTTGAAGGCAAAATCTATAAAGTATTGTAGGGTGGAAGTAAATTCATTTAAATATTATTAGTGGGAATACCCTCAGCTTATTGGGTTGGAAGTGAAGGAGAATATAATATTTTAGTGATGGAACTGCTTGGTCCCAACTTAGAAGATTTATTTAATTAATGCAAAAGACATTTTTCACTTAAAACTGTCCTTATGATTGCTTAATAGATGCTTTCGAGAATTGAATTTATTCATAGCAAAAATTTAATTCATAGAGATATTAAACCTGACAATTTTCTAATTGGATTAGCTTAAAAGAGTGATATCATTTATATTATAGACTTTGGTCTATCTAAAAAGTATAGAGATTAAAGAACTAGTATTTTCCATTTATTTATATTCAAGATCTTCACATTCCTTTTAGAGAGGGTAAAAGTTTGACTGGAACAGCTAGATATGCTAGTGTTAATACTCATTTAGGAGTTGAGTAAAGTAGAAGAGATGATTTAGAAGCTATAGGATATGTTTTAGTTTATTTTTTAAATGGTTAATTACCTTGGTAAGGTTTAAAAACAGATAACAAAAAGGATAAGTATGAAAAAATTGCAGAATCTAAAATTGCTACTTCTATTGATAAATTATGTGAAGGACTGCCTGAAGAATTTTCAATATATTTCAATTATTGTAAAAGTCTAAAATTTGAAGAAAGACCTGATTATGTTTGGTTAAAAAAATTATTGAAAGATCTTTATATAAAAATGAAATATCCAAATGATAATATATATGATTGGACTAAACTATGATTATTAATATTTTTAAAAAGTAATAATTATTAATTATAAATCTTTATTGACCAATCTTTTTCTCAATTTTATTAATATAATTTTTTATGATTCATTATATACTCCTCAATTCTATAAACTCTTTAAAAGACTTAAGTATCTAGAATTATTGGAAAATCTTATTCATAATTAATATTTAATCAATTTATTTCAAAAAAATTATATTTTTATAGATATTCAACAAATAAGATAGATATTCACTTTCTCATCTATTAGGATTTAATAAATATGAGAAAATTTCAAAAAATTGTTCTTTTTTATTATTCTAAACTGTAACCTTTATATTACTTTTAAATTTAATTGCGTAGATGTTTATTGTCTTTCAATAGATATGCAAAAAAAGATAAATTATTGGTGTAATTAATAATAATATTTATAATAAACTTTCCATTAAATATAACTCATAATAAACCATTTTATAATGTTTACTTTAGTGTTAATAATGAATTTACTTACTCTTATTTTTGTTTATATTAAGCTTAAAGTGTTTGATGCTAATAAAATATATTAATTGATTACTTCTTTCGCTTATTCAACTATATAGATATCAGACTTTTCACATTTTCTTTAACAAGCTTGGGATTTCTATTCGAATGTTCTACATTATTGTGCAAGCTACAAATAAGATTGTAAAATACTTTTTCTGTTTCATTTTTGTATAAATTAAATTGTGAATTTGTTTTTTCAATAATTTATTAGAATTCATCTGCTTTTTATAGATGTGGATTCAAATGGGCATCTACTAATGCTTCTTCTTCTTTAATTTTTTATAATTGATCTTCTGCATTTTCACTTGTGCCTAAAGATTAACTGATGTTTGTAATTTATTCAAATATTTTTGTTTCTCTTTCTTTTCTTTATGATTCTATTAATAAATAATATTTTAAATTTACCTAGTTTTTTTAATTCTTCATCAAATATTTTATCTCTTTTCTCAACATGCTCTTAAATTTCTTTCATTTTTTCTTTTAATGCTTCATTCTCAGCCTAACTTTTATGTTTAGCATTAGAAACTTCTTCCATTTTAGTTTAAATATCTTTTATTTCTTATTGAAATCCTTCTACTAATTCTGTTTTCTTTTATTTTTCTTCCTCAACTACACTACTATATTTTTCTTGATATTCATTTAATTGATTAGTTTAAGTATTTCTAAAATTATCTAATGTTTTTATTTGATTTTTCAATTTTGAATTTTCATTATAAACTTTGATTAAATTTATACAATTACCTTTTTCTTTTTCTTAAGAAGCTATCTAAAATTTTTTAGTAGAAAGTAATGCATCTTTATGTGCTGTTTTAGTCTCATTAATTATTTTTTTTAATTTAGTGGTCAAAGCAGCTTTATCTAAACCATCTAATTGACTCTTTTAAAGTTTAATTTATCTAGCAATTTTTTTGAATTCATCATCTCCTTTGAATCTTTAATGAAATTCTTCTAAATTTTACTCTACAATAGATTAAATAATTTACAGGGATAAAATGCTTTGATTTAAGCAAAGAGATCTAAAACATTGGGATTCATTTATTATTTTTCAAATTTTATTATCCAAAATTAAAGAATATATTCAAAAACAAAAATAATATATATAGATCAGAACTGGCGAAGATTGTCGACATCTATAAATTACGAAGTCGGAATACTTGATCATCATATAAACAAAAATATGTGATTTGCTTTTTATAGAATTATGAATTTAATACTCAGATTGTGGGTTTTAATTAATTTAAATTAATAAAGTAAACAATGCATTCTATGTCTCTCATAATTGAAAATGTGAAAGTATCAATAAAATATCTAACATTCCAAAATTTTGATGATATGAATAACAAATTACAACATAATGACAAAAAGAAAGTTAATCAAACTTTTTTAATACTCTCTCTTAAATTCAATAACATCAAAAATAGCAATAGTAAAACTAACAATTAAAATTACAAACCCCTAATTTCTATTATACTTTTTATTTAAACGTCTAGCCATATTAATATCAATTAATCTTTAAGAATATATTTTTTACCTCTAACCCTTTCTAAATCTTTTATATTATTTTTATCTTTGTAGTAATTTAATCAGTATTCGATATTTTGAATGTTAAAATTTATCACATAATAAGTTGATTTTCTTTAATCCATTCAATTCAAATATCTAATTTTTGGTCTGTATTATTCAGAGTTGTATTAGAGAATTCTGATCTTATTAGATTTGATCAATTTAAGATAGTTTCATGTAAAATTTCAACCTACTTTTCTATGCTATCCTAAAAATTTTAACCTTTTTTTTAACAACCATCTATTTTTTCTATTTTTTCTATTTCTATAATTTAGATGGAATCAGTAAAAGAAGGCCAAAGAATATTTCAATAAAATTAGATTAAAGGCTATATCATAATTATGATATTATAAAAATTGATAACTTATCATTTAGGAAATTATTTTCTATGATGCTCTTAAAACAAATTATTAATTAATAATATATTTTTAGAAAAAACTAATTTGAATATTTTTGTTTAAGTTTTTTAGATAAATTATAATAGGCCATTCAAATTCCCATTATAAGGTATATATTTCGATTTAAATAACAGGAAATCTTTTCATCAATTTTAATGAAAGGATTCTTCTTATAAATTAGACCAAACTCCATATATATATTCATATAGATATTCTTCTAAAATTTAATATCCTTTTAAATGCATTATAAAGAATTATCCTTATAATATTATGATCTTTTGAAATCAGAGCATGGATAAATATTTTCATTTAATTGAAGAGACTCTATTTTCAAGAATTACAAAATATGTTTATTTTTTATTTCCTATTTGATTGAATTTATTTTATTATTCCTCATATTTATTAGGTAATAGTTGTAACATAATATTTAATTTATATTTATAAATATTTTAATTTATATTGATACTTCTAATAACTTATCTTTTCTATTCATTTATAGAAATATAATTTATAATCAATCATCAAAATTATCAAGGAAGTTGTAGTTAAGTTTTTCAATTTGCTTTTTTAGTTTACTTTCAAATTAAGGTTGACCTATATGATCAATACTTTCTATTATCTCAAATATTATTTCACTAAAATCCAAAATGCACTCTTTCCATTATTTGTACATTTTATAAATTATAATATGATTTTTCTATTTCTTCATCTGTTTTTCAATTGATTAAGTATCTTATTAAACTATTTCCATATATTTTTAAGCAATGAAATTAAGAACTTAAATGAGAATAGATTTTCCATATGGTATTGCATATTCACATTTCAATTCTTTCTCAATAATATTCAACAAATCATTCTTTAAACATTCCAATTAATCTAAATAATCTAATATTCCAATATTATGTCTAATAGATTTTAGAGTTGAAAAATCTTTTTCAAAAACTTATAATTTCTTATTATCTCTTGTCACCAGAAAAGTTACTAATAATTTTTATAAAATGTCACTATATAATTATTATATTTTACTGTTAAGAATCTGTTAGCATTGTAACAAGATCAATTAAAATATTGGTCTTTTGAACTATATTGTCAGGTTATGATTTTAAAGGTGTCAGTAACTTTCATATAAAATATATTTACAGAACATGATTGTAAAAATTTATCAATTTACGATTCTATTAATTATGTGGTAGGCTATTATGTTTCTATAAAACTATTCTTATTTTTAATTTTATTATTTTATTCTAACTCAAATTTCTAAATAGTTTCTGTTTAATGCTCTAATTATGTTATTGCTTTATCAAGCATTTTCACAGTTTCTTCATGTTCTTTTGAAAGCTCGTTTAATTATTCAATTAATTATAAATTTTCCTTCTCCAAAGATTCCATCTTATTTAGATTGTTATTATTTTTAACTGATTTTTTAGGATTTTAAAATAAAGATACTAATTACTAAGATTATTAAGAATTTTGCATTTATTACTATTGTTGAGATTAAATTTAATCTAATTTTTACTATAACTTTAAATTTGACCTTTCTAATGACATCCTCTCTTCATCTTTGGCTATCAATATAGGTTATTGAATTTATAATAATTTTCGAATATTATCATTAATAGGTTCAAGAATGTTAAAGTCTAAATATTCCATATTATTAATTTCTTCAATATCAATATTGTTTTTACTATTTTAGTAATTCTTAATCATCATCATTAACTATTCAATATATGATTAATAAGTTTTACTTTATTAGACTAAATTTAAATAAGCCTAAAATAAATAAGAAATAAAATACTTGATAAATAATATTTCTTTCAGTACTAAATTCTTAAATTTAATCTTTTAAGATTTCAAAATGTTATCTCATGTAATTTACTTGAACAATAAATTCTGAAAGTTCTTCATTTGAAATAGTATTTTATAACTTAGTAAATATTTCATTAATATATTTACTTTATTTCAAGATAATATCATAAATATGTGATTCATCTTTTTATTCTTCTTTATATTACTAAGCAATTTGATGAGTCTAATTAATATCTTTGTATGATGAACCTTACTTTGAAATTTTACTTTTATTAATTTACATAATAATATTTTTATCTGACTAAATAAATAAATTTTCAGTGAATTTTTTTATATTTTCTATGTCTTGTTTATACTGTGAACTAAAATTATTTTAATCTTCTTTTTGGTTGTTAAGATACAAATTTAATTACTATAATTCCTATTCCTTTTATTCCAATATTTCCATAACTTAATTTATTGCTAATTATTATTGTTGTCCTTGTTTGTAAAGTAAATCTAGATCATTTTATTTTTCTTCATTTTGCAATTATAATTACTTAATATTTTCATTTAATTCTATGATAGTATTGTTATAATTCAATTCCTATTATGACCATAAGGTCTGGAATTTCTCAATTTTTTCCTTTTAACTCACATTAATTTGCTTTTGCCTAATTTCACATTTTTTAATGGTATCAATATTATTGCTTTCTTTTAAAAGTGTGAACTTTTCTTTTTCAAGTATTTTATTTTATGAATTCAAATATTCATTTTCATATTTCAATTTTATAATTTCTTTTTATTGGTTTTCAATCTTGTATTAGGGAGCATTCTTACTTCTGCTGTAAGTGTTTCAATAACTTTAGTGGCCTTCTCGATCTATTCATCCTAGTCTTCAATTTATTAATATAAGTAATTGATATTCATAAAATTATTATTTAAACTAATTCAAAACCTGAAACCTAATTACTAAAGTTTTGATGAAAATGTCTATATTTTATTATCTTTTACTTTTATTAATTCTTATAGTTTATTTATTTTAAGTTCTAAAATATCTATGATATCTTTTTAATCTCCAATTTTCTGTTCTAAATTTTTAATAATGGATTGGATATTGTTGATAGAAAAATTGGTGGCAATCAACTTTTAATATTCTAAAGTTTGATTTTATTAATAGTTGATAATGTTTTAATAACTTTAAAACACATTGAATAGCATCTGTTTATGCAGAAATAATTTATTAAATATTGTTTTATGTCAATTGAAAGCCTAAATTGTAAAAGACCTATTCTAAATGGATTGAATAGTTATTACTTTTATATTAAGAGTATTCCAATTTGATAACATAGTTTATAATGAAAATGATTAACTATAGTCGGGTAAATCTATATTTTTTGGAAGATAATGATGAATAACTTCTGCCATTAAAATTTCATCTGCAAAATCAGTTTCAATTTTTAATTTTGATCTTGAAAAAGGAACATCATCAACCGAAATATTGTTGATCTTCAATGTTTGAATAATTATTAAGAGTTATCATAATTATAAATAAATATTAATGAATTAGGAGAAAACAGTTGAAGAACCATTATTAAGTTAAGCCAAGATGAATGAATATAAAGAGAGAGAATTTAGAGAATACTTAGTAAATCAAGATATTACTTTAGCCATTGTTAAATGTGTGTTATATTTTACTAATAAAATATAGTTTTACTTGCTTTAAGAAATGCACCAAATAAACCTGATTCTCCAAGTTAAGCACTTATTGATTATTTCAGTGTACATAAAGATACAAAAGCACATGAAGAATTTGAGAAATTAAAATTAGATGTTGAATAATTAGAATAAGGTTAATGATCATTATTATTAATGTAGAGAATAATCAATTAATAAAAGAAATAGATACTATTAAAGAATAAATTGTTTAATAGAAATTAGAAAAATAACGTAAAGAAGAAGAGGAAAGAATACGTTAAGAAGAAGAAGCAAAAAAGAATACAAAGAAACCTGCTAAAAAATGATTATTAATACATTATTGTTATATATAATAATATTTTTAAATTCAAATTAATGCACGAGAATATAGGAGCAAGAGTTTTTGGAAAAAATCTTGAAAATCAAATAGATAAGGCATAAAAGATTTTAAAATGCAAAAAAGATATAATAATTGATGAATTGGGAGGGAAAGAGAATATAATTAATGATGCAATTTGGAATAAGGAAGGTTAACATAAATTAGACTCTCCTTAACTTGTTACATTATATTAATAAGAAATCTATGAATTTTTATATGAAAAAGAAAAAAATATGGGAGAACCAAATTTTCAATTGTCTTCCACTAAAATTAATGATACTGTCAGAGCTACTACTGTACATTATAGTATTAAAAAATAGGTTAGATACATATTGAAAATAGTTAGATGCTTTAATTTAAAGGCTGAAACCCTTTTTTAAACAGTGGATTTGATGGATTAAAGTATTTAGCTTATAAATCCTGAAATAAGAGATTTGGAGCTTATTTCATTAACATGTTTATTTATTGCATGTAAATATGAAGAAATCTATCCACCTCCATTAGAAGCTCTATTAAGATCTACTGATATATAGATTAAAGATGTTATTGAAATGGAAAAAGAAATACTTAATAAATTAAATTTTAATGTCATTAGTGATAATACTTTAGTATGGTTATAATTAATTGGAGAATTGCTATGTTACAATTGTAAGTATTCTCTTTAAATAAAATTAAGATGTATGTAAGTCAAATTCTCAACTTATTATTAGGAATTTAGCTGAGAAAAGTTTAATTTCTTCATTATTCTTGAATCATAAAAAATCTGTAATTGCTTTGAATATATTCATGGCTGTGGAAATCAATTTAGGTTGTCAAAATACATAATTTTAATGGGAAAGATTAACTTAACATTAGAAACCAAACAATGAATCAAAAACACTTAAATTGTTGACTTATATTTTGAAAAATAAATGAATTATAATTTCATTAACTCTTTATAATAAATTACAATTTTTTATAAAATTAATTTCATTACTTTTTCTTCTTTTAAGTTTGTTTCACTGATTAAGTTTTATTTAAGAAAAAGATATAAAATATTGATAATACAAAGCTTATAAAATAATAATTGAAAAGAATGAACTCTATAAATGTATAAATAAAAGATTTTGTAAACATTCCATATTTTGAAATCCTTTTCATTATTATTTTTGATGGATCTGAACTAACTAATTAAAATAATTAAAAATATTTACCATCTTCAATAGGATCTTCCTTATCTTCAAATAAATAATCCATCATTATAATTTATTCTTTTACACAATACATTTCATTTAATTCATAATTAGCAGGTAAATAATTAAATCTTATATTAGTTTCTGGAATTTAAGAATTCTTCAATAACAAAATCATAAATAATAAAATAGGAATAGTTATTTTAGATAATAGTTAATATGCTACAATAACAAATCCTCTTATTAATCCTTCTACTCTTCTCTTTACATAATCTTATTATTCTGGTTAATCTTTCAATATCATAATCCAATCACATCCTTTAGCCATATGCTAATCCATTTCTAAAGTATACGTCATTATTTATAATATTCCAATTATTATAATTGCAATAAATTGTAAATGAAATACATAATTCAAATTTTATATTAGTGGTTTAATATATAAAGCTACATAAAATATATGTGCAATTAATTATCCTGCTATTAAATAAAAAAACTTTGATTATGCTTTATCTGTTGTCAGACTATTTTTTAATTATGTAAAACAATTTCCAAATCTTATTAAAATTGGTAAAATGCAAAATATTATAACAGAAACCATCAAAGCTAACACAATTACAAATAAATCTCCAAATTATCCCATAAATGACCATACCCCTGGTTAAAAAAGATTTCTAAATACAATTTCAAGATGAATTGCTAATCTTTAAAATTCATGTCTCATGTTTATATTTAAGAAATCCTTAAATCCTAAATTAATAAAGATTGTTATAAGAATAGAGATAATACAAATTACAATAGACATCTTTGTTTATTAAGAATCATATCCTCCAATAGTTGCTGCTTTAAAAACGTTTTCTATTTCTTAAAAAATATAATTACTTATAATCATTATGACTATGATACCATCAAAATAAAATAACATTCCACTGTCAATCACATAATACCCTAATGCTGAGCCTAACATTTTCATAATCTCAACTATCAAAAATTATGAAAATAACATATAGATAAATAACATTGTAATTTCTAAGTCATTTGCAAAAGGGACTTATTAAAAATGTTAAGCTTAACTTGGCATTGTCTTAATTTAAACCAATGTCTTTATTTTTTTATCTTTACTTTCTTTAAGATCTTCACCATCTGGAGGTAAAAAGATTGTTACCCCTTAACATGGAAACAATAAATTTGGAAATTTCTTCTTTAATTTGAATATCCCAAAAGCTAAAGCACAAAATACTACAATCTCAATTGGAAAGAGAAGCAAATCCAATTATTCACTCATTCAAGTAAATTAAAATTAAAACAATGAATGAGGTAAAATCTACTCACTATGATTCTAGAGTTTAGTTTTAAATAAAATGTTAAATACCAATCCAAAATAAGAGAATAATCTCTTAGCCATCCTTATGAAACTTTAAGAGCTCAAATTCTTTAACTATTTTATAGAAAGATTTTTGAAAGGTACTTAAAAAGAAAGTCTACTCAATGTAAATGTTTATTAAAATTACTAAGTTATGTGGGAGATTCAAAATGGAACATCACAAAGGGCCATCATTGTTATTTTAGGAAGGGGATAAATCAAATGATAAATTATATATTATCTTCAGAGGTTCTGTTGGTTTATTTAGAGCAAAGAAATTTGATACGTTTTAATAGCAATAATAACAACCAAATTAGCAAACATAGCCAATTTAATAACTTCTAGAGAAAGTTTCCAGCAATCTTAAAGAACTAAATAAATAGTAGATTTCAAAACCAAACTTTATGAAGAGTTTAGCAAATTCAAAAAGATTTGCTAATAAATTAATGAGCACTTTGACATAATATACAACAAAAGAAGACTTATTAATATCTTAATAGGAGATGTCAATTTTAAATGAAAAATATGGAGATACTGTAAGAATATTAGGTTAAGGAGATGGTTTTGGAGAGGTAGCTATAATTGAAGGGACTCCAAGAGGACTTACTGCATGTGCAGTTTCTCAAGATTGCTTTTTATTGATCTTAAAAAAAGAAGATTTCGATATTGTGAAACAATAATTTATTTAATCTGTTAAAGATAAAAAGAATTTAATATATACTAAATTTGAAGTTAAAGATGCATATTCTACAGCTCTATCTAATTCATTAGCTTATAGTTTTGATGTATCTTAATTATTTTATATATTTAGGTTGAATCATTCTAACACAATGCTATTTTAGCAGTTGAAGGAATGTAATAAAAAGTATTTTATTTGATTGCTTCTGGTGATATCTTATTAGAGAAATTTATTGGTAATAAAAATACTAAAATTTGTATTTTGACAAAAGGATAATTTGTGGCTGAAGAGATTGTAGTAAATTAAGATAGTGTTTGTGAATATAGTGCAAGAGTATTATCTAATTAAGCAACTCTTATGGTTATGAATAAAAATGAGTTTTTTCAAAAATTTCCAGAAGAATGTAAACAATAAATAAAGAAAGAATACTTTAAAAAAAAACAATTCAGGATTTCTTTTCCTGAATAAACACTTGATAAGATTGCAGATATTTAAAGTTCAAAAACTTCACCAAAATAAACAATATAAATTAAAGTTAATCCTTTATCTGTTAGAAGTCAATAATCTTCTCGAAATTAATCTTGTTAATTAGATATTAAAGATATTCTTGAAAAAAAGAGATCTATATACTAACAGAAATATTAAGACAATGCTAAAAAAAGTGAAGACATTATTTTATTTACTGAAATGTGTTATTCACCAAAAATATGTCATACTCCTAGTTACAAGAAATTAAATAATGTATTGTAGAAATCATTTCATTAACATTAATTAAAAAAAATAATGAGAAAAAAATTTAGATATAATTCTAGCACTGATATTCCTATTTCATAGTTATCAGTATATGAAAGGAGTTTTAAATACTAATAAACACCATCTACTAATCTAGTTAGTCAAGAATTAGAATAATGAATCTTTTCAATTAAAATTTGCATTTCTTATATTTATATATATAATATGTTATTTCATGATTATTATTATGGTTATTATTGGGCTGTCTAAGATCTTGGTTATTATGATGGCACTTATTATGGTTAATGAGTTTATTATTATTGTTATGGTTATGATGGTCTTGCTACAGGTGCAGGAACATATTATTATGATTATACAAATTAAGGAACAACTCTAGATGCTATCATTGGTTGTTAAACATATTAGACTGGTTATTAAACATATTAAACTGGTTATTAAACATATTGAACTGATTGTTGGATCATTGGTTATTGAACAACTGATACAGCTTATTAAACATATTAAGTTGGCTGTTAATGAACAACTTATCTTTCAACTGGATAATATTCAACTCTTTCTTAATATCTATCAACTGGTACATACTCTGAATGATATATATTCATTAATTACCTGTGTATTTCTCTTAAAATACTTAAGGAACATATTCAGTTTAATATTCAACAGCGTAGTAATCGGTAACTTTAGTTTCTCTTGGAACATAAGATACAATTTCTTATTCTTCGTATTCAACAACTGCTTTTTAATATGGAATATATTCTATTCTTGATTCTCCTTTAATTGTTTGATGCTAAAATTAAATTCAAATTTACTTAAGCAACTGGAGTAGGGGCAACTGCAATTTACTAAACTTGGACAGGTGCAAATTGTTAAACAGGAACAGATGCTATTGGTGCAACAGGCATTTAGGCCACTGGTGCATATTAAATTGGAGCTACTGGAGCAACATAAGATTATCTAATTGGAGAAGCTGGATAATAAGTTGGTGGTAAATATGTATTTGGATATACTGCACCTGTAGGTCTTTATTATGCCTAAGGTGCTGGAGCTTATTAGGGTTATTAAGCAGCTTATGGATGATTTGACATTGTCGTTTAATATTTTATTAATTCAAAAATAATATTAAAACTTTATCTGTAATTTATTTAAAAATATATCTCAACATAATACATATTAATATTAATTAATACTTAATTATATTTCTACTTTCATTATTATTTAAAGAACTATCATCCAATCTTATTTATTTATTTTAGATTTTACTTTCTATTGAACTATTAATTTAATTCATCCTATTATTACACATTTCTATTCATGTTTATTGCATTAAAATATATACTCTATATTCTTAATTAACAGATAAATTATATATCATCAATTTTATTCATTCAAGGATCAATTACATAATATAAACTACATCAATATTTAGTTGAATCATTTTAAATCTTCGTATATTTTCTATTGCCATTTATAGTTCATATTTTAACAGTCTACACAATTTAATTAATTTGCTCTTTACTTTTATTTCAAACAAAGAAATCTACTTATTATTAACTTTCAACACCTTTTTTAATTTATTTAAAATATATTCTATTTTTATTCTTTATTAATATTTAAACATCCTTATTTATAACATGTCTAAGGTTTGTAATATCATCATCGAAAAAAATTAAATTCTAAGACCATAATAGTAAATTGATTTTCAGTTTAACTTTTCAATTTCCATTAAAGATTATTTATTTATTGATGTTTATCGATACTAATTACATTTAAATTAAATTTCTATTGAATGTTTAACCTAGATAAGTTTTATTTTCATTTAAAATTAAGTTAAATCGATATTTTTAGTGAATTGAAATATATTTAAACTTTCCAATTTAATGTGTCTTTATCTTATTTATTTTCTCTCAAAATAATAAATTTATTAATCATTACTANGGAGTAGGGGCAACTGCAATTTACTAAACTTGGACAGGTGCAAATTGTTAAACAGGAACAGATGCTATTGGTGCAACAGGCATTTAGGCCACTGGTGCATATTAAATTGGAGCTACTGGAGCAACATAAGATTATCTAATTGGAGAAGCTGGATAATAAGTTGGTGGTAAATATGTATTTGGATATACTGCACCTGTAGGTCTTTATTATGCCTAAGGTGCTGGAGCTTATTAGGGTTATTAAGCAGCTTATGGATGATTTGACATTGTCGTTTAATATTTTATTAATTCAAAAATAATATTAAAACTTTATCTGTAATTTATTTAAAAATATATCTCAACATAATACATATTAATATTAATTAATACTTAATTATATTTCTACTTTCATTATTATTTAAAGAACTATCATCCAATCTTATTTATTTATTTTAGATTTTACTTTCTATTGAACTATTAATTTAATTCATCCTATTATTACACATTTCTATTCATGTTTATTGCATTAAAATATATACTCTATATTCTTAATTAACAGATAAATTATATATCATCAATTTTATTCATTCAAGGATCAATTACATAATATAAACTACATCAATATTTAGTTGAATCATTTTAAATCTTCGTATATTTTCTATTGCCATTTATAGTTCATATTTTAACAGTCTACACAATTTAATTAATTTGCTCTTTACTTTTATTTCAAACAAAGAAATCTACTTATTATTAACTTTCAACACCTTTTTTAATTTATTTAAAATATATTCTATTTTTATTCTTTATTAATATTTAAACATCCTTATTTATAACATGTCTAAGGTTTGTAATATCATCATCGAAAAAAATTAAATTCTAAGACCATAATAGTAAATTGATTTTCAGTTTAACTTTTCAATTTCCATTAAAGATTATTTATTTATTGATGTTTATCGATACTAATTACATTTAAATTAAATTTCTATTGAATGTTTAACCTAGATAAGTTTTATTTTCATTTAAAATTAAGTTAAATCGATATTTTTAGTGAATTGAAATATATTTAAACTTTCCAATTTAATGTGTCTTTATCTTATTTATTTTCTCTCAAAATAATAAATTTATTAATCATTACTATTATTCTGTCGAAAATCAACTAAATAATAATTAATTAATAAGATTCCATTTTTGCCATAATAGAAAATTAATAATACAATAACATTAAGATAAATAAATATTCTTTAATATATAGATATTACTCTATTGGTATTAAGAATTAAAAACTCATCATTCAAAATTTATAAAAATTCAAATAGTTTTTTTTTTACATATTTCCTCAGAGGCTTTCTAATTATTATCTTAAAACAAAAGAATGGGTTTTCTGTCATGATTGATGATACTTTATATTGCATTAATTTTAATATTATAATTTTATCTTGAATAGTATTTATTTATTTTTTATAAGGGAAAATTAATAACAAAATTATTCACAAATGCAATAATAATAATTCAACTAAAACCAGGAATAGTAGTAACAGAATAATTAAAATCAAAGTAACCGAATTGAGTTTGAAAATAAATTTCTTGAAGCGATTAGAAAATCAAATAATTCTAGAGATAGAAGTGAACAATAATAAATGGACAATAATCAAATATCAGTAAAAATAATATTTAAAGTCTCAGTATTAATCTAATAGTGGCCAAAGAATAACATCGATTAAAATAATAGATTAAAATTAATAATACGATTGCACTGCCATTGCATTTCATCCAAAAGTTGAATAATATTTAGCAGTTGCAGTAGGAAATAAAGTTTTAATTTACAATTTATAGATTAATTAAGGATTAGAAGAAAATGACGAATCAAGACCAGGAATACTAAGAATTAATGAGTTAAATGAATAACAAATAATTACAGCTCTTAATTTTCTATTTTATAAAGTAATTACAAATTATCATGATATTATTGTTGGTACTAATGATGGAATAATTCATATTGCAAGATATAGACCATAAAACTATCAGTAAGGAACAAATAACTTAATAATAGAAAATAGAATTTAAAATATTGGAACTTAAAATCATATTGATCAAATAAGTTGTATTTTAACATATACATATACATATACTTTTTAATTTGACGATTTAAATTCTAGATAAAAAGAAGAAATAATTATTTTAACAAGTAGTTATGACGGACAAATTTTATAATTCAGTTATGAATAAATTAAAGAAGAAAATGAAGAAGAAAATCAATAATCAATATAAAATTTTTTGATGGAAAATAAAGGAAAGGTAAATAATAAATTAAACATTTAGTAGATTACTTTTCAATAAGAAGCAATTTATTGGATATCTCTTAGTGATATTACTGGCAGGGAAACTTAGAATTTGATAGCTTCAGGTTATGAGAATTATTTTTATATTTGGGAGAGAAAATAAAATTAAATAAAATGGAAATTCATATCTAAATATAAAAGATATGGTGTTGGCACTAGAGTAGCCTTTTTTGGATCAAGCTTTATAGTATGGCAAATTTTTTAAAAAGATTATATAAATATTTTACAAAATTTACATAATTGGGATAAGAACCCTGATGCACCTCAAACTATAAAGGCAGAAAATGTAATAAAAGTTGAATTCAACGAAGAATACATTCCTAATTAAGCAATTTTAGATAATGATAAATTTCCTTTATTGTTAAATAACTAGAGTTAAGACATGCTAATGGGAATCAAATATGGAAAGAATATACATTTTTTGAAAGGCCTTTTATAATTTAAAAGTAAAGATGTGTAACGATAATTAAATTTAAAGGATTACACCACAGTAAAATTCTCATTTCTTAAAGAATATGTAGAATGTGGGCTTAATTGCACTGAAGGGGCTATCTCACCATCTTGTAACAATATTGCAATCTATGATAATTAGACAAAATAAATTAAAATTTACAATACACCATTATCAAAAAATAAATGATATATAATAGAATTAAAATATTAAAAAAAGTTTTTAAAATTTGAAATATTTATGCAGCATTCCTAACCTTAAGTTTCTATTTAATATAATTTTTTATAAAATTCATTTTAATTTACAAATTTAAGTAAATTACTAAAAATGGTTATCTAAAAAAGAAACACCAGCATTATTAAACTTATAACGACTTTTTTCATTATAAAAATAATAAATAATTAATTTCTATTGAATATAAATTAAAAATGATTGGATTAATAATCATACTGAATCCTTAAAGATTTTTTAGATCAATGTATTATTAAAACCAATAATAAGCTTAAATTAATATTCTACTAATTAAAAAATATATCAAAAACTATTTTAATTTTAGTGTCAGTTCTGGAGCTAAATCTGATAAAATCTAAATAGTTTTTGAAATAAATTTATCGTTCTTAAAAGATTTTAATTTATTTTAATACAAAAAGTGATGCTACTTAGTAGGCTTAAGTGGGAGTGAAGTATTTAAGTCCAATAAAGAATAAATATTTTGTAAAAAATTACATCTTTTTATTTTTTCTTAAGAAGTATAAGTTTGATAATATATTATAAGTAATGCCAAGCAATAATTTTACTAATTATATTAGTCAATAAAAATAAAAATCAACGAATCGTATTACAGTTAAACTATAAGATGAATAATGACTTCTAAGATTTAAAGAGTAAATAATTGATTAAATAGTGAAGAGAAGAAGGGTTTAAAAATTTTATGTTAAATTCTAAGAAAATTTTATTAAATTTTGAGTTTAAATTCTGAATATGGAAATAGAATAATAATTTACAGAAGTTAAGATTATGTTGTAGAGGAAATTGCTGATAAATTATAAAATTTAAAATCATCAACCCTCGGAATAATATTTGAGTGATACAATACTTGTTAAAAAAGAGTGATATATAGAGAAAGGAAAGTGATGTTTTTGAATTTATTCTAATCCAGACTCCTTTTTTGATTTCTGATTGAAGTTTTCAATTCTATTAGAAATTCAATGTTTAATGAAGGAGAATATAAAATCAGAATAACTTTTTATAGAAAATTAATTTTATATTAAAATATAAAAAATTGATTATATATTCATTTTGGTTAATTAATAATAAAAAACAGGTTTTGAAATAATTAGATAATTATTGTTTATCTATATATTAATCATATTTTGAACATATTAAAAGTTTAGTGGTTGATTCAATTAAATATTATAGTTGCATCAAAGTAGCCTGTTAATTTCATAGCAATCATCATTAATGACATAAGTATCAAAAAAATGATAGGAACCATAAATGGATTAGTAATGAATTTACTTGTAATTGTTAATGAGGTTTGATCTGTTTCAATAAAAGATTTGTGTAATTAAAGTAATTCAATGTAAGCTTAAGTTTCTTCTTATTTGTCAATAAGTGGCAAATTCTCATCATTCATATTTTTTATTTAATGGAATTACAAAATTAATTACGATCTTACTTGAGCTCATATGAAGCATATCCTTATGTTAGAGATTTAAAGTTAAGAGTGCTTTACGGTGATAAGTAAGAATAGATAGTAAAATAAGATAACTTATCAAATTAGTTCAATAATGTTTGGCCTGTTTCTTAGTTGACAGTGAAGAATCACCTATTTTAAGATTATTAGCATTAAAAGTAATAAAATTAAGTAATCTTTATAATAGTTGAATAAAGAATTATCTGAAACATTTAATGAAGATTACATTCATTTGATGTAAAAGATTGTTCTCCCAAAAATGGAATAGATTGCTCTATTTGAAATAGATTCAAAAGACTATGATAGAGGCAAACTGTATTTTTTAAGAAATCAGAAACCGCATTAAGGTATGTAGAGTACAAAAGTAGTTAAGGTAACAAAGAGTTGCAGACATTAGGAGTTTAATTTTTGAGAGTAACTTTAGAATGTATAAGGATTTGGGGAAGATGGTTTCCTTTAGATAAAATTCATCATAGATTAAGTTTATATCGTGTAGCATACGAGAGATTATACAATTTAGGCGTATTATTTCCAGAAATTTAATATTTTGACCTTAATTAAGTTCATTTAAATTTGCCTTTTACTTTTCCACCTTTATCAATGATGATGCAATTAAAGAGTTTTTTAAGTGAACATTCTAGAGCCAGTACAAAAGAAATCTGCAAATATTTAGAGTCTAATCTTCCTCAAGAATATCATCAGACTTAATATTCATCCTATGCTGAATTATTTTAAACTATTGTCAAAAAACATATTATCAAAAAACATAAATAAGCTAGACTAGCTAATTTATTTCTTGAACGTGATCCACAATTTTAAGAAATTTAAGAAATTGAAGAACATGAAGAATGGACGTAATTGTAAAGATTGCAAATTGAAAATCAGCAACTTTCTTATCTTAATAATATGCATTAATAAAAAATGCAAGAGTTATAAAAATAAATTATTGAAACTCAAAACAAAAATTTATTGTTATCATAATATTTTTAAGAAAGATAATTATTAATAGAGCGATATGAAACTAATTTCAAATTATTGGAAAAGAAATATGATAAATTATAATAGGATTAAAAAAATAATACTTCGTAAAATCCATACATTCTTGCCTAATATGAAAAAAATGTAATTATTACTATTCCTTTATTAGATAGCTGAATTTCATATATAATATGGAATTTCTTATTCTGATATTTAATGTCACAAATTAAGATCTGAAAATAAGTATCTATAAAAACAATTGGATGAATCTGATTGTATGTAGAATAAAATTAACCATGATAAAGATGTGTTATTAACTGAAAATAAATTATTATCAACAAGAATTTCTCAACTTTCTCAAAAAATTACAAAAGGAACAAAGGTAGAAAAAGAAGACTTAAAGACTTAAGAAGAATTTAAATTATACAAATAAAAATCAAATTTAGTTTAATATGAATAAGTTATGATTTGTTAAAAATAGTAAATTACTTAATTAAAAGAAGAATTAATAAAAATGAGCGATAAAAAATATAGTGTTTAAAATTAGACTTAAAGAGTGAATACTAATAAATATGATAATAAGAAATCTATTCATAGATAATCTAAAATAATCATGCCACCAATACTTGAATATGATCCAACAATATTTTCAATTAATCCTAATATTTTTAACACTAGATTTAGATAAGCCTGCTTTACTTCTAAAGCTATAATTCATTAAGATGATCTAATTTAAATAACAACTCATACGTTATTAAAAAATAAGAAATTATTCATTACATTATCCATTGAGAACAAATCAAATATTAAGCTTTCTGGCTTCAAATTATAATTACATGAAGTAGAATAATTAATGATTTATGTATAAGAAGAAATTAAAAATGATTTAAACCCAGGTGATATTTAGAAATTTAAGTTAGAAATTTCTATTAAAGAAATACCATATATTTTATAAGAGGCATAAATTTCTTTCTCAAATAAAAATGTATCACTTGGAATTCCTTGTACTATCAATAAATTTCTAACTTTTAAATCATGTCAACAAATACCATAATCATTTTTTTATTAATGTAAACCATTTCTTACAGGTTCCTAAAATTCAATACCTAATTTATTGCCTGAATTTGAAATAATTAGTTAATCTGATACAGAAATAATTGTTTTAGCTTAAGCAGATTTTGATGAAGAATTATTTGAGATTATGATTACCTGTAGAAAAAGTTTGATGCAAATTAAAATAAATGGTGTTTAAAATGATAAACTTGTTAAAACTATTATTTCCACTCTCTAGGGACTATTTTTAAAAAGATGAGATATATTTAAAAATAATTTTAATTAGTTATGTTAATCAATTAATAAGACTAAAAAATTAACTTAGATATATCACATTTTATTATTTTTTTTCAATAGATCTTATTAGCTAAAATTTAGATAAAATAGTTATAATTTTTTTTGGTAGAGTATTAAAATTAATTTATAATATTAACATTCTTTAATTTTTAAATCATTATTATGGAATCTTTAGTATTATTTAAAAATCTTCATTTGGATAAAACTTCTTGTAAAAAAATATTTTTTTACACCTTTTTAATGCAATCAACCAGAAAAGGATAAAATTTAAGATTTAAGTGTATAGAAATATTACAAATTTTTAATGAAAACTAATAATTTTTTTGTTATTTAAGTTTAAAGAGTAGCCACACAATGTTATTGATGATATTATTAATTTATTTTTTGAAAATTTATGATCACAACAGATAACTACATTAAAAATTCTTTAAAATTATTTTATTTCATATAATTTAAAGATTTTAACAACATTACATTTGAAAAATGGTAAATTTAAGATTTTTAATAAATATTAAAATTTTTCACTTGTTTTGCAACTTAAATTATAAAGATAAAATCTTCATAATGATAATAGAAAATGATGTAGAAAATTATTTATAAAATAATATTTTGGTAATCACGAAAATAAAAAAAATTATTTTGATTGGAACTAACTTCATAGAAATTAGAATTTATAATTTCTTTTCACTGGGTGAGATTAATTCATTGATTTTAATTAAATATATCATCCTATTATTGAATTCTCATTGTTCAAATAATATTGAGGATTGAAAGTGACATCTTGGTTAATACAGATATTTTCATCAAGTAATACCTCTGGTTCAGATGGATCGGTGTACAGGATTTCTTCAATAAAAAAACATTCATTTTCATTTAAGCACATTTTCTTTTAAAGTTAGAATTCAAGATCTCTCAAATCTTCATCTTGGCATTCCATTTTCATTACAATTTAATCATGACATCCAGTTTAAGGTTTCTTTTATCCTACCTTGAAATACTTTCTTGTATTTATGTTATTCATATTTGTACTTAGTTAAAATAATTTAATATATATTTATTGATGAATTAGGTTCATTATAATTTAAGAATTTTCATATTAAGGTTTAATAAATGGAAAATAATAAAATCAAAAATATTAACAAAGAGATACACTTTTATGTATTATTTAATGAAGCTATATATTTTAATTTAAGTTTAATTTAGATAATATTGATAAAATAGCTCATAAAAGTACATAATTATGTTTATTTATAATTGCAAGTAGATATTAAAATGTTTCTTTTAGGGTCAATAATTAGTCTCATTTTAAGAAATTTAATTATAAGAATAAAAATAATAATAATTTATGAATTAATTGTTAAATAATTTAAAGTTTCATAAGCCATTATTTAAGTTGAATACAGCATAGATTGAAATACTAAAAGACCCTGTAGACTTTTATGTAAATTTACATAAAGGAATAAAAAGTGCTTAAAAAAGAATAGTATGGAGTACATTATATATTGGAAATGGAAATATGGAAGAATTTTTAATAGAGAGTTTATCAAATTAATAAAGGAGATTTGAATAGTTAAGGATATCTTTATTAATGGATTATTATAGAGGGACTAGAAGAGATAAGAAAGATCATACAACACCAATAGATCATTATCTTTATTTGAGAATGCAAAATTTATTAGCAAATAATATGAAACTTGGATTAATGAGACATCCTTATCTTCCTTAATTTGCTAATATGTTTGAAGAAACTGCAGCAAGAGAGATATTTAATGTTCATCATATGAAATGGTATATCTTTGATAACAAAGTAATTTTGACCGGAGGTAATTTAATATTTAAATATAATAGCAAATTTATAAGAGTAATACTTTATAAATAGATAAGATAGATATATGGTATTTCATGAGGCAAATGAGATAGCTGATTATTTAGATGATGCACAATCAGCATTGCTTTAACATGCATATTATGTAGATTTTGATTCCAATTAAAAATTTGATCCTTTAAGAGCTTAACCTTTTAAGAAATAATAGTATTTTAAAGAATTTCATCAAACTTGGAAAATATTCAAATTTAGTTACAAAGAAGCAGCAGAGATTAAAAGTGATGATGAGGACTATTAAGAATAACAATAAGAAGATGAATAATAAAAATAAGAAGAAAATAATGAAGAAAAGTAAGAATAAGAAGAACAACTATCTTAAGAAGAGATGCTTTAATTTTATGAAAGAGATTTAATTGTAGAACAAAAGATTTAAGAAAGAAAAGAATAAGCAAAATTAATGTATAAAAAGTATTAATAATAGTGAAGATTAAATAAAAGTTTTAATAAAGGAGATGTTCAAAATATTATTAATAGATTAGAAAAGGCTCTTTATTAAGATCAGGAGAGAGAATTAGATGAAGGAGAAGAATGTACTATACTTATTACTCTTCATATTCCATATTTATAAACTGATGAAGACAAATTAGTATTTACTAAAATTCTTGAACATTTAGATTAATTTACTTGTATAAAATAATATTATTTTAAGCCGTGACTTGGGCATCTGGATATATGAATTTTACTAAAACAATAAGAAATTATGTCAATAATACTAAAACTGATATTAAATTCATTACTGCAAGTCCAAATGCTAATGGATTTCATAAAGCTGGAAAAGCTAAATCTTTTATTCCCTATTTATATCGTTATTTTGAATTATCCATTGATAAACCAATATTTGAATATAAACGAAATGGTTGGACTTTTCACACTAAAGGATTTTGGGCAACTCTTTAAGATCATTCTACTATGACTATTATTGGAAGTTCAAATTATGCTGAAAGATCAGAAAAAAGAGATAATGAAATTTAAGCATATATTTTCACTCAATGTCCTATGTTTAAATAAGATTTAAAAAAAGAATAGGATTAATTATTAAATTATTCTGAATAAATAACTAAAGAACAAATAATTAATGATTCAGAAATTAAAATCAATTGGAAAATTAAGTTTTTGTCAAAAATTTTTAAATCAATGATGTGATCTATTAATAAATAAATGGAAAACAATATTAAATATTTCAATCTAATTTTAATTTTATATAAGGAGTCTTACTTTTTCTACTTCTTATATTTTACTATATTGATTATTTCGTTGCTTAACCAAATATTTTTGGTGAAAGGGGTTTTATTTATAATTTGAGAATGTTAAATTAATCAAGATTTTTATTTTTCTTAAAAGATTTTCGTCAAATAATAATAAATTGTCATCTTCAATTTATTTTACTATTTTATTCAATTTATATTATAATTCTTAATCAAAATCCATATAAATATGCATATTAAACAATATCAGTCATTACATGCTATGGGGACTACTATTCTTTCTAATTTAATCATTAATAAGAAAATCCCCTAAAATAATGTTTTTGCATTTTATTATTGATAGAAATAAGAATTTTTAAATTTATATTTGGATTATGCTAAATCAATTTAATTGACAAAAAATTGATTATAGATTTCAACTTTGGAAACTCAACTCATATTATTTCTTTTAATCATGAATGAATCAGTTAATATTTAAATTAAAAATATGTTTAAAATATAATCAAAGTTATTGAAACAAATAAAACCTTATACAATAAACACTTTCATCCTATTATGTGAAAAATGAAGAGTAGGGACTTATCAATTTTAAAATTTTATTTATAACCAGATGTCCCATTCTTAATTCTTTATTTTCATTATTATATTTTAGATAGTTTTTATCTATAGAATTAGTAAATTTAATTTCAATAATGTAATGTTGAACATTATTATTATATTGTGAATTAATTTCAATTTTAATTATGTCTTAAGCAAATTAAATAGCATTTTCAATTATATTATAAAGTAATTGTCTAAGAAGTATTTCATTTTCTTAAACGATAATATTTGATTTTGCTTTAAGAGTTACTGAAATTGACCTAGATGATAGAGAGTATTTGAAATGAAATACAATTTATTAAATTAAGACAACTAAATTATGTGATTTTTTAGTTTAAAAGTGAAAATGTTAAGAATTAAATAAGATTTTGCAATTAGCAAAGTAAATATTTAGTTAAAAAAGTTCTTAAGCTAATTTATTAATCATATCAACTAAATTATTTTACTTAAAATTTTGATATAAAAGTGAAATACATTCTTATTAAGCATTAATTTTTTAAAAACTTTCTTTAACACACCGTTTTAATAATTGATTAAAAATAATCATTTTTTCATTAGTCTTGATAATAAAATCATCATAGGTTTTTTAAAGATATATGACACATAATGGTTAATCTTCATGTAACAAAATAAGTTGACAAAAATATTCTTAAGATAAATGTTTAACCCTACATCTATACGCTTAAAAAGTTTTATGAAGCATAGAATCTTCTCCAACCTTTTTTTTAAAAAATTTATGAATTAATTGTTCAAGATTCTATTTTCCTTAAAATTACAAAATAGAAGATTATTTAGTCAATATTGAAGTAGTTTTACCTTCTAAGATAATTACATCTCTAGTAAATCTTATAAAACTACTTTAATCATTAATTTTAAGAGTTGATTTAGCACATTTATTTGATTCAGAGTAGATCAATCTTATATCATTTTCATTACTGAAACATTTAAGAATGGGAATTTCAATTTGATTTATCAAATTCTCTTTAATTTTTTGAGCATTTTGGTGAAGTGTATACTTTTACCTTTTTTCAAATTCTTAATAATATGTCACTTGAAAGGCAAACATAAGTGAGAAGAATGCAAATCCAATCCAAACGAGACTAACAGTTTCACTTAATAAGCTTAGTGTTAATTAAATTATAGTTGAATAAAGACTCACTAAAAGTTTCAAAGTGCATTTCGTACCTATGGATAAGCTAAAGACTTTTATATATTAAATTTACCACACTGACATTTGAAATGCAGCACTGGTTATCATCATAATTGTTCCTCGATGCAAAGAGTTGTCTAATAAAGTAATCAGAGTAGCAAGCAGTGTTTAAATTTCTATCTGATATATAAGTGCCACTATATTAAGATATTAAATTGATTTTTTGGAAAGCAAAATTGCAATTATTGTCTAAACAAACATATAGCTACCCAAAGTAATATATAAATAATTGCCAATAATTAGAAAATAGATAGAACCTGAAAAAGACCCAAGTAACATACTGTAGAGTAGCCTTTTAAATAAATTAAAGTCTATTTTATGGGAATAAAGTCCATAATTATTTTCTTCTTGAGGATCTTTAAAATTCAAAGTGATATCCATTTCTTAATGATTTATTTATTTATTATTATGATATATGATTGATAAAATTAAAAAGTATTATTGCTTTAATTAAATCAATATGTTTGAATGCACTTGATTTAGAAACAGTTCATTTATCAAATTTATGCTTTATATTTTTGAATTATTTAATATGCTCAAATATAAATAAAAAAAGATTTCGAAAAGACTAAATGAAGTAAAGATACTAATCTAAAATACGGATATAATTAATTTTTAGGAAATAAATGATAAATTGAATAATATGAGGAGAATAGTGATTCTAAATTCTATAGTCCTAAATGTTTATTTGGAATAATTCTCATATAAACAACAGTTAAAGAACCTTAAAGATAAATCTGTTGTAAAATTAGAGTTAACTATTAATTAAAATGAGTAAAGGTACTTTCTAATTTTTTTATTTTTAATAGTTTCAAGGCATTTGACATTAAACCTATAAATTATATTTATTAAAAATTAAGCGAGAAAACAGTAATTAATCATAATTAAGCATGCGAATACATAAAAAATTAATGATAGTACTATTGATACTATTCTAAAAATAGATCAGATAAAATTTATAAAAGAATAATGTGCAAAAGATTGATTTGAAAATGAGAAAGGGGATATAATAATTAAACTAAAATAAAAGATGGCTTTAATTTAAAATAAGATCTGAAGAATTCAAAAATAAGTTATGATGATATAAACAAACTTTATGATTATGAGATGAAAAATTAGTATTTAAGTCTTTAGATAAGTCTCTTGTGTTCGAAAATATCTAATAAACTACTTGAAATAAATTTGAAAAGAATAAGAACTTTAATTTATAATAAATAACAGTGATTATTAAATTTAGATAGGGATTTCTTACAAAACTTTTAATTAGGAACCAAGATTAGCTTTTCAATATGGAGTTATATACATTACAATAGAGTTAATGTATTATAAAATTATTTAATTAAATAGATAATGAGACTTTTTGAATTATATAAAAAACTTTGAGATGATGTCTGATTAATGAATGTATTTAAATCATATTTTCTTCAAAGGAACTTTCTTGCCAGCTTTAAGTGATTCAAAGTCATTTTTCAGCTCTTCTAATTCATCATCAATCTTAAAGATTTAAGTTTCAAGATTTTTCTCCTTTTCTCTCTCATTATTTGATTAAGCCCAATAATAGTGTTACTAAAATGAGGATAATTTGTTACTAGCATTTCTCTCCTCTGTTTTCTAAGTGATTCATATTTATCTTCAATTTAATTAAGTGAGGATCTTTTTCCAAAATATGAGGTAGTCTTTTCAATAGTTGTCATTAACATATAAACAACAACTAATACAAGTGTTATCCCTAACAGTGCATAATTCTGCATCTTTATTTAATTATTAAATATTTATATATGAATCGACTTAGATTGTTGAGGAATTTGACAATTCCTAAATTATTCAGCAGAATTACCTCTTTAGCTCTACCTTATTTTATTTATAATAACTATCGTAATAATCCTATACATTGTTCTAATGAAGGTAAATCATATTTTCATAATACTTTCTAGTTCGAATAATGAATTAATAAATCTATGTTCAAAATATTCTTGGAAATAGAAAAGATTATTTTTTCTTAGTCATTTACAAAGAAGAAGTAGATGGAGGATATGGAGAAAAATAAGCTATTGAAGCAGCCAAAAAATTGTATTAAATTGCTCATAAACTATAAATTAAATGTATTTTATTATTTTATCTAGGTCATGTTTATATTATATCTAGACCTTCATTAAAATCTATCTCTTAAGTAATTCAGAGAACTAAAAATTTAAAGATTTATGAACCTGATGATTTAAAATAAATTGAAATCTTTTTTAAGACTCCTCATTCTGATGATTATGTTTACTTTCCTTTTAAAAAACACAACTTTTATCAATAATCTAAATAAAATAAAATATTGTAATACCTATTAATCACAATAGAACACGAGTTTCGAGATTCTTTGATTTGTGCTAAAATGTTACAACTAAAGAATAATTAGAACAAATTATCCTAGAAAGCTAATATTAATTAGACTCTCCTGTTTTTATTAAGTCTAATAGCAATGATGCCTAACTTAAATAATTTAAAAAAATTGCCTTTTAGTTTTTGGAGAGAAAAACTGTAAATATAAATTCTAAATTCCTCATTATTGATGATAAAGAATTATGTTAATCTTTAGAATTAAAAGATGATGATATTTTATTGTTGAGAAATGATATCTTGTAAAAATATTAAAATTGCATTATCAATGAATAAGATCAAATTATACCCCAATTAATAACTAAGACTTAACTTGCCAATTTAAAATATGAATCATTTAATGAATGGAGATTAAATAATAATAATACTCTCATATAAGATACAACCACAGATAAAAAGAAATTAAAAGAACAATTCTCCTTTGATCTACAACAATTTAGTTTACCTCGAGTTTTATATTTGAAGAACAGCAGAAAGTCTAATATAGCAGCATTTGTTAGAAAAATCCAAAACCCTTAAAACCCAAAAGGAAAATTAGTAGTTAGCTTACAATTAGATCCTAAACATTAAAATAGATTAGATGTAAATTTACTTTTTATTTATTTAAATAGAATCATCAAAGAATATCTTTATTTTTTAAACTTTATCAATAATACAATGATAAATTTGAATTTTTAATATCAGCGACTAATCAATTAGAAGAATTGATGCCTCACTTAAATAAATTTTAAAGTAAGTTTGTTCTTTTTAATATTTATAATCAAAAGACTTATACTAAATAATTATTTCCATAAACTGCCAAATATTATGAAAAATATTTCCTTAAAGACACAAACTTTGTTGAACGATTTGATGTTATAAGCTAATAATTAGATAAATTGCTTTCTTAAGATCCAGAAAGTAGAATCGAAAATATTGACTATTTATCTTAAGATCTTGATAAGATTAAAGAAATTAATTTAGATTATTTTGATTTCCTTTAAAGCAACAAAAATAACAATAAACAAATAATTTTATATTATTAGAATGATGCAATGACAGAAGTTTTACTCACTGTTTTGAAAGATATTGAAACAAAGTAAATATAATACTCTATTTAAGTTTTAATATTTATACTTTATCTAGTCTAAACTAGATTCCAGCACTTTATTCTTCTTTTCCAAATTAGAATGTTTTGATATTAAATGGTACTGCTGTAGGATTCCCAAATACGATTGATGTAGATGTAAAAGAATTAAAAAAATAAGTAGAAAATTTGATCAAACAATATTTATGATTAAAATAAAATTAAACATAAATTTATTTTTAGAACTTTTTTTTGTTCAAAATAAATAAAAAAAAACTTGATATTGAGATAATTAATCTTTTTTATGATAAAATTTAATTGAAATTATTTCATAATAATAATTTTCTGTTTTGAATTTTTAGATCATTAGTAATCTTATTTAAATAACTAAAGTAATGGTAGTTTTCCTAAGTTTATTAGAATTTTATTAATTCCTATAAAATAATATTTAAAATAGCATACAACAAAATCAAAATTAGAGAATAATTTATGCATTTATTGACTGAATTACAAATAAAAGTTTAGTATTTTTTTTTCACCCATTCGTAAAATGAGGCAATTTTTTTAATTAGTAGTTAATTCACAAATTTTGAGTATTTCATTGTCTTACTTAAAATAGATGATATATTTTACTTCTAATGTTGTTGGATATTAATTAAGTGCATGAATACAAATATTTTCAATATGATTCCACATAGCCAATTCATTTTAAATTCCAACAAATGAGATTTTTGTAGGTTTAAAATAAGAACTTTTTCCAAGTAGATTAATAAGTTCATTTTCATCTTTTATTACGATTAGCCTTATGAAACTCATGAAATCCAAAATCATTACATCTAGATGAAATGTATTGCATACCATCTGGATCAATAACTAATCGAAAAGATTTTGGTAATGTTAAAGTTTCTTTAATAAAAGCTTCCTTTAATTAAATGAATGGAATAGATCCATCTGGTTCGACATACACATTTACTTCATTAGCATTATTATCTTCAACAACGAAACCATAATTTAATAAGAATCTCGAATTGCATTTACTTCCATAACTATCGAAAATCATTTAACCTTTTTCAATATTTTCATCAGTTTCTATTATAAAACCTTATTTTTCATCAGAATAACACCAAGATGTTAATTTAGGACGTTTATGATTAAGCATATCTGCAAGCGGAACAAAAGCATCTGTTTTAACACCTTTTATGTTGATTCCAAAAATTCTACTGCTTGCAGTCATTCTAGCCCAACAAAATTCATCAAATGAATGTTAGAGAAATTCAGGAGCTATTTAACAAATGTCACAATAATCTTTTTTTAAATCTGTGATTTTTTACTTGACTTATTCTATAATGTTAAAAATCTTAATACTTAAAAATGGAGAGCCTTTTAACCATTCTAAATCATTATCATTGAAAAAGATTGGAAAAGAAGAATATAATTTTGGAAGAACGTCTAGATAAGGTTTCCAAAACGAATCCTATTTACTTTTTTCTTATAATAAAAAAGTTGAGAGAAATGAATGTTTTGGAGATAGTAAATCTAGTCTATTTTGTATTATTTTTTTAGCTACTGGTGTTTCTTTTGCCATTTCTAAAGTTATCATATGAGATCTAGGAACAAAAAGGATGATTTCTTTTTAACTTATAGATTTTCTTGCATTAACACCTCTATAATCTTCACCATAACATTCAATCTTTATTTTAGGGAATACAGCTTATCCACTTTTAAGCCATTCTAAAAGTCTTTTCTATCTCTCAAGTTCACCTGAATCAATCGAAGACTTATTGTAAAATCACATTTACTTAGAGAGCTATTGATTTATAATAGTTTAAATGTTTCTCTATTTCTGAACTTTGATTTTCTGTCTATTACAAACATTAAATAGCATCCTATTTTTAATTATATACATACTTAAATGTAACCCATTTCATAAAGTATCTAAGCCTTATTTATAATAGCCTTGATATAATTTGGATTCAACAATACAGCTCTATTACAATCTTAAAGTGCTAGCTCTAAATCATCCATATAAAAATATGCTTAAGAACGATTATTATAGTAAATTGGATTTTCTTCAATCTCTAAAAACTAATCAAATCTATTCTTACAAATAGCTTTTGTGTATAGAGCTAGTGCTAAATCATATTCACTATTCAAAAAGGCTTTGTTTGCTTCTTCCTATTAATTTTATTTATTAGAAATTACTTTGAGCCGATTTGGATTTAGCTCATTTTTTTTTGTTTTTGGGGGCATAAAATATTATAATTAAAATTACATTTTATGATTTTCATTCATAATTTACTTTATTTATTTTGTTTTATTCATTTCTCTAATCTTAAACTTCTAGTTCTTTCTCAATACAGCTTCTTCATCTGTAAAAAATTCCAATTTATCTTTAAATAACCATTATTCATATTTTGCCAAGAAGTTCCACTCTGATTAAGAAGCCCCATTATGGAAGGTTTAATTAAAATATATTCTAATTTTGTTTATCCTTCAAATTAAACAACACCTAAGAGAAATGGAATAAATTTATAAAATACTTTAATATTTACATAGATATAGATTTCATCAATCAAATCGATTTCTTTTTAAATTAGCTAATCAATATTTATACTTAGAATCTTTAATTTAAATTAATAATATTTTAATGTACAAGCTGTTAACATAGTTCCTTCATTCTTATAAATTACAGTTCTTAATTTCATTCATCAATTTTTTAATTTCTCTCCATCAATTCCAACGCATTTCTTAAAAAGACTTTTTGACTGATATTTATTTTTGTAGTTTACAATTTCCAATAAAATTATTATTCTGAAAAAATCTTTTACAATATTACCACTATCTTGTGATGATTATATCCTTCATAATATATTTCTCTTAAAATTCATCAATTTAATTATCCAAAATAAAAATAGAATTTAATTTAGAAGTAATTCTTTCTCATCTTATCAAATATAAAATTTTATTTTTAAATTCAATGAAAATTACTTAGTTCTCTTAAATAAAATTTAATCCAAACTTATTAAATCAATTATTGAGACAATCAATAATTTGTAGGATTACTCATATAAGATAAAATTTTAGATAATTTATTCTAATTAAAAAAAAAAACTTATATTTGTGATACAAATACAAATAACAAAAAATATCTTTTAAAATACTTTAGATAACTCTTAAAATTAATAATTTGATCATAATAATTCAAAATCATCAAATTTTTACTTAATTATCTCCTTTTCTAATAAACTTACAATTTATTTTTCAATTATTTCATATTCACATAAATCTATGAATCTAGGGTATTCTTTTTTGATTAAATCGAATGTAGCTTAAATTAAATTCTCTGAATTAATCTTTTTATTCTACTTAATAATTTTAACAATAGCAGCATCTACAACATATAAATAATCTGAAATGGTCTATTAATTCTTCTCCATTTCAATTTAGATATCTTCATTTATTATCATTATTTGATTATTGTGTTTATATTGATAATTTATTTTAAATGTATTGTTGTCTAAACGAATGATTAATCCATTATATTATTTATAATTGGTGATTTGATTTATACATTTTTAAGAATTAAATCTAAGCAATTCTAAACCTTAAGCTAATGGTAACTCTAATTCAAATTAATGATCAATTTTGACAAATAAATTAAGTTTGCTTTATTTAGATTAAAATAAAATCTTTTTTTTTTAGAACATCAGATCCTCTGATTGATTTTTAATAAAACTTTCTGCAAAATGACTTAATGGTTAAGGTAATATTAAATTCTCAATTTAATAAGGCCAAATTGATTTTGGAATCAGATGAAAATGAAATTAAATAGAACTTTTCTTTTAACGTAGTTTTTATAAAAATTAATGAGTAAGATTCTGTGACTCCTTTGAATTTTTAATAAATTCTAAACATTCATTTATCCATTCAGAATTACAATAATGTTGTAATTCATTTAACAATTCTAATTCATTTTAATTATATTCCTTTATAAGACGTTTAATAAGAAATTTAACATAATAATTTTAAAAGCTCTCTTTATCAGATAAATATTTTATTAAATGTTTATATTTCTATATTGAATGTTAATTTTAAAGATTGATTACAGATGCCAATGTATAGGAATATTTTTCATAATTTTCATTTACTGCATCCTTTAAATTATAAAAAATAAATTACTTCAATAGCATGAGTGATAATTGTAACATTTGTATTCTCAACTGGTAATTGTTCAAAAAGAGATTAGCAAGTCTTCTCTAAATTTAGCATATTATCAATTGCTAATGTCGGTTGTTGTTGTAAAATAAATATAACTTCTTTATAAATATGTTTACGACTAAAAATTATTATATAGAATACAGAGCTGATAATAATTTAGGAAGAGCATTTATTTCTTATGCAAATTTAACATAATGTAGCATAATTTCAGTATTGAAATATAATGAATCTAGATCATTCATATTAACCTGATTAAAGATCAGTAGTTTTAATAAATCAATTAATTTTAATTAAAAGTCATCTGAAAATTTACTAGAAAGCTTTCTTTCAGCTTAAAAAATCACATTTGCTATTTAAACAGATTATGAAGGATTTGTATCTAAAATAAACTCTTTATAATATATTTGAGTTTATTCATAAAATCTCCTTTCAAACTACTAATAATTAGGTAATAAAATTAATAAATCTAAAAGTTATAATGGAGGATCTTCAATTGCTTATTGATTTTATAAAGTAACGATTGTTTATCTATATCTTTTGATTTCTAAAAGAGTAACTATTTATAATCTATTCTCAACTTCTGTCTTAATCAACTTTAATAGGATATTTGTGATAAAATTTTATAAAGGAGTCTTAATATCCAAGTATTTTAAAACATCCTTAATACATTTTGATTACTATTTAAATTTGATCCATAATTCAATAGTCATATCAAAAAGAATAGAATCTTCTTCTATGCTTGATATATAAGAATGATATTTACTTCATAAGAGTGTCAATCTTATCTTTATATTATGAATAATGATCTGATATTAATTCTAGTATTTCATCCTGTCTATGGTGATAACTTAAGAATCGTGTTGCCTTTATATTACAAAATGGAGATACTTCATAAACTTCAAATTCATCAACTTAATTTTTGAAGTACTTTGAAATAATTTCCAAATCACTATCTTCATTTTCAATAATCATTTTATTTTTAATTTATATTCATAAAAATAATTGGAATAATAACAGAGAGAATAAATTATTTAGAGGTAAACTTATATAATTTATAATACTAAATAATTTCTATTCACTCTTATTCAATTATTTGTGTGTGTTGCCCTTATGAATTCATAGATTCATCAGTTCTTAATTAATAACAAAGAACATAGGCAGCTTTTGTTACTACTTAATTATCACTTATTTCTCCAACATGAGAGTCATCAAAATTATACCATTTTTTTGTAAACTATTATATATTTGGAAATGAATACTTTATTTTTAGCACAAGCTGTATAATGACCTCCTCCTAAGCCACCAAAATGATTTGAAACTGCATATAAATCATAAATAGCTTTTTATTTGTTATTTTCTCCATTATCATCTTCTGTCTCATTTTCATAATCTTGAGGTGTTTTTGAATTAATTAGATAATCAGTCATATCAAGTCCATTTATTGGAAAGTCTACAAAGGTTTCAAGTTTTTACTTAAACATTCTATTGGAAGCTTTAAATCTTTTTAAAGTGAATATTAATATTTAAGGAGCCTATCATAATATAAAAGATATTTAAAACCTTATAAATTTACATACTTTTAAAAGCTTAGACATGGTCTTTACATACTTTACAATACCATGTGTTTTCTGCATTTAATTATTCTGGTTATTATGAAAATTATAAACAATCAGCCAAAGTTACACTGCCAGAATGCTGATTTGAATGACCATGATTCTGAAATGGAAGTTTTGATTATTGTGGTTGTTGTTCGACTATAAATATTTAAATTATATATTACTTTCTATTTTATTGAGAGTACTACAATAATGATCAAATATATCAGCTAATTTGACAGACTCAAATGGAGATTCTATCCATAAAATAATTATTTCCTAATTGTTTTGTGTATTTGAAGAATTATTTTTAATTTAGATTTCATCAAGTTTTTCATCATCAAATTTTACATCACAATCGTTGCAATTCTTATTTTAACAATATGAACAAGGATTCCAATAATTACAATTTGATTTGTAAAAAAGACTATAATACTAATAATTAATATAAATTTATTTATTACTTTATTCAAAACATCTTTTTCATAGTTTAAGTTTTCGTAATTTGCAAAAAATGGTTTAAAACTTTTAAATAACATGAGATGCATTTATTTTCTAGTCATTTATCCATCAAATATAAAAAATCCACTTTTTTAATATGATTTTTTAAAAGAATCAACATATTTATTTGTAAATTAAATTGGAAATCTATTAACTATTTCAGCTTCTTCATCTAATAATGTTCTAAAGCACAATTAAGATCTTTTAGCATATTTTCTTATATCAACGATTGATCGATTTTCCTTTAAAAATTCTAAAGGTGAATATTGATTACTAATATAACCAATTAAATTTTATGGTTTTACTTTTAACTCATCCCCTAAAATATGAAAATAATCTTTTAATGATAAACTCTTATTTTTATCAAATGGTATAATCTTAGTAGTTGAAGTAAATAATGTATCATAGAATTTAAATGAAATAGTTCTTTTTTTCTAACTAGGAATTCCCAATTAGACCATCAAATATGGATCAAAAGTTATAGATAATCTTTCGCATTTTGGACATTTTAAAGTAGATTTGTATTATCCATACATAAGATCGACTACTATAGATTAATTTCTAGCCAAATGATTTAACCAACTTTCTTTAGCTACTACAAAATTAGTTCTTCCATCACTATCTTTAGTTTCAACATATGGTTTTTTCTTTACTCTATTCAAATCTTCATGAATGCCATCTAATACAAAAGTAATTAATTCAGAAGAATCATGTTAATGATATCCTTTAAACATTGGTTAAAATTAACCAATAGCTTTTTTATAATTTGTTGGTGTTACCACAGCTTTCTCTCCATACCATAACTTTTTTAATAGAGATCCAACTCTTTTCACTAATTAACCTTTTGTTCCAATAGGATTATTCATGTTGATTTCATCAAAGTATTAATTACTTAAAAAATACTCTGTTAATGGAGCAGTGTTTGATATACATTAAGTACCACTATTCATAAAACATGTATTTCCTAAATTACTTAAACCAGCTAAACCTCCAACTGAATTTGGTTATTAACTCAAACCTTTTATAGTATCATCATCAGATCCAAACTTATCACATCTCGTACTGTGATAGTTGTAATCTTTAGTTTTACATTCTTATGAACAATAGGCTACTTTTCTACATACACATGGATGATTAAGCACTTTATTTATTTAACAACTCTCACACTTTCCTTCTACTTAAACAGCTTTATTACGAATACACCAAGGTTTATACTCATCTTTAAACTATTTAAATAGAATTTAGTTTTACTTCTATAATAATTAAATGATCATCTAAAATGCCTACATCTTCTATTGTTTCATAGATTTAATGATGTATATAATCTCCAATGAAGTCGAAACTCATTTCATCACTATTCTCTAACTCTCCAACTTACTTTTAAATATCTGTAAATAATGCTTTGAAAATATCTTTTTAATCTGTTTTATATCTCCAAATTCTAATATTGTTATCTTTTGCAAATTCTTTAGTGAATGTGTTAACAGTCCTTGAAAGTAAACTATAATAATCTTTTAATTTCATATTTCTATCAACTTATAAATACTCTTTTTCAAAAGTTTATTTCAAACACTTATCCATTGCAATCTACTTTATTACATTTGGATAAAGCAAAGTACTTTTAAACTCGAAAAATATCATCAAATAAATACTTTCAATAAATTTACTGCTACTTATTTATCATTATCAAATCCATTTGACATTCTTATTATTGGTGTACCATGATAATATGTTGTAAAGAATTACCAAATATCTTTATCAACTATTATGTAGTCAATATTTTCTTATAGATTTTCTTTCATGAATGTATTCCAAGGATGATCCTTTACAGGATAATATCTGAAACATTTTACAACTCTATCCTCTAATTGATTGTTTATTTATTCCATATTTAGTTTACCAAAGTTTTTACTTGGATTTTTGTTAGCTAATTATTCTTCATATGAAACATATTCCTTCCATTAATTAAGCCACCTGAATATTGCAATTAAATACTTCAAACTCAAAATATAATATTAATTATTATGATCCTATTTAAATCTCTCTGGAAATGAATCCATAAGTTTCTTGAATTCCAAAGCTTGTCTTCTTAATTTATCAGCAACATTTTAAGAAACCTTTATATAGTCTTAATTCTCGTCATCCATTGCTTTAGTAAATTTTAATTATTTAATTATTTAATTTACAGAATTTATGCTGATAAATACTGAAAAATATATACATTCATCCCAATGTCAAATATTTTTTAATAAAATCATAGAAATTTTATTTCTAATTTCAAGTATTTTTTACCTTGAAGAATCATTTTATATTCCTTTTAAGATAATTTTCATATCAACATATTCATTTTTTAATAGTTCTTTAATTTTCTATTTTACTTCATTTTTATTTATAAACACTTATTTTTATATTGAATTGAATGATTAATTTAGAATTTTATTATGTCTGTAAATAAAAAATATCATACATTTAATTCATAAAATTATCGATAATATAATTAACTGTCATAAAATATACTGATCTATTTTTCAAATAAGCAAATTAAAATTAGAATCTCTATATGTAAATTAATCAACATCTTATGGTCAAAGAGAATAGTTTATATTTATAATTTATATCAAAACTTCTTTCTATTAAATATAATGATTTACAATAATGATACTTTTGAAAAGTTCACTATAATTAAAGAAATTTATGAAAATGAAAACCATAGAGTCTACCTATCTAATCAGATAGATAAATTCAAGATAGTTATACTAAAAGTTGAGATTGGCGATAAAAAATACCTGTATTCTTAATACATAATACTTGATAAACTGAAATATGTATTGGGAGTGCCAAAAGTACTGAACTGTGGTTTTGCTGCAAATAATAGGTATTAATCATTATTATATGAGGTTTTATTATTCAATAGACTATTATGAAAAATCTGTTTCTGATATTTTAAAGAAACATGGAACTTTAAGTCTATAATCAGTGTTATCGATAGGATTATCTATACTTCGAATTTTAAGTGGCATCCATAAGCAAGAAATTATTTATTGTAACTTATGTCCCGAAAATATTGTTTTTTCAAAAGAAGGAGCTGATCACGACTCTAAATTACATTTAATTGGTTTCAGCTAAGCACATTTAAAATAAGACAAACCAAATAAATTATAAAATAAAAATTCTTTGCCGTATCAATCCTGTTATTTTAATAAAAACTGTCAACATTCTAAGAGTGGTGATTTAGAAAGTTTAGGATATCTTCTCATAAAATTAAGAAAAGGTATGAATTTTTTATATTCAAAGGAATATTACCATGGGAAAAATTGCCTCATTAATTGATGGAATAGAAAAAAGTAGATTATTTGAAATCAAATGAATTCTATGAAGGACTTCCTTATGAATTTAGATTGTATTTTCAATCAATTAAATCATTAAATGATGGACCAAAACATTAATATTTGATTAAATTACTCAAAGCTATTATGATAAAATACTGTAAAACTACACGGCATTGTATATTAGAGTTAAATTAATTAACTCCAATTACTGAAGCCTCATTTGAAACAGATTCATCAATGGAAAGTTTTTATCTTTCTCGACGTGTTATATTGCCTTCATTTGCAAGTAGTGTAAATGTGTATTCAAATACAGAATTAGATTTATCTATCGAAGAAAAATTAAAGAGATTATAGTTGATATCTAAATAATATAAACTAATCAGTAACTTATGAATATAATTTTTAAATCATTTTCCTATTCTTTTTGAGGTAATTTTTCATAGTATTTTAGAATAAATATTATAATTAAGTGAATATAATGTTTTCTTTTAATAATCATTGCTTCAATTGATTATTATAATTGTAAATATAAGGATTCTAATATTAATAATCTTTGATTTCTCAAAATAGTAATAAATTTTAATCATAATTTAAAAGCATGCGAAAAATAATTTTTTATTAAAATGGATATTGACAAATAATTAGAAATTTTGAGAAATGGAAGATATTTAAATGAGAGAGACACTCATACAATTTGTGAATATGCTAAGGAAATTCTCATTGAAGAACCTAATGTTATTTTAGCGACAACTCCAATAATAGTATGTGGAGATATTCATGGATAATTTTTCGATTTGTTGGAACTTTTTAAATAAGGAGGACAAATACCAGAGAAGAGGTATATATTTAATGGAAATTATGTAGATAAAGGGTATTTGTTTGTTAATTAAAATAGATATCATTCAGTTGAGACATTTCAATACTTATTATGTTTAAAGATTAAATATCCTAAATAGATTATATTATTAAAAGGAAATCATGAATCACGACAAATGTCTTAATTCTATGGTTTTTATGATGAAGTGAAAAGAAAATTTGGTAATGCTTACCCTTGGTAATACTGTTGTGAAGTATTTGAATATTTGCCATTATGTGCTTTAGTAGATTAAAAGGTATTTAGTGTTCATGGAGGATTATCTCCATAAATAAAAAGAATAGACGATATTAGAACAATAGGTAGAGATATATGATAAAATGAATAGACAGAAGAAATGAAAAATTATATGAAGGACCTATGTGTGATTTGTTATGGTCAGATCCAGATTGTATAGAGGGATGGGTAGAAAGTAATCGTGGAGCAGGATATTGTTTTGGGAAAAGTGTTGTTGATGAATTTAATTACAGAAATGATTTAATATTGATTTCAAGATCTCATTAATTTATATTAGAAGGATATAGATATGAATTTTAAGTATAAATAATGTTAATGATAGAAAAAATTAGTAACTGTTTGGTCAGCTCCTAATTTTCGTTAAATATGTGGAAATAAAGGATGTTTGATGATTTTAGATCAAAACTTAGAATAGCATTTCGAATTTTTTGAATAATCTATTGATTCTTTAGAATGGATTGTTGGAATAAAAGTACTACCTTATATTTTATGAAATTTTATTTGTAATATAATATAATTGAATAATTAATTATAAATAGCTAATTGGTATAATAAATTTATTTAATGAAAAAGATAGCAGGAAGTTTGTTTGATTATTAATCTGCAGGTCAAGGATATTTGCTGAAATTTATTCAAACATTGAAAGAAACATAGTAGAACAATATTATACATAAATTACAGAAATACGATATAAAATAATTGTATTAAGTAAAGTGTGTTTATAAGTTAGGTTTATCAATAATTCAAAGCAAAGATAATATAGACAACACCATATGAGCCAATAAGATGTTTGGAATTTGAAGAAAAAGACGAAGAGATAGGATATACAACAATAGCAGAGGGCAAACGTATACGGCAATCCTCACTATTTAGTGGCAATCGTATTGAGTGCTTAGCAAAACATTTGTTTGTTAGACATCCAGTTACCTTCACATAAGAGTTTGTTTCAATTGTATTTTGAACGAATATGGAGTCTTTAGAATGTTGTCAAATTACGTTGTGGAAAGTGTTTACCAATATTGATATTTATTATGACCACCAATGTTAATCATGAAATGATTACAAATTATTTTTCAGAGAAAAATTATTTCGGTTTGTAAGAAGATCAGATCTTCTTTTTTTAATAAGATAAATTACCATTATTTAGTATGGAAGGGTAAATTCTATTAAATGATGAATGTTAAATTTAAGATGAATCTATTGGGAATGGATATATCTATTTAAATCAATCAGTTTTAGATACTATGAAATTTTTGGGTATTACAATACTTCATTTATGTTCTATGGAAAATGTATTATGTAAATTTGGTGATCCTATTTGGATTGGTGCCTTTATTAGAAATTAATTATATTTGAGTGCCAAATGTGTATAGAAACGTAGTGTTGATGAAAATCTTGGAATCATTATTAATTAACTTAATTAAGGATTATAATATAAAGGTATATTATTTATATATATCTATCTAAAGAATTTGATGAAATATCTTATAATGATTTAGTAAAAAAAGATAAAAATGGAAGTTTATCCAATCCTGATGGAGTTATTGGTTAAATTATGTGTTCACTCAATTATGCCTTAGAACTTTCTTGCAATTTTAAAAAACATATTTTGTCTAAGTAGAGATTTACAATCAAACTAGTTTACATATTCGATAAAAGAAATGTACATATTTTGATTACATAACTTCCAGATTAATCAAACCTTTATCAAAACCTAATGCTCTTAAATTCGAATTAACATACTATGAAGCTGTTCCTTATTGTCCTATATAATAATTTGCATTATTTAGAATCAAAAGAGAATATGAATATGCTTCTATCATTGATCCTTCAAATGAAATTAAAGATACTGTTCACACAGCACGCCAAGCTTATATGCGTAGAGATTAAAAATGGCTCTCTCAATTAGGATATTAAATTAATTCAGAATTTGAGATCTCACCTAAATTAACTTATTTTGGAGAAGGATTAGAGGAAGTTACTAAAAAATAGATGAAAAATAAATCATCAATTCCTCTTATTCTTCATAGTGATAAATAAATAAGATCTGTTAGAGTTAATAGTGTTCATAATTAATAATAACCTTAAACATCACCTAACAAATACTCTTCATCAATTGTTAATTCATAAAGTTTCTTATAACCAAAAATTAGTATTCATTAAAGTTTGAATCATCTGAAATAACCTATCACTAATTCATTAGTTACACCAACTAATAATTAAAGTTTTTAACTTTCCGGAAGAAAAAATTTAGATTAGAAAACAAATCGATAAACTGATTATTATCAAAGACCTAATCAAAATTAATTAAATTAACCTTATTATTATGTACCTAATACATATTATTAACCAAAAAAATGATTTGATACAATAATTTAATTATAATATTTATTTATCATAATAAATTATAATTTTATTACACTCTCTCCCAAAATTCTTCCGATGCCTGGTTCAACTAAATTTCATATTAAATCAAACTCTTAGCCAATTTATAATAGTTCTATTATTTTTCCAACTACAACTCAATATAATTCATACCTTAAATTTATCAATCTCTATATATCCTAACAATACAGTTAATATATCACAAATAAATTACATATTTTCTATGTCCTTACATACTTAATCAATTTAAGTCTATAATTTAGCTATTTAATCTTCCTTCTTTGTAGTACTAAATATATTTTTTATGGATGGCTTTCCTGCTAATACTTCTTATAATTATATTTAAAGTTCTTTTTATTTCTATTCATAAAACACCTTCTACTACTCATACTTTTCTCTCTAAGTCATTGTTTCCAAAAATGCTCTCACTTATTTTGACTCTTTCCTAATTTCTTAATATAATGATTAGAATTCATTCTATTGCAACAAACTTATATAATTATTTAGTAATTATGATGGATACTCATCATTTTTGATACTCTATAATACTAATTTATCCTCACTTTCACTAAACTCTAATAAAACTTGTTATTCATATTCTGGCAAACAGTTTAAAAGAAAATGAGATAATTATTCTTAAAAGTTCCATCTAGCTTATGCTATATTTCTTAAATAGTTTTATTTATTACTTTGCAATTTGCTTAAAATTTTCAACCATTGGATTTACTCTTTTTAGAAATTAATGAAAATCTGTTATCTTTTGAATTAATTCTCTATTGATTTCTCTCTTATTAATATAAGAATAAAATTTACTCCAGATAGATCTGTAAAAGTGTCTTAATATTTGTTTATTATCTCATCATAAGTTAATTTCGGTACTTATGTCAAAGCCTATAGAATAAGTATGAGATTACTTTTTCAATATCTCCATTAGCCTTTATAAATAACTGAAATTCTTCTGAATACCAAAAATATTTGGATTAAGACATAATTCTCATCCAATCTTATAATGAATGCATTCTATCATCTATAAACTTTTAATCCATATTTCCCTAAAAATTGTAGATCTTTTAATATACAATAGCCTTTCTAGGTGGAAGTGGTGGAATATAACATCCAGGCCATTTTGTTATAAGAAATTAACGTATAAGTCGGAAATCACTAAACCTTCGTATCACATCAAATTATCCATTCTTATCCATTCCTCGAACTGAATAAGTTGTGTATTTATTCAGTCCAGATTAAACTTTTGGATCGCTTACTTCTACTGAGATCTTTTATAATCTCTACATCGATATAATATACCTCGAAATCATCTTAGTTCATGAATAATATTATATAAATTTCATTTTCTATGTGTAACTGAGTGGTATAATTATGAATAAAACATTGTTGCTAAAATTGCTGCACCAATTGGACCTCCTACATAAATCCACATATTAATCATCTAATCCCAACTCTTAGCTAAGCAATCAAAAACTGTTAGACTTAAAGCTGCAGCTGGATTTAATAAACTATTACTAGAAGTAATTGTGTATCTATTCAATTATTCATTATTTTTACTCTCTGCAAGCATAATATATACATGATAAAATGACTAATGTAGCAATTCTATTTTAAGTTAATGATGTCTCTTTAACAAAGCATATTAATGTAAAAATTAAAAAAATGGTGGATCCTATCATTTCTCCAAATAATGATGCTGCTAATTCATTTATAGGTTCACTAATTTAATTCTAATCTCTTACTCTTCTATATATGGAGCTTTTTCCATATTCAATAATAAAAATGATAATGCTGCACCTAAAAATGCTCCTAAAAATTGAGGAAGGAAATAGAAAAACATAGTGCCATAAGGTATTCCACCACCCAAAGCCATTGCTAATGTAATTGCAGGATTGAAATGACCTCCACTTAATCTACCAAATACAAGCATACATCCAAATAATCCCAATGCTACTTGATATGCTTCATTCCTAAATGTTTGTTATTTACTTACTAACTGCAAACACTTATATAAACTAAAAAGAATGTTCCTATAAGTTCAAAAATGAAGATGTTCTTTTTAGAAATCGATTGTTTTTGTTCTTCTGTAATTTGTTCCATAAAAATATTAAAAAAATTTTTAATTAAGATTTTAAAACATGGGTGTAAGAGTCACATATCGTAGAAGAACTAGCTATAACACAAGATCAAATAAGATCAGAAAAGTCAAGACACCAGGTATTTGAATCCATTTACTCTAGGTGGTAATGTTGTTGTTTAATATCCAAATAAAAAAACAAGTGCATCAACATGTGCAGATTCTAATTTGAGTGTTGTCTTAAATGGCCTTAAAAGAATTAGACCAACAAAACTCAAATAACTTTCTAGAAGACAAAGAACAGTCTCAAGACCATATGGAGGTGTACTCAGTGCTTCAGCCTTAAAAAATCGCATTATTAGAGCATTCTTAGTTGAAGAAGTTAAAATAGTAAAGTAAATCAAAAAATGATTAATCATACATTAAAAATATTATCTATGAAATAATCTAGTTGCTTTTAACTAATTAAATTCAATAATTTCATCTTATATTATTCTTTTTTTTGCTATTTTAATTATATAATTCATTATTTAATACATAATGTTAAAAGAAAATCAGAAATATCAAAAAATATTTGATCTAAGAATTATCTAAGACATTTTTATTTTTATAAAACTATTTATCAATATTTTATCGTAATTAATCATACTTTTTTCTTAGAAAAATATTATATATGAAATAAACTCTCTATTAAAGATGAATAAATTAATATTAAATAGTGATATTATTTTACTAAACCTAAAAAATTGATAATTATTTTAAAAAAAAAAAAAAGAATAACAGTAATGATTATTAATTAAGAATTATTTATTTTTATTAACGATTATGATTAGCAAAATGATAATGGATCGTTAGAAGAAAACATAGAATATTGATGAAAATGAATTAGATTCTTTCAATCGATATTTATAGAGAGATAATCAACCTTTAAATATAGGCACTTAACTCTCTTATTCTAAAATTAAAGTAAATGTAGGAATGCCAGTAATAACTGAGTAACAAAATGAAACTCTCGGTAATACTCATTAATCAACTATATAACAAAGCAAAAATTCATCTCCTTAAAAGAAAGGTATAGGAATGGAAGACATAAGATTGAATATTAGAATAGTTTTCAAATTTTATGCAAGTTTTGGAAATAGAAACAATACTAGGTTTTTAAAATCAAATAAATTTATAAAAATGTTATCTGATGCATAAATTATGCCATAATTATTGTCAAATCGAGATTGTGATATTTTATATGCCTAACAAACTAAAAATAATGAAAGTCTAACTTTAGAATAATTTTAAAACTTGATTCCAAAATTAGCTTTGATTCTCTATCCTTAACATAAAGTTCACTAAGCATTTCAAAAATTATATAATGAATATCTATCATAATTATCTTAGAAAATTCTTAATTTTACTGAGTTCGGTTAATAAATTTAGTTTGTACTCCAACCTATAAGTCCTGAAATTAAAGATTTTGTAGAACCTATTCAATAATAATTATCTAATTTACATAAATTTGTTTTTGAAGATTAAAGCACAAACATAAGCAAAGTTTAGTGGTAATTTATGTAATTCTTAACGTAATGCGAAATCTTACCTAACTATATTAATTAATCTTAAGCTTAATTAATCTTTGATAACATATAAATAAGGTAATAAACTCTTAATTTACAAGAAAATGGAAATTACTTATTTAGTTTAAATAATTTTATTGAAAGTTTGATAATAATCTCAAAAACAGTACCAAATTTAGATGAATTTACTCAATTTAGATTATTGTTGGATAAAATTGAACAGTCAGAAGGCTTTAGTTAGTATTTAAGAAAATTAAATAGAACATAAAGTGATAAAGTTAGATTATTTTATAACATAGAAAAAAGTAGAGTTTATAAATAAGAAAATCTGATTTAATAAAGTTAAATGATTTCAAACAATTAAAACAATATTAGTCACACTAATATTTAAAATTTATAAATCGGAAATACAAATAAAAAAGTTGATGAAAGTAAGGTTAATGTTTCTCTGATGAAATAATCCAAATATTTATCAGATATTGATTAATCTTTAATTTCATCTTTAAAAAAATTATTTGAGTTCTTTGCATAAAGTGGAGAACCAAGCAATATTTAATCTTTAAAAAATACAAAATTTAATAAATTATTATTACATTCTGGAATTTTGAATAATTTAATAAGTATTACAGATTCTGATATGATCTATTAAAAATTATGTGGTGTTTCATCTATAAAAACTCAATAAAAAAATAAATAATTAACAAATGGTAAAATGACTTTTGGATAATTTTAAATTAGTTTAGGATTAATAGCTGAAAAATGTGGATTGGATGTAAATGAATTAATTTAATAAAACATTTTACCATTAGAGAAATAAATGTCAGATGATAATAAAGAATAAATCCTATAAGTTTTAGTTGATCTTTTACAAGATGAATAAATTGTATTAAATTATTTATAATATTAGATTTAACTATATGAAATAATTTAACCAGTTTTTGATTGGTATTTTTAAGAGTATTCAAAATAGCAAAATTCGATTTTGTTTCTATCAGAGTTTTTGAAATTTTGTTAAGATTTTGAACTTTCCAATATTTTAATATCTTAAACTTAATTGACATCAATATTTTACTCTGTAGCTTCTCTTAATTAAGAAGGATAAGAATACTCAGACTAAATTTTCCTTGATAAATCTTAATTTGTTGAAGCCATCAGTATAATAGCCATACAAATCTATGCTACAATTCCGAATAACATTTAAAGAGTAATACTAATATCTGATTATTAGATTGTATATCTCCTAGAAAGAATATTTTAGTCTCAAAATGCTTCTAAAATTTATGTTAAGCAAAATAAGTACATATACATAAATTAACTTTTAGGTTATAAGCAAAATTTTAGAATGTAATTGAGGATATTAAATATCGATTTCTACAAAAAGAAAAAGGATAGTAAGAAGAAGAATAATATAATTTTGATGATTTAGTAAATGGAACTATTTAATAATTTTAATGATTTATTTTCAAAATAATTCATTAATTAAGTCTTTTAATTCTAAAATTGTACTTTCTTATTATTTTTCTTTAACAGGAAACTCTAAATTATATGACTCTTCTGGTTAAACTGGTTCTTAAACTTCATTATAAACATCTTTTAGATTCATTTTTCTGTATTTACCAGAAATAATCATTCTACTAACTTTTTATCTTTCTTTCTATTCTTGTAATGAATGTCCATATTAAGAAAAAGAATATTTTGGTAAAATAATATTACTTTAAGCTGCAGATCTTGGAGGATTCGAAAGATTTCGAGAACATTAGTTACAAAATATATCAGTTTTTTAAGCTTAAGGAGTGAGTACTAAATATATAGGAGCTTAACAACATTTACTACAAGGAATCCATTCAGAATCTAAATTAATAAATTATATATGAACCTGAAAAATAAACATAAAACTTTTCAGAAACAGCATGTTAACATATAAGCAAATTTATTTCTTAAATTGTAAGTTCTTTAAATTTATCTTAAACAATAGTAAGAACTAATAATCTTCTTCTGTCTCCAGGAGGTAAAGCTTTTAGTTTATTATTCATGACATTATGAAGGATGGTACGATAATTTGCTAATTTTTTTATTTATTTTTAGTATTACTTTTGAGAAAGTATATTTTCATATACCGTTTACTTTATTTAGTCTCCATCTCATTATTATTAAATTACTCAGAAAACAACATATTTGGTTATCTTTATGTTTGAGAAGTTGCTGCTCTTGGAACATGACGAATAGACTAATATATATATCATTTTTATTACCTGAGCTGTTGAAGGCTTTTTGATAGGCTGAGTTTGTGAAGTAAATGGACGAACTTACATGTTTGAGTTATAGCCTTATACAGGATTAAAAGGGTAATTTTGAAAGACAATTCCCTTTTTTATTTTACCAACTGATTATGAACTTGAATGAATACAATTCTAATTGTCGAATTGTGTGCGATAATAATTATAATTCATATTAAATTAATAACTTAAATTATTCTTATTTATTTACTTCTTAATATTTCTATAACCTCATTAACCTATTTTTATTCAGCTTACATATAATCATAACATATAAATTTATGTTAATCCTTTTTAATAATATATATCAATTTTTAAAATAATCATTAATAAGATAATTATTTATATTTTTCTCTATTTACATAAAATGTTAAGAAAATGTGTAAATAAAAAATAATGTCTAAATTAATAATAATTAATTAATTATAAAATTAAGAGTCTTAAAGCTTAAATATCAGGTAATAAATTAATGATCTTTTGCATCATAACAATAAATAAACAATTTAGATCTCTTACGAAATATTGTAATAATTGTTAAAGATTTATTAAGAAGCAAAAATAATTGCCCACAATCTAACATAAGTATAATCTATTCTAAGAAGGAAGTATTACAAGAATAAACTTAATTATATAATAGATTTAAGGTTCCTCTAATTTTTAAAAATTTGATTTGCAATTCAGATGTAATTATTTAATCATAAATAAGTGATAATCAATTTTTTAAATCAATAGAATCAAAGAAGAGGAAGAATTTCAGATTCCATAATGAATTTTAGATGTAAAATGCGAAATTGAGATTATTGTTAATTTAAGATGAATGTAATATTTTTTTCTCTCATTAACATTTAATGAATTTCATGATTGATAAGAGAAGCAATTCAATCATCCATGATGTTGAACTTACTTCTTAAAAAAATATATATATAAAATTTCCATCAAACGTGAGTTCCTTTTCAAGGCATTGAAAATAACAAGATATCAAGTATACTTGCAGGAGCAGATAAAGATGAGGATGGCTGCTCAATAAATTTACTAAGGAGATATTAATTTGTATTATGAGGAGAATGATTGGTTTTATATTGCTATATTTTCTCATATTTATTATATTTATATTTGTTATTACCCTCAACTCTCTTCTTCTACTAACTTCCCTGGTCGGTTTTTTTGTGAATTTCTAAAAAATCATTTAATTCATAATATACATTTTCTAATAATATCTGATTTCGTTAAAAGAACCATTTAAGAAGATTTGTAAATAATTTGTTATTTTTTAATTTTATTATTAAGAATTTAAATTAATTTTTTAGCATTTAAAGCTTATCTAAGATGACATCTGCTATCTCTATAGTTGATGATGCAATATGAAAATGTGGATAACATTTTTTATATTTGTAATTTTATATTAGGAAATGGCATATTTTCATTGAAAATTTATGAATTCTTAATTTCTAGTTAATAATTTCATATTAAAACATAAAAGATTATTTAGATGATTGCTTTTTGATTTAAAAATATAAATATTATATAATTATTAATGAATAAATAATACTTTAGCAATTATATGACCATAATTTCTGGAAGCATTCAATTTATTCTTTTTTATTATTGCTCTAATTGAGTGATTATTAATTTTAATATGAGCAAAAATTTCATATTCTGAATCTTTATGGCAAATTGAATTAGACTTAAAGCAAAAGAGATTAGAAAAAGTGTTTTATGTTTGATTTTGGTTTAAATGAAAATTGAATTACCAAAATAATTTCAAAAATATGTATATAAAACTAGGTATTTTTTATAAAAATTATTTATCATTCAGAACAGTATCTTTCTTCATTTCCTATTTATTTGCATCTAAATTTTATTGTAATAGATTAAATAATATCAATTAATTCTAAGTTTTAATTAATCTTTTTAAGTTTTAATTAAAATAATTGAGTTTATAAACTCTTAATCATATTTTTTGTACATTTTTTATGTTCATATTTGTGATGACTAAATATTTAGTTTGAACATTTTTTCAATTAAAATATTCCTGTATATATGTTAAATCATTCAAGTTCATATTTTATCAAATAATTTCTTTTAGGAAGATTTTTATCAATAATAAAATCTAAAATTTTATTCTAAATTTTGCAGTTTTGTTCTTATGATTTATAATTGAAAGGTAATGCTTGTCAACTAGTAGTTTTGTATGTTATATTTAATTTTATTTAGAAACTTATTTTGAAATTTCAGATATAGTTGTTTTAACACAAGTAAATTTATATTAGACTTAATATATATTTATACTAAGATGTTATCATCAAAAAATATTTTAATATTGAGAAATAGAAATTTGATGATAAATATTTATATATTTAAAATTAAACTAAATCAATTGTTTGCTGCACGATGAAATTTGATATAATTAATATTATCTTCTTCTTCTTCTTAATCTTAGACTTATTGTTCTAAAGGTTTAAGATCATAAATTTAGTGTTAAATTTACTCACTTCTTTCAAAATCTCTTGTTAAGGCAAGATTAAGTCTACAAATTTATTATTCATTATTGGAAACTCTTTATTCGAGTGCTTAGAGAGTTCTAAAATAAATAGAATAGAAACCTTGTAATTAATTCTAATTATCCACTTATATTGTCTAATTATGTAATAACTTCAGTTGGAACATCTTCTTTCTATAATTATAAACTTTAATTAAATTCACTTTTTTTATGTAGACTATTATCTGCATTAGAATATAATACAGTTTCTTTTTATTTAGGTAGTTAGTTATTAGTTTATTAAACATTTTCTTTTTATTGTGATGTTTATTATTATGATTATTATTATTATGTTTATTAAATAGGTTTAGTTTTAATAGGTTTAGGTTTTTCATCTAAAGATTCTTAACCACTGCATACCCAATTAGTATTCCAAACTAAAATCATGCTATCTGATCCTCCAGTAGCAAAATAATCTCCATGATTAGAAAATGCACATGTAGTAGCTTATCCATTATGACCATAAAGAGTATATGCTAATTTTCCCATTCTTAGATCCCAAACTTTAACTTTACTATCAGCTCCAGATGTCATAGCAAATTATCCAGATGGATGAAATTTTAAATCTAATACAGAATCTGCATGTGCATCATAATGTTAGATAACTCTTTTTGATCTTACATCAAATAATTTTAACTTTTTATCATGTGAACATGATCCTAAGATTGTTGAATCAGGTGAAAATTAGACTTTATATACAACTCCTATATGTTCATTATATCTTTAAGCCTCTTTTTTTGAATCACAATCCCATATTATAACTGCTCTATCATCCCCTCCAGATGCTATTAATCTTACATCTTATGAAAATACAGCACTTCTAACCCAATTTGTATGCTGAAATCCATATTAAAATTTACGATCATTTACACTCCATACTTTTACAGATTTATCATCACTAGAACTTACTAATAATTAACCATCACAAGAAAATTAAACACTTCTAACTGGTGCTGAATGTGCTTTTATTGATACTGAACTTCCCTCTACTGTATTATTCCAAAGTCTAATTGTCTCATCTTTAGCACATGAGGCTATTAATAAACCATTTGGAGAAAATTAAACATCACTTACTTATCCTTTATGACCCATAAATCTATATATCTTTCTTGGCTATTTCAATTACCATACTGATACTACACCATCATTAGAACTTGAAGCAATCGATTTTCTATTATATTTTTATTACTATACAATCCAGGATGAAATGACAATGCTGTTATTGTATCTTTATGTCCTTTTAGTGTTGTAAATAATGTTGGATCGTCTTACATTTCGTTTAATTTTTAAATTCAAATTATATTATTAGAATTTTTCATTCATTTTTATTAACATTAATAATACATTCCTTCTTATTTTATTTTATTTCTTAAATCTTAATCCATCCATTCTTATCCTTATCATTCTATTTATTTAAGTATATCTATATTTATTTTCAAATTTATCAAAATTCTTAAAAAACAATATTCTTTTTAATAATAAACCTCAAATCCACCATGATAAACATAATAAGGATTTTATTAATTTATATTAATATTATTATAATATCATCTAAAATTATTTAATATATGTCATAGAAAAAAAACGATTGTGAATTGATCTTAATTGATCCTTCAGACGAAACAGAAATTAAACCTATCAAAATCTTAAAAAAAATTGTTACCAATGCTGGTGGTGTTAGGTATCTTGTAGAATATAGCAATGGTGAATAAAAATAAGAAACTGAAAAATATATGAAGGAAAATTATTAAGAATTAATTGAAGATTATAATTATTTCTCTGTTTGTGGTAGTAGATTCGATTAATTAACTTTATAAAAAATGAGGGAAAATAACAATAAAATGTAAAATTTTGAAAATCATGCTAAACTACCTTCGATTCCATCTGATGAAAATTATCCAATTTTTAAAAGGCAAAAAAAAATTGATAAACAAACAGAAAAAAATAATAAGTTAAACAATAATTAAATTTTACCATTGCCTTAATAATAATAGTAATAATTGTAATAATAAGTATAGAATTAGTCATAATAACATTAATAATAATAACAATAATAATAATAATTATTTTAACAATAATAAATATAATAAATCTAGTAGTAAAATAATTTTATTTAGAATGAAAAAAGTTTAATTAAATAATAATAAATCCAAAATTAATCCCTACTTTAATAAAAATCAGAATTAGGAGATAAAATTAAATCTATATCATTAGAAAATGGATTATTTTTAGTTTAATGGTAAACCAGACCTGATGGTAATATACCATATCAAGAATATTACAATTATGACTTTTTAAAAGCTACTGCTCCAACTATTTTATTATCATTCTTAGAATAAGAATTTTTAAATAATGACTTAAAATTTAAAAATCTAAAAAGACATTCTTTTTAAAATACAAATAAAGAAAATATTGAAAATGAAAATAACAATTTATAAAATAAAGAAATTTTAGTCAATAATAATGATAAAATTTAAGAAATAATAGATGTCTAAAAAGAAGTATCAAAAGAAGATTTTGTGAATAAAAAAGATACTTAATTTGAAGAAGTAAAAGAATAAAAAGATAATTCTAAAGATATTCTAATAGATGATATTTCAGTAGATGATGCTTAAGAAGTTATTCTTGATGAGAAATAAACTGTTGATAAAGAAAAAAAATAGCAATTATAAAAAAAAGGTATTATTCCTACTTGTAAGCCTTAAGGATAAAATTAAAAATAAAGAAAACATATTTCAGAAAAAGGATAAGAAATATTTGCACTAGATAAAGTATAAGGAAAACTTGATGAAAAAATATTTTAGATGGAAAAACCAATACCTAAGCAACAAGTAACAATAAGTCAACCAAAATTGATAAACTAATCATTTCCAGCACAATTTGCCTAGGTCTAAGCTTAAGATGAATTTGAAATACTTGGTTCTTTGGAAAAACCAGACGATAAATAAAATTAAAATTATGAAAAAGAACTTGAAGAATGTTACTCTGATGTTGAATTGCCTCATTTTTAATTTAATTAAAGTGAAATTTGATAATTATATAATTTATATGAATAATCAAATCTTTTATTAAACTCTACTATAAATAATCCTCTTAATTTACAATCAATTCTTGTTTCAAAAATTCAGATGAAAAACTCATCATATAAGTATCTTTAAGAAAAATAAAAAGATCAATAAATTCTATATGGGAAAGAGTGCTGTTCTAATTATTAATCTTCCTAGTGAGGATTCAACTAAAGACTATATGATGATTCAAAAAATAAATAAATCAATGGTAATATTAATTTTAATTAATTCTAAAATCAAATTTAGGATTTTCTTCTATTATTATATACTTCAAGCAATATGACGAGAGACTAGATAGATTAAGAAATTAGAGGGAAATTTAATATGGAATAAAAATAAGCAAATTCATATAGTCTGAAAGATAATTATAAGATTTTTTTATTTTATCATATCTTTAATAGATTATTTTTATCAATCAAATAAGAACACATGAATAGTTTGATTAATGGAAGAGTTTATTTTATACTTGAAGATATATTTTTATGGAAATAATAAAATTCTAAGTTTAAACTTAAAAAATGAATGTTTTTATGATATAAGAATTGGATACTATGAATAAGATAAATTTTAAATGTAAATGTATAATATTTAAAGTTGTAAGAATATAGATATGAAAATTTTACTTGATACTTATGTAAAGAATGATCTGAATATTTAAATTAAATTAAATATCATCTGACGAATAGACACATAAATAATTAAGAATTTTTGAGAATCGAAATATTAATGATATATAATATGTGTATGACATAGATATTTTTGATAAAATTCTTTTTAGTAATTGGAATTGATAATAAGTGTTAAAGTTCAGAGAAAGAGAATTTAAAATACAATAGAAATTGTAATTAGAAAGAATTGTTTAGTGGAGAGATATCTTAATATTAGTGAAAATAGAGAAGATGAATAAAAAGTTAAATGTATGTTTTCATGTAATATATTTAATATTTAATATTCATTTGTCTTGAACTGTCTTAATGAGCCATTCCATTCCTTCTTATAATCCTTCTTGTGTTTTGGCTGAACATGCAACAATAGACCATTATCTATCAGTGATTTTATTTAATTTCAAACTATCAGAAATCTTAATTAGATAATATAATAAAACCTCATCAGCAGGAAGGGCTTGTACCAAGTCTTATTTATTTGCAAATACCAAAAGAGGTACTTTCTTTAATTCAGCTTCTCCAATTAGTTTATCTAATTCTTTGCCTCCCTCTTCCAGACGCATTTAATCAGATGAATCAATCACAAATACTAAAGCATCTGTATTTTCATAGAAATTACTCCAATATTCTCGAAGTTTCTATAAAGTAGTTTTGGAATTACCTCCTAACCTCCTACATCCCAAACATTAAGTTTAAATCCTTCGTGTTACAAATTTTTGATATTAAACCCATGAGTAGGAGCAATTTGATTGATATCTTCATTAGACAATGCTTTTAATATAGTTGTTTTTCCTGCATTGTCTAAACCCAAAACTAGTATTCTTAATTCTTTCTCTGATTTCTTTATCTTTCGAATGATATTAAGCAACCCCTTAAATAATCATTATACTCATACCATCCTTAAGATTTGTTTTATATTATATTTATTATTTAATATTTTCCGTTGCATATATTAATAAATCATGGATATAGAGGTTTATCTTCGCTCTAATGAGAACTTGACAGATCTGGATGATGTACTGGATAAACTGTTTCTTTTACTCTAAACTATTCAATCTTAAAACTATACCTTCCAGTTGCTTTATCTCTTGCAGCAACACGCTTTTTGGCTTCATTTATTTCACTTTGACTTATATTAGTATATCTTTCATCAGCCCACATTGTGTCAGGTCTGAGTTTCTCTCTATGTCCATCAGCCCAAGTCTTATCTGATACATCTTTCAATGTTCTACCCTTTTAATTTTAATTAATAATATGTACATACCTTATTATATGAAGATACCTCTAAAACAGAACGATATTGCTAAGTTTAGATTGCCTCGATCTTATCTAATTGCTTTTTCTTCTCTTTCAATCCTTCTAAAGCCCATTTTGGACAAATTGATATTATATTATCTGCTTCTTCTTAACATTTAGTTACTCCATTCACACTCTAACATCTTTTGAATTGCTCTATTTATCTAACACAACCTCTTGGTAATGCTTAAGCTCTTATTGACAATGCTGTAAACATTGGAGCATCTCTATAATTCAACTAAGATTTCATTTTACTTTCTTGTTTACCATCCATGATTCCCAAAGTGTTATTCACTCAAAGGATCATAATGAGTAGGAAAAAATACACTCCAATTTACTCTATTAGGATATGGATCTGGAAAATAAAATCCATTTCCATTTCTAATTCCCATACCCATTCTCTTTTAATTTGGAATCTGTTGCATTGCAAATGGGTTATATGGAGCTATAGCTCTTCTCCACTTTGACAATGTATTGTTCAAAAGATTCTTCTTTACATTCAAGTATGGATAATTTGTCTCATAATACTCAAAATCTAATGGTTGACCATCTGGATTATCGTTCGACATATATAAAGATTTAATTAATTTTTATACTATTTTAAATTTAAAAAAGAAAATGTATAACCATATACTCTATGCTTAATTACCCATCAGAGCTTCCTGATGTCAAAAAATATAAATCAATTTTAACAAGATAGTAAGATTATCTTCAATTTCATTAAAATATTTAAAAATATTCATTCCAAAAATCTATTTGTGTTCTATATACTTGTAAAAATTTTTGGAAGTTTTATTTTTTCAAAGCATATCACAGATTATTAAAATCATGAATCTAATGAATATTTTCCAAAATAAAATCCCATAATTATTCTAGATGCTATAACCATTATGATATCTAAAGAATTCAACTTAGAAACTGTAAATTTGAGAACTAAGTTAAATTTATTAGTTCCTAAAACTTTTCCTCTAACACCTTATTAATTTTTTATTATTTATTACCTATAAATTTTTTTAAATTATTAATTTAATTTCAAGCCTTTTTTCTCTTCTTTTCATAATAACTCTGTTTTAATAGTTTCGATAGTTTCAACTGAAATCAATTTTATTTTTATATAATTAATTATGTTTATAGTCTTTATTAATATCTTTAAGAGTGTTATTTAACTTTGACTTCATAATATTCTTATTGTTTATAGTAAGAGTTGATTTATAGAAATAAATTACATATATTTGATATTATTAATATAATTGTAGAATTATGGCAAATATTTGGAATTAATTTGAATATTATTATTAATGTCTTATCATTATTTGTTTAAGTTTATAATTATAGGAGATACAGGTAAACATAATATATGAAAGCAAAAAGCTGTTGGTAAATCTTGCATTTTGTATTAATTTTTGGAATAGAAGTTTCGAGTGAAACATGAGATGACAGTTGGTGTTGAATTTGGAGCCAAAATTCTAGATTTAGAGAATAAATAAATAAAATTACAAATTTGGGATACAGCAGGATAGGAAACTTTTAAATCTATTACAAGATAATATTATAGATCGGCAGCAGGTGCAATTTTAGTTTATGATATCACAAGAAGAGAATCATTCTAAAATGTTAGAGAATGGATTAAAGAATGTAGAACTCATGGAACATTAGAAATGGTGATTGTTTTAGTAGGAAATAAAGTTGATTTAGAAAAATAGTATAATATTCATTATATAATTGGCGTAAAGTTTCGAAATCAGAAGGGTAACAGTTAGCTAATGAGAACAATTTACTATTTATAGAAACAAGTGCAAAAGATAATTTAAACATTATTGAAGTAAGTTTAAACTTATTTAATAGACATTTTCATAAGCAGCATAATAAGTATTGAAAGTTGTATCGAAAAGTTAATAAAAGAATGAACTACCAGGAGTTAGGGTTGGGTATGCTGTCGAAACAAGTAAAAGTCAATAAAACAGCTAAAACTCTAATAAATGTTGCTGATATTATAATTAAATTATATATATCATTAAAGTGAAAATTTAATAATTAACATGAATTTATGACTTCATTTTATCACTTAAATTCATTATTTATATAATAATTTAATAGATTTATTTATTTTTATGTCAAGTTAACTAAATTATTTTTATATTATTTTTATATCATTCATTTTGTTTTATTTTCATCTTATTAGCTTAATTAAGAGAATAAATCATTAAAAACCTCAATTAAGTATTGTAAGGTTGCTTTAACTAAAAATCCTTAAAAATAAAAATAATAAACTTTTGTTATCATAAACATTTGGACTCAAATCGATAAATCTTAAAGGTATTAGAATCTTCCCCTTCGAATTTCGAATGTATTTAATACCTTGAGATTTTCAATTGAGATTGTAGATTGTACATCTAATTAAAAACCGTCTTTCTCAACTGATGGATGAGAAAAGTCATTAATATATATACTAGCATATATTTTATAATTAATCAAATGGAAACTAATTCAATCCAATAAAGATTGGGTTCGACTTACCATTTATATCCTTTAGCTTGATAAATTTGTGAATTTTAATTGTTTAAATATTCAGTCACTTTATTGAGTTATACTTTTTCTAAATCCATAAATTAAGGTTCTAAACTCCAAGTCTTCGCAACAACAATTAAAGTAAGCACTAAATAATACTAAAAAAATACATGCAGCTAAACATAGAATAGCTACTGCAACATATAGTAATGCTAATTTATCTCTATTTCCATATATTAAGACTAAAAGAAATACAAAAGCTAGAAGAATCAAGAAAACTGAAACATAGAGAAGTGGTTAATAAGCTTTAGTAGGATCTTTATGTTCTTCTCTTTGTTTTTCTCTCCATAAATTTCGACAGATACGAGTAGCTTCAGCCACAGTATTATCAAAAGTTTATTTATCTATGTTTCTACCTAATAATTTTTCATCATAAGTTTTCCATTAGAATCCAACTCCCTAAAATTGAAAAAACAGTCATAAATACATCTTTATTAGCCTTAACAATAAAGCGTTCTTCAGTAGATTATGGGAACTCGAGTTTATCTATTTTTTAAGCTCTTGAAGCAAAATTAAAGTCTCCTTGTTTGACTTTCTTCATTAATTTAAATTATATACATTAATATGTATCAAATACTAAAATGTGTTTCACATTTTTAGAATGAATGCATTCTCACATATTCTAAAGAGAAGTTAATAATATACACCAAAGAAATATTGTAACATATGCAAGTACAAACATCATGAGATTTTCCTTAGACTTTTAGGAATTATATGAGTGACATCGTAGCTGTAGCAACATCAAGCAAAGGAGTATTTGTCGTGTTCTGTGAGAGAGAATTGATAGCGTATAAACCTCTATTAAATGGTTGGGAATAAGGTTACAGTAAAAATTGCACAAATCCAATAAGAGATGCATTTTTCTCTTTTGATGGTATATATATAACATTCTATAAAATAAGATGAACACATTATTGGTTGTTCATAAAATAAGCTTCATATTTGGAAGGCGACTCATAAGTAAAATAGATTACTTGGACAATTAGATTAATATGAATTAATTGATCTGACAGAAATCTATACATTAGAATTGGAATACTCAATAGCAAATGTTAAATTCTCTCCAGATGTTCGTTATTTTACAACTCTTTATGAAAATATTGTTATTGTATGGGATTTTAATGCAATCAAAGAAGTTTAAGAAGGAGTTCTCTCATAATAATAAAGAGTAAAATTAGAACATTAGGATGAAGTAATTTCATACAAATTTAGAGGTACTCTTAGAATAGCTCCATCTCCCTTTCCTACTCCTAATACAATTATTACACTAACTAAAACTAATTAATTAACAGTTTGGCAAGAAATGATTTAATGTAAAAATTTTTGTAAATTGCACACTATGCATTTTGATCAAATTTCTTCATTTTGTTTTATTTACCTTAAAGGTCAAACACCTTATCCATGGAAAAATATTTATTTAGAATCTGATTAATTTGGAGTTTAAGATACTGAATAATCTAGTGTTGATTATCTACTTTTACATCAAGAATCAGAATTAAGTGTTGTTAAATTAGATTTATTAAGAAATTATTCTCTAGAAGAATCTGTTAAGATTATAAAGAAAACTAAAAGTGATATCTTCAAGTAAATTAAGAAAATTCTTTTAGTAGATTAAATTGAAGGATAAAAAATTGAAATTATTGGATTTGATAGATTATGGAACTTAATTAAGATCTGTGTTAATCTTAAAGATGATTCCAGATAAGTATTTTAATGTGATAAATTTCTTTTTTAAAATATTGTACATTTCTCTATATGTAAAAACTAAGTTGCAATTATTAATGATTGGAATTATTTATGTTTACAATCATTAAAATTAAATGGTGTTATTAGTTAGGAATATTATATTTCTGATGGAACATCAAAGATTTGGAAAGTTAATTCCAATCTATAAAAATGTAAAATCGATTGTATATAGTAGATTAGTTTATGTATATTACAAAAGATAAAGTTAAAGAAAATGATGTTATTCTATTAACTTCATCTAATGTTTAATAATGTTTAGCTTTCATCATTCAGTAAAATGAACTTGTAGAAGTTCATCTTAATTTATTTAATCATTTATCAAATGATTACAGAGATAAAATTACAGATTTAAGAAAAATTAATTATGAAATAGATGAACTATAATTATTAGTAATAGCAGCCTAAAAAATTGCATTAATCTAAATATAATTTGAGATATATGGCCATGGATAAATGGATTTTTAAGTTTAAGAATTAAAAACTTGGAAATTAGAGTTTGTTTTTGAAAGATTATAGATCTTATAATCACCAGAATTTTCATTTATTTCTATTAATGGAAAATCATTAAAAGTTTTTAATGAATAAATGTAATAAATTGTTTAGATTTCTAAAAATTATAATATTAAAGAGGTTGGATAATTGAGAGGAAATCAACCTATCTATTTTGTGATGAGTCATTAAAATGAAATTGATTTTCATTCATCATCTGGAGAATTTTTAGTTAGATTCAATCTCTAATCATTTCTTGTTAGAGTAGATAAGGCTCTCTATGATGTTTCTAAAGTTATTTTATAAGTTGTACCATTAACTAACTTTGCATTTATTTTATAAACTGATAATTATTTGACAGCATTTGCTATATAATTTGATAAAAATGATTAAACTTATAAATTATCATCAATTAAATAGTAATTTATTTAATTTATCATTTATAGAAAGTATTTAAACAATAGAGAAGGAATTTATTGTAAAAGATTATCTAAATACTCTAAACCTTAAAATTACAAGTTTTTTACAGTTAAGGATTGTCTAATAGTAAAGACTGGAAGAAAAGTTAAAGTATTAGGAAACTCATTAATTCGTTGTTTAGCAGATAAGTTTTGGATGCCCTGTACTTTAAGCTATAAATTAATTAATAAATAAAGTAATAAATTATATATAATTAAGATAATGTTTAATTATAAGATTATGATTTTTTGAGTGAATTGATATAGCTTGGAAAATTATAATTAGTGTAATTTATATTAAGATTGATATGTCTAAAATTTAAGCATCATGGTGCATTAGGAAATCATTTTATGGTTCCTTATAAGAATTTATTAGATTTGTATTAAATGATGTCTGAACCTGAACCTTTATGGGTAGATGCAATAAAAATATATGAAACAAAGAAATTATAAGATAAAGATTCATATGATTATAATTTATCTCCAGTAGATGTACTTAAAAAGATTGCTTAAGAATATCCATTAAAAATTAATATAATACTTGACTATTTAAGATATTATGAAGATAATTAACGATCATTAGACTTTTATGCTGCAATGTTCATGTTCCATGTCCATATTTTTAGGAATCAGCCAACACATAAAAGGAATCGAGTTTTAAGTTCTAAAGAAGTAGTTTGGGCATTACATTCGCTTTAAAAAGAAACACTTTGGTAAGAATGTATAGCAAGTTCAGATGATTTATCTTGGAATTTAATTAAAAGATATGCAGCAGTTTTATGGATGGATTTATCATTTATTAAATAAAGATTAGAAGAGATAGCATTAAATATCTATAAATAATCGAAAGATCCCTTTTAATCATTGCTTTATTTTATAGTTTTGGGTAAAAAGAGTGTAATAACAACTCTTTTTAAAAAGGAAATAAATTCTGGAAAGGAATATAAATCCACTTATGAATTTTTGCAATAAGATTTTAATTAACCTAGATGGAAATCAGCAGCTTCAAAAAATGCATATGCTTTAGTTTCTAAAAAAAGATACTAGGATGCAGCTGCCTTTTTTTTAATAGGAGGACATTTAAATGATGCAGTAAATGTTATGGCTAGATATATGGAGGATATATAATTAGCTTATTTAACAACAAAAATATATGAACCTTAAGGAGGACCTGTAGGTGAATAATTAATTTAAGATTATTTTATTAAAAGTGGTGAAGAGATGAATGATATTTGGTTGATGCATATAGGTTTTTATCTTTTGGGGAAACATGTTGACAGTGTAAATGTATTATTAAGAGAACCTGAACATCATATTTTAGAATATGATAATTTTGGTAAAGCTGTCTGTATTAGTTGGCCTTCTACATTTACACCTTAATTATCATATTATCATCCTTCAGCAATACTTTTAGTAGAAAAACTTAAAGATAATATAAATGTAAAAAGAGAGATACAATAAAGTATTGATGCTAATAAGAAGAAAAGTAAAAAAGCAGAAGATGATATATTTTCTTAATTTTATGAAAGTGAAGAATCAGAAGAAGAAGAAGTTGTTGAATAAGTTCCAATTAAAAAAATAAATGAAAATTAAGAATTTATAAAGTAATAGGCAGTAGAATATTATTATAATATTTAAATGCCTTAATTAGGAATGATATTTGCTTAAGATTTAAATCAAGAAACTGAGTAATCTGAATAATTAATTGAATTATAGATTGAAATGTATATAGTGTAAGCAATCGAAGATTAAGAACACTTCACTAATTATGTGCAATTAATGTAAAAACTTGATGATTTAGCTAATTTTACGAATCATAATAAAACAAAACTTTATGATATTGCATTGAAGAAATTAAGATAATTGAAATCTCCTTCTCGCTTACTTACATTTGCAATACATTATGATTAAACAGGACTAGATGAATTCATATCTTTCTGTTAAGAAACTTAAAGCTTGTTATATAGAATTTGTTTTGATTATCCTTTGTCTGAAAAAAGTTAGGAATATTATTTAACATTTGTATAAAGTCTTTATGAAATTGATGTTGGATTAAAACTATTTTAATAATCTTAATATTATTAAAAGAAATTTGATAACAAAAGGAAATTGAATATCATTAAACTATTAGCATTATTTATGACATTAATTTTAGCATTAGAATTAAAATTATGGGAAAATGCATTTGAATAATTAAGAAAATTAGAGACATTTTGTAATACAGTGAATAAATAGAATGTCTAAGATTGTGGTTATGAGAATTTGAGAGATGATTTTTGTGAATTAGTAAAATCAGTAATTAAAAATAAAAGACTTTACTCAAATAAAGGATTCAAAGCATATAGAAATGTAGATGTTTTATAAGATGCTTATCCTGAAGATTTATATAATGTTAGCGAATAAGATTATTTATTAAAAAATAAACCAGCAGCACCAGAATAAGAATAATAAAGATCAGATAGTCTTGAAGATAAATAAAATTTAGATATTAGTTAAGAAAAGACAATTGAAGAAGAAGAAAATATTTAGAATTAGTTTATCTATTTTACATTTCAATCTTTGATTGTTAAATACTTTTTAGGAATATCTAAAAGTTATTTTAAATAGGAAAAATTAAACATTTCAACAACAACATATAGTAATATTTTTGCAATGGCTGAATAATATGTCATAACTAGAAATGATATGGTAATTAATTTATTAAAAAATCTATCAGATTTTTCATAAGAATAAAATTTTATAGAAGATTTAAGAATGGTTTAAAAGGAATCTTCATTCGCTAAAAGTTAATATTTTAAGTAGCTTGAAAGAATTTTCAATTAGAATCATTTTTTTTAGATTGGTACAAAAATTGGATTGGATCAATATTTAGAAGAAATTTCAATTTGTAGAATCAAATAAGCATTTAAATATCCAATAAGTAATTATGATGAATAATCAATAATAACTTTTAAAAACAAAATTTTTAAATAAGGAGTTGAAGTATTTAAAATAAAGACTGATTAAATAAAAAGTATCTGTATTAATAATGCCAATCCAATAGAAGGTTTTGTATTATATGGAAAATTTGTAAAGCATATGAAATTATAAAATACTTTATAACATAAAAATAGATCTCTTGATGGTTATAATTTGGTAGAGGAAGAGACAATTGATGAAGTTATAAGAACAGAGACTTCATAAACTAATAAGCCTTATATAGTAAAATTGTGTTCTTCAGCTTTGGGTATTTAGATAGGATAAGATAAAGAAAAAGAATAATATTTAAAATCAAGAGCAAATTCATATGAAGAATATAAAGATTTTACAGAAAAAGATTTTATGGAAAAATTTTAAAATTGTTCAAGTAAGTAAATTCCAGAAGAGGATTTATAATGTTTGACATCTCATCCTCATTTACCATTATTTTTATAAGGTGGAAAAGGAATGGTTAATGTAATGACATTTAAGTCATCATCTTAAGTAGTAGCTGAATTCAATACTTAATAAAGAGATTATATAGATTTTCTTAAATTTAATAACTCTGGAGAATTATTTATTGGACATGATGTTAATAATAGTGCTTATATTTGGAAATTGAATAGAGTAAATAAACTAAATACACCACTCTTTTTACTTAATAATAAAGTAAGACCAACTACTGATCTTACATTTATTAATGAAGGAACTGTTTTTGCTTCAATCTATAGTTCAACCAGTAAACCTCATTTTGGTTTATATGATATGTTATTACCATCAAATAGAAATATTGTGGCATAAGAAAATTTTAATGGAACAGATATTTTATTTTCTACTCCACTTAATTCTATTTTAATAGGAAATCAAAAAAAAGGTACTGTTAATTTTTTGGATATCAGAAAAAATTAAATCTATAAAACATTAGAGGTAATTTAATAATTTTAATTTAAGCTACCATTTACAGAGATTAAATTTATGAAGTTAAATCAATATCAAACTTCTTTAATTTGTGCTTGTAATGATGGATAAATTAAAATAATTAATTTAGAAACTTTATCAACAATTGTAGATTATAAACCATTTAGATAAGGTATATAAACATATGTTATTTTATAGATAAAAAATAATAAATTATGGCTTTGACATAGACTGAAAATGCTACATATGCAGCATCATCTGATGGAGTTATATCATTAGTATATTTGAATGCATGAAATTTATTAAATGAAAATTTAATTAGATAAAGACACATACATTCTTTAAAAAAAAATAGGTGAGGGTAACTTTGCTACAGTTTATGCTACTCAGCATCAAAATCTTGTAGCAAAAGTGTGCTACAAATCTAATCCTAAAGCTTTTTAGGCATTTTAAATAGAAATGGAAATTTTGAATAAGATTTAAGGAGAAGGTATTGTAAAATTAGAAAAGTCTGGCATTACTCAATTGTAAGGTTAGACAAGTGGAATTTTAATTTTAGAAAATTGTTCTAAAGGAAGTTTAATAGATTTAATGGCAACATATGTATTATCTAAAATATCATCAAGATAAATAGAAGACCTCCTGAATAATTAGTATTGATGATTGCAAGAGATATTGTTAAAGGATTAATATAAATTCATTAAGTAATAACTTGTAGATACATTATTAGCTTGGTTATATTCATCGGGATGTGAAAATGGAGAATGTACTTTTGAATCCTTTGGGTTATTTTAAACTTTGCGATTTCGGTAGTGTTACTAAAAATAAGCATTTTAAAATTGATAATACTAATAGAGATACAATTAAAGATGAAATTGAAGATAATACGACACCATTCTATCGTGCACCAGAATATATTGATTTTTATGCAAATCATCCTATTACAGAAAGTGCTGATATATTTGCTCTAGGTGTTTTATTATTTATGTTTTGCTTTTAAAAACCTCCATTTGAAAGTGGTTTAGCAGCAGTTAATAATCATTATTTCATACCTGATTCTCATGAATATTCATAAAAGTAAATAATTTTTATATAACTCTCTAGACTTATCTAATTAATTTAATCACTCTTTACTGTTAATCCTAAAAATAGACCAACAGCTTAAGACATTCTCTAAAAAATATCAAATAATTGGCAATTACCTTAAAGATATATAGAAACAACTAATCAACCAATACCTGTCCCTAATCTAAATAAATATTTTGCATCTGTAGATAATGTTTATATTGAAAAAAAAGCTGCTCCTCTTGGCTTTTTTGATTAAGTCAAGCGTTATTTATTTACATTAAGTAAGAAAACAGAAGCTTGGGTTATCTAAAGTACTAAAAATGATGATGATCCACCAAGATTAGAAGATATAAGATCTTTAGTTGTTAAGGCATGGTTAAAAAGAGAAAAAATACCAAAATTTTATTTAGCTATCTAATAAAAAATATTATTACCATAACCTGAAAATCAAAAAGTTATGATGAAATTAGCCATTCTTTTACATTAATATATCAAAAAGGGCCCACCTGATGTTTTATAAGAATAAAAATAAAAGAATCTACCTACTATTTGGAGTATTATGAAAATTTTAACTGATCTCTATAAACAAAGAATTAAAATTAATCCTCAAAATGAAGTAAAAGTTATTGCAAATTATTTTACAATCATTAATAAGAAATTAATAATATGTAATGCTAATAAAAAATTATTTGAAGGAAGCTATTCATTATCTCCTCTTTTCTTATCTTTAGAGAGAGGAGAATTTTGGAAACCATTGGAATCCAAATTAATAGATGATTTATTAAAATATTGGTCTGATTGTTTATTATTTCTCTCAGAAATATTTTAACCTAATCCACTCTGGAGAATTCAGACATTAATTATCATGTAAATGGTCGATGAAACTTATTCATTATTATCTATGTTATTACATTTATGGATTGCTGTTAAAGAAACTTTAAATAAAAATGAGAATTTAGATACTGCTAAATTAACAGAATGGATCTTAAGTGTTGATTAAAGATATGAAGAAAATTATTACAAAACCAAGAAACTATTTGAAAAATGCCAAACTTTATCTGAATTTGCAGAAATTAAACGATTTATGCCTAATTTATAATCTGAAGTTATTAATTATATCTAATCAGTTGAATATTTTAAAGGAAAAACTAAAATTGAGCTTAGTCCTTAAAGATCTATCCATGGAATTAAAATGCCTGTAAGTTATTAAGTAACTGTCTAAAAATTATAACAAGTTCTTTTATCTATGGCTGATTTTGATAAACCCTAAAATCAAATATAGTCAAATTAGGATAACAGTGCAAATTAAGACTTTTTTGCAGATTTTGGATTCCTAAATAATCAAGGAAATTAGTAATAAGTATATGATTAACCTTGGGTTGATTTTACATAATCATTTTAGTAACAACAATAATAATAATAATTACAATAATAATAATAATAATAATAATAATAATAATAATAATAATAATAATAATAATAATAATAATAATAATAATAATAATAATAATAATAATAATAATAATAATAATAATAATAATAATAATAATAATAATAATAATAATAATAATAATAATAATAATAATAATAATAATAATAATAATAATAATAATAATAATAATAATAATAATAATAATAATAATAATAATAATAATAATAATAATAATAATAATAATAATAATAATAATAATAATAATAATAATAATAATAATAATAATAATAATAATAATAATAATAATAATAATAATAATAATAATAATAATAATAATAATAATAATAATAATAATAATAATAATAATAATAATAATAATAATAATAATAATAATAATAATAATAATAATAATAATAATAATAATAATAATAATAATAATAATAATAATAATAATAATAATAATAATAATAATAATAATAATAATAATAATAATAATAATAATAATAATAATAATAATAATAATAATAATAATAATAATAATAATAATAATAATAATAATAATAATAATAATAATAATAATAATAATAATAATAATAATAATAATAATAATAATAATAATAATAATAATAATAATAATAATAATAATAATAATAATAATAATAATAATAATAATAATAATATTAATAATTACAAAAATAATAATAACAACAATAATAATAATAATAATAGATCCTCTCTCAAACATATTTTGATAATTAATTCATGTAATAAGCTGGAAGAGAATCAATTCAAACTGAAATAGATCCTTAAATGCTTTCATAAATTGTTTTTAAAGTAAATTATGATAAAAATTAAGATAATAATGTTCAAGATTCTTAAAAAAATTAGCAATTTTCATAAGCTTAATCTTAAATTTTGAATTAGAAATAATAAGAAAAATCAAAAATAATTGATGTATTTGATTTATTAGATGTTCATGATGATGATGTAGTTCCTCAAAAAAAAAATAATGAACCATTTGATCTAATAAATTTTGATGATAAACCTAATTAGATATAATAGAATGCTTTTTTCTTACCCACCGATATTAATTTTACGTAATCATCAAATTAAGATTAAAAACAAGGCAAAGATTAAGCATAAAGCATAAACTCATAATAACATTAATAATTTCCTTAATAATAATAATTTCCCTAATAAAATCTTTACTAGCAACAGATACCATCAATTTTTGGATAAAACTTTTAATAATAGAATATAGTAATTGAAGATGATGATGAAGACCTTATACCAATGAGCTATGATAATCTTCCATAACAAAAAACAGAAATAAAATAAAAGATACCTAATAATTTAATTTAATCAATAAACCCGACGATAAATTTAACACCAAATAGATAAAAAATACATTCTTTAATTTTAGAGCATGCAAATCAAATAATAGATACTGAAGTAGATATAAGTGATTTTATAATACAATACAATGAATTAGTGTTTTATGAATAAATAGCATCAGGAGGATCAGGAGTAGTTTATCGTGGAAAATACAAGAATGATATAGTAGCAATAAAAGATATAGATATAAATGAAAAGGATGAATAAAAGATGAAAGAATACAAGAGAGAGATAGTGACTTTGGTGAAAGTGAGACATCATTAGAATTTAGTTTGTTTAGTAGGGATTACTTTTAATTAAAATAAACTGTACATAATAACAGAGTTTTGTTCAGGTGGATCACTTTTTGATTTAATACATAGAAATAGAGAGACATATATTGATTAATTAACAAAATTGAAATTAAGTTTGTTTATAGCAGAAGGAATGTCTTATATTCATAAATTAGGTTTTATGCATAGAGATTTGAAATCATTAAAGTAAAATTAAATTTATATTGATAGTATATTATTAGATTAGCCATTTAGTGCTGATTCAAATATAAAGATAGCAGATTTTGGTTTAGCTAGAACAGCATTAGAAAAGACTGAATGGATGACAGCAGTTGTGGGAACATTTGTAAATTAATGATTATAAATTAGCATTGGATGGCTCCGGAGGTATTTAGAGGAGAAATGTATACAAATAAAGCTGATGTATATTCTTATGGAGTATTAATTTACATTAATTTTAGATTGTTTTATATGAAATATTTTCTAGATAGATTCCTTATTAGAATATTGCAAATCCTATGTAAATAATGAAAGCTGTGACAGAATAGAATTAAAGACCTGATCTTACTTTTGAATGTTAAAAAGAGATAAAAGCATTAATGGCTTAATGTTGGCATCCTAATCCTGATTAAAGACCAACATTCTAATAAATTATAAATAGTTTGTAAAGTTTATGAAAGAATTCCCATTCATAATAAGTGATTTAAATTTAATATCTTTTATTAAAATATGTCACTCAAGTTATTTGGGCCATCAAATAATCCTAGACTTTGTCAAGTTCATCTTGTAGCAGATCTTCTTTAAATACCAGTTGAATTAGTTGAAGTTGGATACGATCAATGTGAATCATAGGAACATAAAGCAAGAAACCCATTTGCTAAAGTTCCTGTTATTTAAACAACTGATGGATTTTTATATGAAAGCAATGCTATATGTAGATACCTTACTCGATCTAAATTAGAATCAGGATTATATGGGTAAATATATATATAAATATTCTAAAGTGCCAATGCCTTTTAATAATCTTTAGTTGATTAATGGATTGATTGGACTGTAAATGAATTAGATCCAAATTTCATGACAACTTTCCCTTAATTATGGGGGTATGTCCCAACTGATGAGGATTCATTCAAATCTGCTAAAAACATTATTAATAATAAATTAAAATAATTAGAAACCCATTTCAAGAATTCTACATTTTTAGTTGGAAATAAATTAACTATTGCAGATATAATACTTATTGTTAGAATTGCACCATTTTTCACCTTGTTAATTGATGAAAAAACAAGAAAATCATATCCATCACTTATGAAATGGTTCACTACTGTAACTGAACTTCCTCAATTCTTAAAAGTATATTAAATATTAATATAAGAATTTTGGAAGAGTCAGACTATGTAAAGAGGCCTTCCCATTACCAAAATAAGTTCTATAACAAAATGAATAAAAAACTAAAGATGAGAAATCTAAAGAATAAAAGCCTAAAGAAGAAAAACCTAAAGAATAAAAAAAAAAAGATGAAAAACCTAAAGAATAAAAAAAAAAAGATGAAAAACTTAAGGAATAAAAACCAAAAGAAGCATAAAAATAATAAGCTTAAGAAGATGATGAGCCTGTTATAGAGAAGAAAAAGAATCCTTTAGATTTATTGCCTCCATCTCCATTCAATATTGATGATTACAAAAGAACTTTCTTTGCTGAAAAAGATATTGCCAAAAATATTGAACAACTTTTCTCAACAGTTGATACTCAAGGATTGTCATTATGGATTATTACTTATAATAAATCTTAAAATGAAGGCAAATAACTTATTTTAACCAATAATTTAATGAAAGGATTTATCAATTAAAGATTAGATTAAAATTTCAGAAAATACTCCTTCGCTATTCATGGTGTTTATGGTGATGAACCTAATTTGGAAATCAGAGGAGCATGGGTTTGGAGAGGAACTGAAGTTCCATAAGAATGGGTAATCCATTAATCTATTATAATTTTAGAAAGATCATGTTGCATATGACTATCATGTTTTCAGAAGAATTGACATTTAAAATGAATAAGATAAAAAAGATTTCACTGAATATTGGGTTAATCAAGAAGAAGATGTATCTAAAGTTGCTGATCTTACAGCCAGAAGCTTGATGTATTTTAGATGATGAAATAATTATTCTATAATAATATCAATTGTAAAATAGATATTTTAATTATCAAATTTCATTATTTTCATATTCTTATTTCTGAATTCTATCTATTTTCTCTATTTTCTCTAGTTTCTCTTATTTTTGTTTATTCTATACTAATGTATCCATAACTTTCAAAAAGACTATTATTTTCATTCATAAGGATAGAATATATTTTAAATTTTTTAGAATGAAGATCCCAAACAATTAATATATTTCCATCATTACTTAAAGTACCATAATTAAAACTGTCTTAACAATCTATAATTTAAATGATTTTAAACATTCCATTATTAAACCTTTTAATAATAAAAATATATCTGTTGAATTTTTAGACTAATATTTTTTTTTTTTAATGGTAAATAGAAGGAAATAAATAATCTCCATCAAAATTTTTGACATTTAAATTTAAGTCAAATTTTTACTTTTAAATTATTTGCGAATTTTTTATTTAAAAAATGCTAATAATGTCTTTGTGTTCGTATTGTATAGCAAATTCATTATTTTCCAAAAATGTTATTCTGTAAACATTACTATTTTAATTCAAAATATATTTTTGTAAGAAATTATATTTTGAAGTCTACATATTCTTTTCCCAAAGATTTAATGTACAATCTATATCACTTGAAATTAAATATGTATCTAAAACATTAATTGCAATAGATTATATGAAGCCTTTACATTCTTACAATACCTGATCAAAATTTATTGTGTTTTAATCTTAATTTATTTTCCATACAACTATTTTCTTTTCAAATCCACCTGATATTAACCTATCTTCATTTTTATTTAAAATCATACAATAAACACTACTTTCATGGTGTATCACAGGCGCCGAAGCTACCCATTAATTATCAATCAGTTTAAAACAAAATACTTTACCATCGCATCCGCTCGTTGCAAACCAATTAATTTTTTTACTATATACAGAACATAGAATTCTCTTAGTGTGTTAATTTAATGTTTATATCTAATTTAGTTTATATGAATTTCCAATTTATGATTTTTCTAATTACCAAATTTTAATCACTGATTCGCAACTAGCAACCATAATATCATTTTAATGATTTAATTCTATTCCACAAGCATAATCACACTATTCTTGTTCTCCCATTAGTTTGTAAAATTAGTTTTCATAATTCTATTATAAATAATTATTCACAGAAATTAACTAATTAAACTTTATAAGAGAAATTCTTATTTAATCTAATTAGTACTAAATTTTTGAGACTTAATTATCTATTTCCTACTCAATTTTAATTCTGAAATGAGAATCTTCCAAATTAGTATTAAATTAGTTTTAAGAAAATAAAACTATCACTTATTCATCGAATTAATAGGTTTTGGTCATCTGTTCGATTTCAATGACTGCGTGTTACCATTTAAGTAAAATATCCAAGATATTTTATTTATATTTTTCTATTTCTGTCTTCATCTTCTTTAATTCATTAAGTATTGAACTTCTTTTTATTAACAGCATTGCTTCAATTTCTAATATAATTTTAGATATTGGTTAAACTTTGTGAGAGAGTTCCTCATTTTCAGAAAGACACTTTGTGCAATAATATTAAACTATTTCTTCATCAATTTTGTAATAAATATACCCTAGTTTCTCTGTTTCATGCTCTAGACAGTTTTATTACTGATATTGTGGATAGAATTGATTAATCATTGGAAATAATGTGATTAATAATTGGATTTAAACTTATATATCTAATTCTATAAGAATTATGTTAATAGATAAAAGAAAATTATGCTGTAATTTTATTAAATTTTCATCTGAGTATTCATGAATAAATTTAAGAAAAAAAAATTTGAATTACAGGACATATTCTACTTTTAACTATTTTGGTATTAAGCTCAAATGGATATATTTTGAAATTTGGAAAAATAAATTTTCTTTTTTAATAAAGCTGAATTGATTAGATTTTATTTAATTAATTTATTAATAATAAAATAGATGGAAAAATTTTAATGCAATTAATTTTTTTTTTGCAATTATTTACTTGAACCTCTTTTTTTATATTTTTAGTTATTGAATGAACATTTGAGGATTTCACAATAATATATATTCAATAAAATTTAGAAGTATAAAAAATGAAAACCAGATAAGATAAGATTTTAGTTGAATCATTAAAGATTTTTTTTTTGATCATGTGAAGAGTGATTTTACTATCAATAAAAATTTCATTTCGATAAGACTAATATTTTAAAAGTTTATATTAATTTTTATTATTTTAATGAAAAAATCAATAAGTGCTTCCTCTTGTAGTGGCTACAAATTGAATAATGATTCTACCAGAATTGAATCGTTTCCAGATTCAACAAGAGTTTTATAGATGAATATAAGTCATTATGAAGACACATTATCATAAGAAGTATTTATTTCCACAGCTTACGAACACATACGAGAAGTTAGAGTATACTGATTAATTTATTAACAGGATCTAATTGTTAATTCTCGATAAAGTATGAAACCATTGAGAGAAGCAATAAGTCAATTACGAAATTAGATTTAGACCGTGGAACATTAATAAAAGAAAGATTAAATAAATTTAGAATATGATATCAGCTAAAGCATACATAAATTAAAATAAGTAAGCCTTGGATAGATTATTCAAGAAAATAAATTAATTTGAAATCGTTTAAACTGGAGAGTTTGCCTTGTTATAAGAGTAAATTTAGAAACTGTAACATGATGATTAAGAAATAATTTAGAATATTGATACCTTAGAATTAAGAATAATAGATTTAGCTCCTTAAATTGGGTAATACACATATTAAGAATATTAATAATGAGAATTGTGATAATAACAAAATTGCTTGTTAATACTATATTTTTTGTTAATAAATTAATTTTATCCTTATTTAATTATTTTGTAATTAAAACAATTTATGATGAAGGTAATGTTATAGTCTTAGCACTATTTTAATATAAATCTAATTGAAAATATGCAAAATAAACAAATTATAATATATATTTAGAATTGAATTAGAAATTTTTATGGTTAGTAAGAATTTATAATTCAAATTAAATTAATATTAAAATACAGTCGTTATGCGATCACCATCTCTATTTTCACCTGTAATAATATTTTAGATAATAAAAGTCTAAACAATAAAGATATGAAAAATAAAACGGGTCTTTTTAAACATTTTCAACAACAAATTAAGTGAACAAAGTTTAATTAGCTGATTTTAGAAAAGAAATACGAAATAATATTAGTTAAAGAGAGCCATTTATTCCTCAGTAAGATAAGAAACCAATTTTGTTGACAAGTTGGAAAAAACATGAAAGAAAAAATACGTAATAAATTTTTCAAATTATAATTAGAGAAGGAAATGTAGCAAAATATATGGCTAGATCTTCACCAAAGAAAAGTTTACCAGGAGGATTAAATATGGAAGAAATCTTGTAAAATTAGGTTTTTTATTAGCAGTAATCAGAAGAAATTTATTGATAAGAATTACTCATAAAATAATGTTTATTATCAATAAAGGAAAGTGGATCAATTATTTAAAATGGATTAAAATGATTCTTTCAATAAATAAGAAAACTCATTTTCTAATTTATTTAAACCAAAAAGATAATCATAAGCATTATTATCAAGATAATCAGGAAGAGATTAATCTCCAATAAATTTAGAAAGATTTAGAAGTTGGGATACAAAATTAGATCTTCAGCTAAAGCAATTAAATAATTCTAAAGACCTTAACTATTACAAATATTCTTAATAACCTTAAAAAGAGAATATTTATGAAATAAGTAAACCAATTTAAACTAAAGATATCTTTAATATAAACAAAAATGCTAACAATTTTAATAAATTTATAAAGAATTCTTCACCACCTAAATTTATTGAAAAAATACCTTTGACAGAGATAGTTAAAATGCAATCATATTTTTCATAAATGCCAACAGCAGAAATTGTTATAATCCCAAGAGGGTAAAATATATATTTTTAATTTTAAGTTATATATAAGAACTATAAAATTTGTAACAAACTCTAGCTAGAGTTGTAAAATAATCATCCTAAATTATTTGAACTATAAATTTAATCATTCTTAGGAAAACATTTCTGTAAATGTTATTCAATATCTTATTCATTCATAAAGGTTTCACCAAAGGTGCAATACAATTGTCGATTACAACCTTCTGAACTACATTAATAAATATGATTCTTATTCTTAGAATCAAGAAATTTTGAACAAAGTTTACAAGGAATCTAATTTATCTCAACAATTTTGATTTTCTTTTTTTCTTTTTTTTATTCCTTATCTGGTAGAGATTACCTATTTTATGCTTTACAGCTCAAGGAAGTGTCGTTTTGTTAATAATGTTTATGATGATCCTTATTATTAATAGAATTTACTTCTCTTTTTAATAACATATCACATCTATAGCAAAAATGTGTTCCACATATGCAAGTCATAAAATTGCATCCACCTATTTTTGTAACTTTAAATGAGCATTATGGGCATTTACTTATCTCAAAATTTTATTTCATAACTATATAACTATTCTGTTCCTTTTCACACGGCATTTCATTATTATGTTAATTATTACATTTTCTACAAAATTCAACATTACATTTTGGACATTTATAATAATCTAAAATTATTAATATAATAACCTGCATATTTCCATATCAAATATGTTTATTAACAAACTTAATTTTTACAAGTTACAACAATTTCATCACTGTTTAAATTATCAACCATTTTTTGATCAATTAATTGATCACAATACTTGTTAAAAGTCTTTTAATCTACTACTTTTTAAATCCATTGATTATTTTCAAGCTAAATTTGACAGGTAAAACAAACAAAAAACTTAAGTTAAACTTATTATTCTTTGATTTTATATTCGAAAGATTCTCTTAAACAATCTCTGCACAAGGCGTGATTGCATTTAGGAAATAATATTACATTATTCTCCTCCAGCTTTTTATCGCATATTGGACATAGATTTTATTCTCCTGTCCTTATCATAATTTTGATGATAGAAATTAAAAAATATAATTAATTATTTAAAATCTATTGTAAAACAAACTGATCGTTTGTGATACTTTTAAAATATCCTAGAATCTCAAAGGTTATTACTTCTTTTCTTTAATATAATAGAAATTTAATTGTAAATGAAATTTAATTAATCTTTTTAATATTAAATCATGAAAAATATTGTATAATAAAATATCAAAAGATTATTTTTACACCAAACAAATCTTATTTTGATATATAAAAAAATAATAACATTTGATTAAACTTCACATATTTACATTATATATAATTATTAAATGGACGATTTGATATATGTTATTATTATAATTATTTAAACCATATCCATGTTAAATTGATAAGGAAAATTAGATTTTATTTAGATCTATTAAATTATAAGTAATACAATTTAAAAAAAAATAAAAATATATATTTGATAAGTGAAAAGGCTCAAACTTACTTTCAAAATTATGAATTGTTCATTGAATGAGGAAAAGACTCTTGTCTCAATATGTAAGGAAATTAACAAAAATTCATATTTGATAGTGAAAGTTACATCAGTGAAGATTAATTTGTTTCTTGACTAGAAACATTTGATAAGATTGGAGGGCTCTCTTTTAGTAATTATGATTATGAAAGGCTTTAGCTTTTGATTAAATTAGCAATTCCTTCATAATATTTAAAATACATAGCAGCAATGTCTAATTTAGTAAAAATATTTACATTATTATTATTAAAATTGCTATTATTATGAGGGTTAGTTTTAAAAGACTTAAGAATTGTATAGGGATCTTAATGGTTCATTAAATAACTGTTAAGAATTTAATGCGTTATGAATCTGATTGAGATTATTGTTTAAGCTTAAACTTAAAACACTTTATGCAATTTTATTTGCTTAAATTTCATTATCATCCTCTTCTTTAACTTAAACTTCGCAACTCTCAGCTGAGATAATTTCATTTAAAACTTCTTCATTTTACTCTTTAAGAATATTATTATTTATTTTTTTTTCTGGTTCTTTTTGTTTCTTTCTTGAATTTTATTTTTTCATTTTTTTCTTTTAGATTTTAGATTATTTCTTCTTTTTTAAAACACTGCTTTGGCATGATAAACTATTTTCATTTTAATCATCCTTATTGATATCATTTGAAAATTAAGTTGATTTTAATTGTTCAGCATCCGTTTTTTATTAAGAATTAGGTATCACATAATAAGGATTTTAAATATTCATATATTCTTTCCTAATAAAGGAATAAAACCTATTTTTTATCATATTTTCCTAATAAATTTTAATAATAAATTATACAGGTCTCCCTTTTAATAACTTGGATATTTCTGTCCATCTTGATCCATATTTTTAATATGCTTCCATGACAATAAGATCTTCCTCCTTTGACCATGGTTCAGCTCTAATTTCAGGATTTAATTTATTTATAAATCGTTCTCGAATTTACTTTCCCGTTCTCCAATTCATTATGCTGGCAATCATTCCCCAATTTCTTTTATGTATTTAAACTAATTCTAATAACTATTAATCTTCAATTGCACTCCAAGAATGTCGAGAGCGTTACTGGGCTTATTTAAAATTAAACATACTGACACAGGCTTAATTCTCTTCCACCTTTAAGCGCATTAAGAAGGATTTCTGTTATATAAATGTTTTGCGACTTCCTTCCAATTAGTTCCAAGTTCATGAATTGCTCTTTCTAACAATTTGTCTTCTTTCTAAGACCATATTTTCCTATTTTGTATTTTTTTTGTAGTTGCTTTAGCTGACAATTTATCATCCTCCATTTCATAACATTCCAATTAACTACAATTGATAAATAAATAACTTACTTATCATTAGGCATCATTCAAAATTTAATTTAATTATTTATATTTCCCTATCAGATTTGTCATGTTTATATGTGATAAAAATATATAATAAAGATTTGCAACAAACTATATATAAACTCAATTATTAAAGTTGAGAAACAATATACTGGTGAATTTGCTTAACTCCTTTAAATATAGTGATATTTCTACTAATATTATATTTTAATACTTATTTTTCTAGTACAAAAGCAATGTTTTTTTTACTCAAAATATAGGGTTCACAAAAAATTTACTTTTGTTACTAAGTAATTATTTGATTTTTATTACAAATTCATCGATTCTATTAACTAAAATATTCAATTAGTTTTATTTTATCATTAATTTATACTTCAATTAAGATGTGACGAGTGCGGACATTCTATAGAAGATTCTTTTTATAATTATTCATTATTTTTTGGATTCCTTTTAGAATAACCTTATTAATGATAATAAAAAAAGTGAATCAAAGTGAAATTAGTTGTAGCTCAAATATCTTTAAGTGAAATCAATTTTTAATCAAAATCTTTTATTATTTATTCTAAAAAATAATATAAATAAACCATTCATATAAAATAAACTTCACTCAAAGGATGTTAAAAAATAGTATTTCAATATGATATCTCGTAATTCTTAAATAAAATGCCAATGAATGCTACATTATATGATTAGAAATTTATTTTTATATTTTAACGATTTTTGAAAATAAAAAACAATAGTTTATAGTTGTAATTGGACCAACTTATCTTTAATGAAATGATACTAAAAACTTATTAGTCAAAAGTAAAAATATTTAAAATGATATTTACTTTCACATATAATGTTTATATTACTTATTTATTAATTATTTTATAAATAGTTTTTCAAATAACTCACTCAATTTTCATATATTTATTCTTCTTTTCTAAAATATTTTATTAAGCAATGTCAATTCTTCGAATTTTCTTTAACAAATTAGAGTGTGATCTACGCTAAAAATAACAAATGACAGCAATGATACTAAAAATTATAGAATAAATAAGAATCTAATAAAATTAAAAATAAAAATTACAGCAACAAAACCAGTTAACTTTCTTATTGATCTTTTCCAATAATTAATTTCTTTTGGAACTTTTTTTCCTTGAATTTTATTCCATCCTTCATTTCTAACAAAATCAGATACTCCCTCAAAAGTAAATTCTCCATTGTATCTGTAAATAAGACTATTCATATCAAAGTAAATTAATGATGGATAAGTCTATATTACTATTCTGTCCCTAACATCTTCATTTTCATATCTAAGTGTATTGATTAAATCAAAAAAATATTTACATATCAACAGCAGAAAAGTACATATTTGTTGTTTTGAATTCTTCTGCTAGTTTATCAAAAACTGGAATAAAATCTTTAGATTTAAGATCATGCTCCATAAAAAAAAATACTAACCATGGCTTCTCCATAGTCTTATCTTATTAATCATTAGATAAAATACCTATTTGTAATTGATTGAAAAAGTCATAATCTTTCAAAGCAATTATTCTATATGAAAATAATTTCGATTTTTCAACCGCTTGAATGGTTAAGGCAAGTGAGATTAGAATTAAATATATATACATTATTTTATATTTAATTGTAAGAATATTTTATTTATTTTTAATAAAGTGATTTTTGTTTAGAATAAACAAAATAATATAGAGAACTTAGAAAAAAAATACTAATCATTAATTTTTTCAAATATATAGAGATTTATGTATAGAATATATTAAAGAATGCTAATACAAAACAAACCGTATTTAAAAAATTTAAAAATAATTTACTTAAAAAAAAATTCTGTGAGTTTCATAAAATGTAAATTTAAGATGAAAAGCAAATAATTAAAGAGATTCTATAATTTAAATACTTTATAGATATGGTTTCAATTTGATAAATATATAATTTGGATCATTATTTCCAAAGCATAAATTTAATTTATTAATATGAAGAATGAGTAATCTATATTTAAGTTATTTTTGACAATGGAGTTACCTAAATAACTTAATAATAATAAAGAACTTGGTGCTTATCGATATGTGATTGATATTTAAGATTAATCGAAAACATTTAATTCAGCATCAACTTAAAGCATTTTATTTTTCTTAAAGTAAAATTAATCATCATATAAATATTAATAGTGAAATAGAAAACGATACAAATTTAACAGTAAAGTTGATCTCAGAAAAAACAAATAAAATTTTAGGGACTTTAACAATATTGATTCCATTAGCAATTAATTATGAACCAGAATTGACTCTAACAGAATCATTTTAATTTGAAAATGAAAATAAAATAAATGGTTCCTACACACTTTATTTAATTAATACTCCATTATTTAAATAGAAAGGTTCAACTGATACATCAATATAAAAAAATAACTCAGTTATATAAACATAAGGATTAAAGAAATAGATTTCAAAGTCTCCATAATCTAAATTATCTTAATAAACTTATTTAGAGAAAATAAATAAAGAAGTTAGTTAAATATTAAATAAGCATCATCATTCTCTAAGTTAAAAAAAAGATAAAACAATTGATACTGGTATTGTTGATGAATCTCCAAGTAGAATAAGTGATAGAGTATAGGTGAGTAGATCTGGAACAATAGTATAATCTGAGATCAGTCCATCATAAGTAAGGAAATATGTTATGGAAGAATCTCCTTCTAAATTAAATAGCAGTTTCAATAAAGATAAAGAAATTAATCATAGACATCATTAAGATTTAAGTTGCTTATATTATTTAGATTAAGCAACTTTAACTAATCAAATTTAAATAGAGAATGAAAACTTAAAAGAGACAATTATTTTATTGAACTCTAGATTGGAGTATTAAGAATAATAAATTATTTTATATAAATCTTTAGAATAAAATTATAAAGAAATATAAAATCAATTAACAACATTTAAAAAAGCTCAAGAATCAAATAAATAAATCGATTCTATATTTGAAAAAGAAGTTATTAAAATAAATGCGTAACTTAATTAAAAAATTACTTAATTATTAGAAAATGAAAAGAAATTATCAAAATAAAAACTTGATTATGAAATTCAAATATCTGAATAAAAAAATGAAATAAATATATTAAGATAGAAGTCATATGAATTAAGTGAGAAATAAAAATACTTTTCTAATTTAAATAATGATTTCTTAAGTTAAAAATAATAAAATATGGAATTAAAATAAGAAATAATTAAAAATGTTAAAGATTATGAAGCTAAATTAAACAAATTTGATTAACACATAACTGATCAAAACAAAAAAATAGATGATTAATCTAAATAAATTTGGGATTAAAAGTAATAATATAATGAACTTGAGAAATAAAATAAATCTTTATCTTATTAATTAAAAAAACTTCAAGAAAATAGTTCATCATCAAAATAACCTTTAATCAATATAAAACCTATGAGTAATAATAATGAAAATGAGGAGACTTCAAAACAATTACAAATAGCTTAAGAAATTAATTAATAGAAATAAGTAGAGATTGATAAATTATAACATGCTCTAAAGAAAGCTTAATAATAAGTATAAGATTAATAGAATGAATAAGTATAAACAAAATAGGCTTTAAATTAAGCAAAATAAGAATTATCTAAATTTAAAGAATAGAATTTATAGAATTAAAATTAGAAGACGAAATAATAGACTGAGACAAAATAATTACAATAATAAATAGAGACAGAAAAAGCTAAGGTATAAATATATTTAGATTGTAGATTGGAACATTATAAAGTTAATTAAAAGCTAAAAACATTTAATTATAAGAAGCTTAGGTAAGAGAAGATAGTGCTTAAAATAAAATATTAAAATTGGAGTAGATAATAAAATAAACAAAGAATTTAATAGAAAATTAAGAGGAATAGATAAATTTATTGAATAATTAAGTAAAAGTTTGAATATATTTTTAGATAAAAGATTTATAGGATGCAAAATAGAAATAATAAAATGATATAAAGGAAGATAAAGAAAAAATGAACTAATTGAAATTATTAATAAGTGGAATGAAAGAATAAAGAGTTGCATATATACCAATGCATGGTGATCCAATAGATCATGCACTCTCTGAATATATTAACTCTGTTGATGATCCTAAAAAATTAATTGAATTATTTTTTAGGGAAAAAGAAGGGTAATATTTGATTGGTTCAAAAAGTGTTCATTTAAAAAGTAAATAATATATTTAAAGTTTTAGCTGAATAAGGAAAGGTTTTTGTAAAGATTGGTGGAGGATTTATTGGAATTGAAGAATTTTTGGATTTATATTTAAAGGAAAAAACTGAGAAAATAGAAAAGAAATAAAGTCAATTAACACCAAGAAATAAGAATTCAAATAAGAGTCAAAGATCATAGACATCTACTCATTAGTTTACTTCCTGATATATATGGTTATTTTTATAGTTCAAAGTTGTATATAATTTTAATAAATAATAGTAGAAAATTTGAAATTAATTTTTTAATAATAATTTATTATAATAATAATTATTAATGAATTAAAAAAGCCAGATAATTATTTGTTTTCATAATTAGTTCCTTTTAAATAATAACAGACTTAAATTATAATTAATATTTTGAGAAATGTATTTAAGTTTTATTAAGGAACATTTTGAACCTAGTTAAAAAGAACTTGAAATATTAGAAGCTTAAGAAACATAAGATTTGTTTTGTGATATATAAAATTAAGGAGGATTTATTAAAGTATTTGAATTAGAAATAGTTAGGTATATTCTAGATAATGTAGTATATTTGATTCTGAAATATATAAAAATAAACTTGAAGTATTTTAGAAATATTTATTGAATTATGAGAAATAAAATCCAAAATTAAATGGATGTTGCCTTGAAAAAGCATTTTATGTTGATTAAAGCAATTCATTAGACTATTAGGTAGAGTCACCAGAAAATTGGTTAAAAGAATAAGTAACAGTTTGGTAATTGCCAACTGATATAGTGAATAAAATGAATTAGAAGTGTTTTACTTTTGAAGATATAGCTAAAAGACATGGAACTTAAATGGTTGATATTAGGATTCAAGATCCAGAGACAGATACATTTACTCCTAAAGTTGAATAAAATTGTATAGCAAATTAAATGAGGATTGATGAGTATTGTAAATATTTGAAAAACAAAACTGAATTTTTTTAGAAACATTCTGAATATTCTCCAGATAAAGTATTATTTGCTGTTAATGTGGATATGGATAATTGGGATGAAGAAACAGGTTAATTATATGAGTATATGCCTTAATCATTATTAAAATATGATGGATTAGTATATATGAGATAATTCTGTTTAGGAGTTAATATTCCATAGATCTATATTAAAACTAAAGGAGTTTGGACAGGAGGACATTAAGAAAATTCATCAGTAAATTCATTAAATTTTAATCATGGTCCTGATGATTGTCTATGGTTAACTATAGATGCATAACATGTACAAAAATTATATTAAATAATACCTAATCTCTATCAAATTGAAGGATAATGGTTTAAAGAGATTGATTTTTTTTTAGAGAATAATATTCCAATTAAATATACTATTTAAAAAAAAGGTGATCTTATTATTTTAGGAGCTGGTTGTTTGCATTGGGTAAAAAGTTTAGGTAATACTATAAATACATCTTGGAATTTATTGGTTTATTAAGATCATACATTTTAATAAATATATGATAGATAATTTATAAATGATAAATACAAAATTTAAAGTGTCATTCCAATTAAAAATTTATTTTTAGATATCTTTATTCATCATAAATCTATTTAACTAAAAAAATACTTAAAGATTTTTATTGAAGAAGATTTATAAAATTATATAAAGTAATATTAGAAAATTAAAAGTTGTAAAAAGAGATTCAATTCTAGAGAAGTATTACAATGTAATAATTGTAAGATGGAAATATTTATATTCTATTAAACAATAGATGATAAAACTTTTAGATGTATTAATTGTCTTGAAGGAGAAGATGTCTATATTTTTATGAAATATAAACCTGTTGAATTAATTCTTGTTTTAAATGCAGATAAATTTTCATGTTCTTCTACATTATGTACAAGATATATGGGAACTACAGATTGTTAACTTGATAAATAAATTGAAGAATTTGTAAGTGAAAGTTATTAATCCAGTATGAATTACAGAGAAAGTGAAGAAGAATAAACTTCATTTAAATAAACAAAAAAAAAAGATAAAAATTAGGTTTCTAAAAAATCCCCTTTGATTCAATCATAAGATAGGTAATTGTTTATTATATTAAGAAATTTTAGTGTGTAAACAAACCAATAAAATAAATAAAAAAGAGTATACAGGAAAACTAAGGGTTAAGATGATTTAATTTCAGAAATATTTACATCCTAAAAGTCTTAAAAGAAGAATGAAAATACTAATTAAAAAACTAAGTAAAGCAAAAAAACTTAAAAAGTATCAAAATTTGAAAGTAGTGTGAAAAGTGTAACAAGTTCAGATTAAGATAGTCATTCTTAAATACCAATTAATAAAAAAGGAAAAAAGTAATAACATGATTTATGATTAACATAATAATAATCTAGAATATTAAAATAAATTAAATTAAATGAGTACATTTGGTTAAAAGTATAGGGTTACAACTTTTGGAGAATCCCATTCAAAAGGAGTGGGTTGTATTATAGATGGATTTCCGTCTAATTTTAAAATTGATTAAGAAGCCTTATAATAATAATTAAATAGAAGAAGACCAGGTTAAACTAGATTAACAACATAAAGAGATGAAAAGGATAAGGCTATAATAGTTAGTGGACTTAATACTTAAAATATAACTTTAGGGAGTCCAATTATGATAATGGTTTACAATGAAGATATGAGGCCATAAGATTATAAATAATTTGATTAAATACCTCGTCCTGGTCATGCTGATTTTACCTATTAAATGAAGTATGATATAAGAGCAGAAAGTGGAGGAGGAAGATCATCTGCAAGGGAAACTATTGGAAGAGTTTGTGCAGGAGCAATAGCTTAATAATTTCTAAATTAAATGAATATCACTATTTCAGCATGGGTTTCATCTGTAGGAAATATTGAAATTCCTAAGGAAATCTAATAATAATTGATATAAAGTCCTCCAACTCAAAATTAAATTGAAGAATTTAATACATTATATTAATTTAGAAATCCACATTAAGAATCTGCATTAGAAATGATAAAATTAATTGAATAAGTAAAACTTGATAAGGATTCAATAGGAGGAACTGTTACTTGTGTTATAAAAGGTTGTCCAATAGGTTTAGGAGAACCATGTTTTGATAAATTTTAAGCAGTTTTAGCTCATGCTATCATGAGTATTCCAGCTACAAAAGGTTTTGAATTTGGTTCAGGTTTTGAAGGAACAAAATTAAAAGGAAGTGTCCATAATGATAGATTTAAAAATTTAAAACCTATAACTAATAATGCTGGAGGTACTTTAGGAGGGATAACAAATGGAGAAAATATTAACTTCAAAGTTGCATTTAAGCCTGTATCTACAATTGGATTAGAATAAGAGACTTGTAATTTCAAAGGAGAAGACATTATTTTAGAAGCACATGGACGTCATGATCCTTGTGTTGTAAGTAGAGCTGTACCAGTAGTTGAAAGCATGGCAGCAATTGTAGTTCTTGATTTGNAACTTAAAAAGTATCAAAATTTGAAAGTAGTGTGAAAAGTGTAACAAGTTCAGATTAAGATAGTCATTCTTAAATACCAATTAATAAAAAAGGAAAAAAGTAATAACATGATTTATGATTAACATAATAATAATCTAGAATATTAAAATAAATTAAATTAAATGAGTACATTTGGTTAAAAGTATAGGGTTACAACTTTTGGAGAATCCCATTCAAAAGGAGTGGGTTGTATTATAGATGGATTTCCGTCTAATTTTAAAATTGATTAAGAAGCCTTATAATAATAATTAAATAGAAGAAGACCAGGTTAAACTAGATTAACAACATAAAGAGATGAAAAGGATAAGGCTATAATAGTTAGTGGACTTAATACTTAAAATATAACTTTAGGGAGTCCAATTATGATAATGGTTTACAATGAAGATATGAGGCCATAAGATTATAAATAATTTGATTAAATACCTCGTCCTGGTCATGCTGATTTTACCTATTAAATGAAGTATGATATAAGAGCAGAAAGTGGAGGAGGAAGATCATCTGCAAGGGAAACTATTGGAAGAGTTTGTGCAGGAGCAATAGCTTAATAATTTCTAAATTAAATGAATATCACTATTTCAGCATGGGTTTCATCTGTAGGAAATATTGAAATTCCTAAGGAAATCTAATAATAATTGATATAAAGTCCTCCAACTCAAAATTAAATTGAAGAATTTAATACATTATATTAATTTAGAAATCCACATTAAGAATCTGCATTAGAAATGATAAAATTAATTGAATAAGTAAAACTTGATAAGGATTCAATAGGAGGAACTGTTACTTGTGTTATAAAAGGTTGTCCAATAGGTTTAGGAGAACCATGTTTTGATAAATTTTAAGCAGTTTTAGCTCATGCTATCATGAGTATTCCAGCTACAAAAGGTTTTGAATTTGGTTCAGGTTTTGAAGGAACAAAATTAAAAGGAAGTGTCCATAATGATAGATTTAAAAATTTAAAACCTATAACTAATAATGCTGGAGGTACTTTAGGAGGGATAACAAATGGAGAAAATATTAACTTCAAAGTTGCATTTAAGCCTGTATCTACAATTGGATTAGAATAAGAGACTTGTAATTTCAAAGGAGAAGACATTATTTTAGAAGCACATGGACGTCATGATCCTTGTGTTGTAAGTAGAGCTGTACCAGTAGTTGAAAGCATGGCAGCAATTGTAGTTCTTGATTTGTATCTATTGAGTAAATAAAAATGAGTATTTTTTATAATAAAAATGAAAGTATTTGAATAACTAGAAAACGCAATAAAATCAAATGATACAGTAATCAAACTACTACCAGCATTAAAATTAATAACTAATTCGCTACCTTTTCCAGATCTTCATATTCATATCAAGAATCCTAGATTAGTAAAACTACTCTTAATTGTTTATCCATTGCTACCAGAAGCAATTGATATGATCTTAGGATAAATACTTAATGTATTTAAAGACTAAGTAGAATGGATTAAAGGTTGCTGTAAAGCTATCGAAGAGTATGCAGTTTATCAATCAAACACAATTGAGACATCCAAATTTTATTCTCTTGAATTTTTTTAATAAGTCCTTCATTTCGCAGCAGAGGCAGGGTATATTTAATGTATTAATTCCATAGTTTAGAATTAGATGATATCTGTTATGGTTTTATTATATTTCTAAAACATGCCGAATCAGAAAAAATGGTTTTATATATCATGTAAAAAATTGAAGCAGTTAAGGAAGAATATGGATATGGAATTAGATCCCTTAATTAATTTAGTGAATTAGTTGAATCAAGTAATCATTTATATATCCTTAGCTGTATTGTAACTTTATCAAGAAGAAAGTAATAAAAATACTGAAGATTAACATTACAGATCTGTTGCAATTGGATTGTAGGAAAGTTAAACCAAGAAGGTTTTCCATCATTAATATACTCTTTCGTCACCTTCAATGAGATCTCCAGCAGTTTCAAGATAAAGATCTGAATCATTTGGATCTTTTAATGATGAAATAATTGATAATATCAATATTGAAGAAATTCTAATTTAAGAAAAACCTAGAATTCTTGATTCTGATTAAGCAGAATATTTTAAATCTAATGAAAGACTCTAAAATCTAATTTATTTTATTACAGATCCATATCTCTCATAACCAAGTCTTATTTTTGATACTGATATCGTAGCTGAAAATTCATTTGAATTTGATCCAAACAATTACAAAAAATTCAAAAATATCAAAATAGATAAATTATTTACTATTCGATCATTTAAGACTTTACTCTTTCTAACTGATATCCATAATCATAAACTATTAAATGAAACAAATGCTCATCTAATTTAACTAATCTGTAAAACTTCATTTAAATGTTTTAGTTAGATCTATCTCTGGGTTTTTTTAAAATACATAATCAATAGGCAATCTCACACATATTATGGCACTTATATAATTTTATTTAAAAAATGATACTAAAGATACAATATATTACTTTTTATATTGTAATCTACATTTTTAATTCTTAGATTATATATGTATTTATATATTAATAATTAGATAATTAACATGTAATTGATATTTTAATAAGATTTATTGATCCAAATTTTAGTAGAATTCCTTAATAATTAAGGGATGAAATTTGGATATTCTTGAATAGTTAAGGATTTATTTCATATATAATTGGTCGAATCATTAATAAAGATCATTTGGGTGTTAATAGGAAAGAATTTCATGTTTCAAAAGAAGGATATAATATTCTAAAACGCATTTATGATTAAAAAGTTATTGATGGTAAAAAATTATTTATAAATATTCAGATGAAAATACTTCTGAGTAACATACTTATAATTTGAGTTCCAATTTTGATCATTATTTGGGTCCATTAATTCCTGGTAAAACTATTTAATAAAATTTAATTAAAAAAAAAAGAGTATAACATGCAGCTACAACTTAAATTTATACAAGAAGACATTCTGGAAATTCAATGACAGGAAAATTCAATAAGATAATATTAGTTGAAAATTTACATATATCAGAATTAAATGGAACAGAATCAGACATTGATAGATTTAGGGATGTCATTCAATTTTATTAGAATAATCAACTTGATAATGAAGAAGTTATCTCATCTAATTTAGTAGTTAATACTAAATCAGGTTGTGAGAAAAACATTCCTAAATCAATTCTTAGAAGCTTATAGAGTGATTAATTCTTAAAATCAGATTTCTTAAGTAACTAAATTGAATAAAAACCTATTGATATTAAATCCTTTTTAGGTGAAAATAAATCTGTTGATACAAAATTTCCATCTTTAAAATAAAGTACCAAATATAGTGCAGGCAGTATGCATTCTAGTAGAGTTCTAAGATAATCTTCAAAATAAGGTTAGGAAATAATTTTTAAAAAGAAGAAATCTTTAAAAATAGATAATATAGAAGAAATTTCAAACAATTTTAAAAAACTTAATAATCCTATTTCATCTCCTACTTCTGCATCAAGATGTCATAAATTTTACCCAAATAGTGATATCAGTGTCATTGATCATATCATGAGAGAAGAATACTAAGAGTATATCTAATTTAATAACGAATGCATTGCTTTTTAAAACTCTCAACTATTAAATCTTATCGTTAATTCATTTTAAGGTCGGAAATATAAATTTTAGGCCTAAACTGATTGTTTTACACAATTGTTAGATGAAAAATTAACGAATCTTGAGAAATTAATTAAACACTACTCATTAAAAATATTAGAACCTGAAAATGGTAGTGCTTATGAATTGGGATATTTAATTTTAAACCTACTCAAAAAATTATCAATTTGCAATAATAATCAGGAGTAGTGTAATAAAATTTATAGAGATCAAATTCCGAGATTATGCAGGAATATTGCAATATTAAATAAGCAATAACAATTTCAAAAGTAATTAAATTTATAATCATATTCTGTAAATATCATAGGATCTCAAAAGTTAATGATGTATGAGATTCTCTAAGTTATGATTTGTAATGTGAAAATAAAATATTCTAATATCTTTATTAAATTGAATGATGCTGCCATGCATATTTTAACAATATAATTCCATACTAGCTTTCATAATGGAATTTATTAAAACATTTTCATGAATTTAGTAAGACATTTATTCATTTATGCTTCTGAAAAATAGTTGTTAAGTTTAGTTTTCAAAGTGAATCTTATTGAGTCAATTCATGCTGCTTATAAGAATACTGTGATTAATAAAGTTGTGATTAAAGATTGGAATACAGAATAGTATATTCTATATTTACAATAATTAAGTTAACTTATAATAAATGCCTTTGATTTGAGAGAAGATTTAAAATAACTTAGATAGTCTTTAATTAGATTATAATCTTATTAAAAATTAAAGGAATTATCCTCAATATCTTAATTTAAATTTGATGTCAATCAATACACTAAAGAATTAATCGCCGCAGAACAATAATTAATTAAAATTAAATTATGATTATAATTTATGATTTTTATTTATTGATATCAATTTTTTATTTTTTCTGCCATTTCTTATTACGATTTGCTCAAAGTAATACCTTTGACTCTTTCATGCATTTAAGCTGCTGGTTCAGGAACTTTTATTGGTTTCAATTGCCAAATTTCTTCAGCATATTCTTAAATGGTTCTATCGCTGCTAAATTTAAAAGATCTGATAGCATTGTAAATACTTTTTTTGGCCCATTCATTTGGTTAACGATATAAGTCATCAACCTAAAATTATTAGAATTAATTTTTACTTATTATTATGCTTTTATATAGTCTTTAAAGTCTTAACCAACCAAATAATTATCATTCTTATGTCTTATACTATCAATAATCCATTTCAATTCTTAATTATGTCCAAATCTTCCATTATCAATTTCTTAAAATACTTTCAATAATTCTTATGGGAAATATTCATGAGGATCTGTATTTCTCATTTTTTCTTTCATATTATCAACATCTTCAACTTAAGTTCCAAAAATAAAAATATTTTCTCTTCCAACTGCTTCATCAATTTCTACATTAGCTCCATCCAAGGTACCTAATATTAAACATCCATTCATAATAAATTTCATATTTGATGTACCTGATGCTTCTGTTCCAGCAGTTGAAATATGTTAAGATAATTCTGCAGCAGGAATAATAATTTAAGCATTACTGACATTATAATTAGGCATAAAAACTACTTTTAAAAGATCTCCAATTTAATGATCATTATTTATAACATCAGCAACAGAATTAATTAATTTAATAACTCTTTTTGCATTAACATAACCAGGAGCTGCTTTACCACCAAAACATACACTTCTAGGTACAATTCTTTTTCTTTCTTCAGGTGAAGATTCCTTAATGACCAAGTATCTATAAATAACATATAATATGTTCATTAATTATCTTTTGTATTCATGAATTCTTTTGACTTAAATATCAAATAATGAATCAATATTTAAATCAACTTAACATGTCTTTCTAATCCAATGAACAAATCTTTCCTTATTTTCCATTTTAATCATTTAGAAATCTCTAACAAATTAAGGATCTGAAACATTAGGTTCTAATTATTTCAATAGTTCCATATCTTAAACCCATTTATCACTACCTAATACTCTATCATATAATGCAGCTAATGCAGGATTTGCACATCTCACCCATCTTCTAGGAGTAACTCCATTTGTTTTATTTTAAAATTTATTAGGATGCATTTCAAAGAATTCTTTAAATATAGTTGTTTTTAATAATTCTGTATGAATCTTAGCTACTCCATTAACAAATTTTGAACCAACAATAGATAGATTAGCCATTCTTACTTTTTTAGTTCCTTCTTCTTCAACAATTGAAAGAGCACTTAATTTACCCCAATTGTTTGGATATTTTTATTGTACTTTTTCTAAAAATAAGAAATTAATTAAATATATAATTTCTAAATGTCTTGGAAGCAATTTTTCAATTAAAGGTACACCCCATTTTTCTAGAGCTTCTGGTAATACTGTATGATTTGTATAATTAAAAGATTTAGTAACAATTTACCAAGCACTCATGTTATCCAATTATTCAATATCTATTAAAATACGAAGTAATTCAACAATAGCTAATGCAGGATGTGTATCATTTAATTATACAGCAACTTTAGATGGAAATGCATTCCAATCTAAAACTTTTCTTCTCTTAAATCTTCTTACAATATCTTACATACTGGCAGAAACCAAAAGATATTATTATTTTAATCTTAATTCTTTTCCAGCATCAGTTGAATCATTTGGATATAAAACAGATGTTATATATTCTGCTTTTTATCTTTATTCTAATGCTTTAAAATAATCTCCTGTATTAAAACTACTAAAATCGAATTCTGATGCAGGATGTGATTTCCATAATCTTAATGCTATTGTATTTTATGTATTATATCCAGGAATTGGTGTATCATATGCTCTAGCCATAATAGTTTCACCTCCTTCCCAAACACTTCTTTCAACTCCATGATCCCATACTTTTTTTACAAAACCATAGAATCTAATTTAATATTAAACATCTAATCTTTCTATTTCCCATGGATTTCCTTAATTCAACCAAAAATCTGGTGATTCTACTTAATAACCATCTTTAATTAATTATTTAAATATTCCATAAGTATATCTTATTCCATATCCAAATGATGGATAATTTAATGTAGCTAATGAATCCAAAAAACAAGCTGCCAATCTTCCTAAACCTCCATTACCTAAAGCAGGATCTACTTCTTCATCATATAACTCTTCTAGTTTATATCCAAGTTCTAATAATGCTTCTCTATAATCATCTTCTAAATCTAAATTGACTAATGCATTTTATAAACACCTCCCTATCAAAAATTCCAAACTCAAATAGTATATACGTTTGGCATCCATTTAATGAAAATGTAAATTTGTATCATTAAATGCTTCAATCAATCTATCTCTTACAGAATGAGACAAAGCTTAATAACTATGAAATTTTGAGAAATCAAAGCGTGTTCTTGCCAACGTGTACTCAACATGATGTACAATCGATTATTACAATGCTAATTTATCACTTCCCTAGTACGAATCCATCAATTCCCATATTTTAGAAGTATCTCTAGGACTGGCTTACAATCCAAATTGCTCAACCTCTTTAAAAATTACATTTTTATATTACAATATTCTGGTCTGTACATATTTGAAGGGCTTCCACCAACTTGTACTGTTGCTCTACGAACACTTGTCCTATATGTAGCTTTTTAATCCATTTTTATTTTATATATTAANGCAACTTTAGATGGAAATGCATTCCAATCTAAAACTTTTCTTCTCTTAAATCTTCTTACAATATCTTACATACTGGCAGAAACCAAAAGATATTATTATTTTAATCTTAATTCTTTTCCAGCATCAGTTGAATCATTTGGATATAAAACAGATGTTATATATTCTGCTTTTTATCTTTATTCTAATGCTTTAAAATAATCTCCTGTATTAAAACTACTAAAATCGAATTCTGATGCAGGATGTGATTTCCATAATCTTAATGCTATTGTATTTTATGTATTATATCCAGGAATTGGTGTATCATATGCTCTAGCCATAATAGTTTCACCTCCTTCCCAAACACTTCTTTCAACTCCATGATCCCATACTTTTTTTACAAAACCATAGAATCTAATTTAATATTAAACATCTAATCTTTCTATTTCCCATGGATTTCCTTAATTCAACCAAAAATCTGGTGATTCTACTTAATAACCATCTTTAATTAATTATTTAAATATTCCATAAGTATATCTTATTCCATATCCAAATGATGGATAATTTAATGTAGCTAATGAATCCAAAAAACAAGCTGCCAATCTTCCTAAACCTCCATTACCTAAAGCAGGATCTACTTCTTCATCATATAACTCTTCTAGTTTATATCCAAGTTCTAATAATGCTTCTCTATAATCATCTTCTAAATCTAAATTGACTAATGCATTTTATAAACACCTCCCTATCAAAAATTCCAAACTCAAATAGTATATACGTTTGGCATCCATTTAATGAAAATGTAAATTTGTATCATTAAATGCTTCAATCAATCTATCTCTTACAGAATGAGACAAAGCTTAATAACTATGAAATTTTGAGAAATCAAAGCGTGTTCTTGCCAACGTGTACTCAACATGATGTACAATCGATTATTACAATGCTAATTTATCACTTCCCTAGTACGAATCCATCAATTCCCATATTTTAGAAGTATCTCTAGGACTGGCTTACAATCCAAATTGCTCAACCTCTTTAAAAATTACATTTTTATATTACAATATTCTGGTCTGTACATATTTGAAGGGCTTCCACCAACTTGTACTGTTGCTCTACGAACACTTGTCCTATATGTAGCTTTTTAATCCATTTTTATTTTATATATTAATATACTTCAACTCTCATTTTATTCAAGAATTTGTGTTTATAATATATATCTAATATAATTTATTTGAATATATACTTTATTAAAATAAAACTTTATAATAAAAGTAAACAAACCTAACTTAAGTTGTTAAATTTAATCAAAATACTCTTTTTGTCATCCCATTCATCATTATTCTAGAATACTTTTCATTATCATTTATAAAAAGATAATGAATTATAATAAAAATATTTAACATAATAAATTCAACAAAAAGAACTTGTTCTTTTTTTATTCATTTACAAATTAATTAAGAAGAAAAAGTTTATTTAATATTATTTACTTTGATAAAAATAATTTATAAGAATTCCAATATTTACTTTAAAATGAATACTAAATAAAGAAGATCTATTAGTAGCGAATCTAAAAAGCCTTCTAATGAATACACATACAGGACTATTTAAATGGGTACTCCATAAAATGAATATCTTACTTCAAGATCTACTACTGCTTCTATTGAAAAAAAATTACATACATTAGGAAAACTTAGGTATGAATAAAAATTGAAGCTTAATGCTACAATAAATTATGATGAACAATCAATTAGAAATTCAATGCTTTTTTAAAATGAAGATTGGGGTAAATTTGAATTTCCAAGTTGGTTAAAAGGAAGAACAGACTTTATGAAACTTAAAAAATCTAAAAATTTTGATTACCATTTATAAGTCTTCTCAATATGTGAATTAGAGTATTAATCTGAATAAAATTTTAGCCCTTTTAAAAGATCAGAAGAATTAAATGAAATTGTTGCTAATTATTTGGTTAAGCTAGATTTCTTTAGACTTATGCCATTAAGAATGATAAAATAGATCTCTAGTAGATTATAAGCTAAAAGCTATGAAGAAGATGAAATTATTTGTCAAAAAGGAGATAAAGGAGATTCTATGTATATAATTTTTGATGGAAAAGTAATAGTTTAAGGATTGAAAAACGTTTAATTGGGATCAAAAAACTTAATTGATAGAGGTGCTTTAGAATATGATTATTTTAGAAATGATACTATATAGGCAGTAACTCTTACACATTTATTAATTTTAAATCGAATAGATTATATCACTATTCTTAATCATAATATGAAAGCGGAACATTCAAACCATGAACAATTTATAAGAAATCATTAATTATTCTCTCATTTTCCTGATGAAAAATTGAATAAATTTTGTTGCTTACTTTAAGGGAAATTTTTAACTTCCAACGAAACTCTCTATAATGTTGGTGATTTTGTTGATTATCTTTATATTGTTAAACTAGGAACTTTGGCTCGAAAAATAGTTATGGACTTAGAAGATTAAAATAGATGGCCTATTGTAATAATTTCTATATAATCTATTATTAGAACAAGAAAAAATGGTTAAGCTAAATTATTACAAGAACTATCTCATTTAATATTGATTATGAAATAGGATCATTAGTTGGATACTCAGAAATTATTGATAATGATTTTGATTTAGAAAAAAAGCGAAAAGAGGCTATTTATGCAAAAACTGATTGCTTTTTGTTATATGTTTCTAAATCACAATTTTTTTAAGGTATGTAAATAAATCATTAAAAAAGTATTTTCTTCAGCTGATATATAATATTTTTAGAATTACCAAATTAAAAATCCGTCTTTGACCTAAGAATAATTAATAAAAGATACTCGTAAGAAATCAATTGAGTAAAAGCAAAAGCTTTAAATGGTAAATTAAGCTATTTACACTCATCTTAGATAATTTTCTTTTGATTATGATACACTTAAAAAAAAAGAGCAGAAGTATGATTAAGTTAGAAAAAATTAAAAAAAAGCTTCAAGAGAATTCAAAAATCACTACACAATTATTCGAAGGGAAAAATTACAGAAAATTATAGAACTAGAAAAGATTTGAATTATCAAATTTTTTTTTTGAATTATTATTCTGAATTTAAATTGTCTCTAAGTTTCATAGAATAATTTTACTATGTTTTTTTTATAATTAAATTTTAAAATTAAAATTGCCAAAAAAGTTTTTTTTTGAAAATTAAAGAACCTTCAAGATCCATTAACAAATTTAGAGATTAAGAACGCTAATATAGAAGATTATAGTACGTTAAGAGAATTTTAATATATTAATTATCTATTCGTTTGAATTCCTTGGAAATAATTAATAGAAATATTTATAAATTTCTTAAAAAAATATTATTCATTTATTCTACAAACTAGTAAAATTGTTTCACAAAAAAGCAAACTTTTTGACTTGATAAGGGTAACTGTTTAAATATAAATCTATTTTATCTGATGGGCTATGATTTTTTAATGAAAATAGTTGAAAGATAAGATTTATTTTAGGGTTATATGTAAATCATATAATTCAAATTTAGATAAAAATTATTTGTATTATCAAGGAAAATACATAAAATCTAATGTTCGATACATTAACAAAATGCGAACAGATAATAAATAAAAATCATTATTGGTTTTAATATTAAATCAAAAGAAATCCTTCTCTGAGATAAAACAACCTTTAAAAACTATGATCTTCTAAAGATTTTATTCTAGATTATAATTAACGAATTTTTAAATGATATTAATATGGATTTAGGATAGAATAAAATAATATATAAATTATCAAATAAAAATGAGGAAATATGACTATTTTTAATTAGCTATTACATTTAAAATCAATGAAAAATTAATAAGAAATGAAGATCTACAATGAAAAAAATTCCTTATATAAATTAATTAATGTATCTATTTCTTTATTGCATTCTAAATATTTCAAGTGCTATATAGACATTAAGATAAGTTTAGGATTAAAACGCTTTATGTTTAGATGGTACAAGAGCTGTAAAAACATTTTTTATAATAGAGTTATTATTTTGAGTAAGGAAATGGAGATGGAGCAGATAAATATTTAATATTTTTTGAAGGTGGAGGATGGATTTAAGGATTTGATGAAGCAGAAATGTTATAATAGGCTTATGATCGTTCAAATACAAATATGGGTAGTTCAAAGTTTTAGGCAACAACAACTTAAATGGATGGATTATTTAATAGGAATTAAAATGTGAATCCTTATTTTTATAATTGGAATACAATATTTGTAAATTATTGTGATGGAACAGGACATTAAGGTTATAGAAGTTAGCCTTTATAAATAAAAGATAAGACTATATATATAAGAGGAGAATTAATATTTAAATCAATATTTTCAGAGCATTTGATAAAGTTATCTTAGGCAAATAAAATAGTTGTTTCTGGTTGTTCAGCAGGAGGATTAGCTGTATTTAGTTGGATTCAATATATAAGAGATCGTTTGCCTTTGAATGTTTAAATTTTGGGAGCTCCTGATTCAGGTATATTTTTAGATTTGTAACCATATGATGGTGCCTAAGCAGCAAGTGATAGAAGATAAAAATAATATCATAAATTAGCAAATGAAGAAGTAGATCCTATAAATGAATAATGTGTGAAAAATTATCCAAATGAAAAATGGAAATGTCATTTTGCATAGTATTTACTATAATTTATTAATGTACCAATTTTTTTTATGCAATCCTTATATGATACAGCATGCATTCCAAATATATTACATATATATAATGCTTGGGATTATACTCTTACAAGATGTGATTATAAAGAGAGAACTTGTATAGAAGCTATGAGAAAATAAATTATAAATCTTATAAATGATAGAAAGTTATCAGATCCTAAAACAGGTTCATTTGGTGTTGCTTGTCTTGAACATTGGTATTAAATTTAGTAATTAAATAGTTTTACATAAAAAAAAATATTTTATACATCAAATTGGGCAATACCAAATGATTCTTAATGGACTATAGCTAATTCTTTAGGATATTGGATATAAAACCAAGAGTAGAATAATATGCATATTGATAATGTATATTGGCCAGACAATAAGGGATGTTCAAATATTTGATTATTTAAATTAATGTCCTAACAGAAAAATCAAAAGAATGTTGTGGTATACAATTATGAACCTCATCCTAAGACTTTAACTGAATAAGCTATTAATATTCAGTAATCTTAAATACAACCTGATGATTCACCCTTTAATGTTTCTAAAATCTTGAAAGCTAAACAATAACAAAGCAACATTTTTCATCTTCCTTAGTAAGATCTAGTAGATTATAGTAAAGCAACACATAATTAAAACTCTGAAAGTAGACAATAAAAAATATAATAGAAATATTACCATATGATATGTTCTGGTGGAATAGTTAGAATTTGAAAGAAAATAAGAAAACTGATGTAAATACTCCAATAATTCATAATGTTCATATGATTTAAAGTAGACCTTAAACGGCTAATTAATAGAGAGTTAATACAGAGTCAGTTTCAAACAACTAATAATTAACTGAATAATAATTCCTTCAAATTTAATAATAGCAATATTAGTAATTTTTACTATAATAGTAACAACTCAAAAATTAATAATAATTAGAACAAAATGATAAATAAAAACAATAGTTAAATCAATAATAAGAAAATCCATATAATGTAATTAAAGAACATAACCAAATGATTGAGACTGCTTCATTTGCTGCATAAGATAATAATTAAGGAGCATTTACATCATAATAAAATACATAATAGTAACCTAGCTAATAATAATTATCTAATCAGCTATAAAATCCAGCAAAAGTATATGAAAAAGTCAATAATCCAAATGCTGAGCTGAAATAAAAGAATCCAAAATTTTCAGATGTATTTGGAAATGGTTTAGAGAAATATTATCAATAAAAGCCATAGTAAAATAGTGGGAGAATAAAATAGGTGGAATATATGTAAGAGAATGAACTATATGGGGCTAAATATCATTAAAGATAAATGTTGAAAGGTATGAGTTCATAAATGGACACTCATTAATATTATGGTTAAATGTTAGATAAATAAACACAAGATTAAATTAAATCAAAACAACCAAAAAGTAAATCATAGTCTCCAAAGGCTTCTCCTGGTAAAAATCTTGAATAGGATGAAAAATTGTTTCCAAAGCCTTTTTATTTAGAATTAAGTATAAGAGGAATGGGAAAAGATGTTAATTGGGAAAAACTGAGTGGATAATTAAATGGAGTTTAAATGTCATTAGTAGATATTACAGTTATAAATGATAAGTAAGGAAAGATTAAACATCATAAAATAATAATTAAGCATTTTGATTAAGGAAACTTATAAGTTATTAAATAATGGGTTCTGACATAGGGAGGTAGAATTGTAGAAGAAAGATTATTGGAGTCAGAAACAGAATTTAAAAATATGATTAAATTAAAAGAAGGTCCTAAAAAAAGACCAATGAGAATTGCTGAGGAAAAAGAAAAATTGAAATAATAAAAAAAAAGGCCATAAAGTGCAGCAGCTGTTTAAAAATAAAAAAAATGATTAATTTTATAATATATAATATTGATGTACATAATTCTTAATTGTGATATTTGATACATTTGTTTATTTATTGAGTTTTTATATGATAATGTTAATATGAATTTAAAAGAAATGATGTAAAACATTAATTAAAGTAGTAAATGTAGTAACATTATTCATAATAGCATATGGTTCCTGGATATCAATAATAACAAAGGAATGTATCTAGCTCACCAATGTAAAGACAATTACCCATGCAACCTTTCACTCCAACATCAAATTTGGGAGGGTAAAATGAAGGGATGAAACCATATTCAACAGATATGAGAGATAGAAGTAGATAAATGCAAAATACACCTTAATATAATGGATAATCTTTAGAAAGCATGGCTCTAAGAATACAGACCCTTGAAAAAGAGAATCATAATCTTAAAAGATAGTTAGAAAACGCTAATCATTAGATTTAGGTTTTGAATCAAAAGATGAATCAAAATCCAACTTAAAGTCTTCTTAAAACTACAACCTTTGAACTTGTTGTCTTATAAAAGGCTGTAGAATAATTAGAAGGACTTAAGAATGGACTCTAGAAAAAAAAATTGTAGGGAAGTAATAATCAAACCACATTACCTGATTCTTAAAAAGAAGCGTATAGTGAATTCAAAAGTAAAGTTACAGTCATGGAAGAGAAGCAATAATAGTTAGAATAATAATAATAATCTTAAGTACATAATCATATTAAGTTAGACTATGCTCTTGTTTCCTAAAGAACAATAAGTTTAAAATTTACAATCAAATCGTCCAATAAAAGAAGAAGTAAAAGAAGAACCAAGATAAGGAAGAAGATATAATGTTAATTCTCAATCTGATTAAGTTGACAATTAAACTAAAGTAAGTCCAATTAAGTATTTGAATGTAAAAGCTGGTATGAGTCAAAATGCCTTAAGAGTATCCCCTAGAAGAAAACCAGATATATAGTAAAATTGAGTAAGAATATAAAGATGAAGTGATTTTGTGCTAATTTTATGATAAATTATTCAATCGCTATGCTCAGAATAATCGCTATCATCCATTCTCTATCCAATGATTTATGTTCTCATTGTTTTAGTTGTTCTGGTTGGTTATCTATTCAAATCTTAATATCTAAATAAATTTTATAATATAATTTTAACCTTTAAGCAATTTATTATTTCAAAATATCCATGTGATTCATTTCAGGTGCTTTGCTTTATGGTTTAGGTTATTCTGCTGCTGCTTTATTTTTATTAACAGGTTTTAATCTGGCTAAAGGATTATCAGTATTTAAATCATCTAGAAGCCTAGCTCTAGCACCTGCAGGTGGAGGTGGTAATTATCCAGGAGGAGGAGGACCAGGAGGAGGTGGAGGAGGAGGAGGAGGGGGAGGTGGAGGTGGAGGTGGAGGGGCACCTGTTGGAGGAGGTGGTGGAGGAGGAGGAGGTGCTCTATTTTATTATTATTATGGTGGAGGTTATTGTATTTATTATTATTATTATTATTACTAATATTATTATTATTATTAATATTATTGCTACTATTATTATTATTAATATTATTATTATTATTAATATTATTATTATTATTATTATTATTATTATTACTATTATTATGTTTATTAAAGTTATTGAGATTGTTATGCAGGAGCAATACTAGGTGCTACGGGTTTCTTATTTCTCTATTAAGTTGATGGATTAAAAAAGTCAATATCATCATTATCTGGATCATAGTCAACAATTCCTGCTAAATTAAGTTTTGCATCCACTTTTAATTGTGCTATTGGTTTATTTGATGGAACATAAGAATATGATTCTTCTCCATACTTTGTTATGGTTTCTCCTATTGTATTTGGTGCATCTGCCATTGTTACTTATTCTTCCTCTTCTTATTACTTTTTCCTTTTATTCTCTGGTTTCTAATTTATTATTATTATTTTCATACTGCTGGTTCTGGAAATATTTCACGAGCATCAAAAGTATGATGAGTATATGGATTTATCAATTAATTAAAAACTAATAAACTATCTACATTTTTAAGTTTTCTTGGAACAGTTCCATAACCTTATATTTATCTCTTTGCTAAAGCTCTTTCTCCTTCAAATATAGTTTTTCCTTTCTAAGTAAATCTTCCATATGCCATCTGAATTGTAGCTACTCTATCAATATTATCAGGGGCTTTCCCTTAAGACCCTTGTTCGTTTGCCAATCTTATATATTTATAAGGTTCATATATTGGAATAATTGGTTTATTATAACATTCTGAAAATATGGATTGTTTATTTGTAGGATCAAATTCATATTTCTTTACAAACTTACTTGGGGATTGAAATACTATTGCTTAAGGACAATTTTAAAGATGATTTAACTTAGCATTACAAACATTTATTCTCTATCACTATTGAATTTAATAATACTTCTGCTAATTGTTGAATCCTTTGTTTCACTAAATTTACACGATCACGTAGCTTTTCCTCTGTTTTATTCGTTGCCTCTTCTAACAATGCTAAATTACTAAGAGTAATATCTAAGCCTTCCTTATGATGCAAATCAAAAGAGGCTAGATTAAATAGCCAAGGACATGGCTCTTAAAATGCCATTGTATAATAAAAATAATTTATAAATCAATTCACATATTCTTTAAATATTGCATCTAACATACCCAAATGCATTATCTCTTATTTCATATTTAAAATTATAAAGAAAATATAAAAAATTGACTTTCAAAACAAAAATTTCTAAATATTCTATATGTTTCTTTTTATAGATTTTATTTTAACTTTATGTAAAAAATAAATGTCTGATTAATTTTTAAACATCACCCTTCCATAAGTATTTTAATTAAAGCAATTGATAATCAAAATCTATAGATCTTTTTTTAAGATTTTTATATTAGATCTAAATTAAAATATCTAAATAAATAATATTAAAATCCATAAAATTTGATTATCAACTATTATCTAAATATGATTATTCATTTAATTAGATAAATTTAATTAATACATCACACATATTTTCAGATTTCAACTAATTATGATATAGTTAAATGAATGGGAAAATTGTTTAAATATCTGATCATAAATGAAATAATTTGATTGAAATTTTTTAATCTAATAATGAATTTGATAAAACCTTTCTTACGGTGAAAATTAATCAAATATTAATTTAAAATTAATAACAATAATTTGAAGAAAATGAAAAATAAAAAAGATTCTACAAATTAAAAATATTTTTTATTTGAATTGATATTGATAAATAAATTTGTAGTATCATAAATTTGTTAAATTGAAATTGTCTTATTGGAATGTCGGTTATTTATATTAATCCCATCCATCAGGTTTTATATCTTCATCATCATTTATCCATGAGATTCTGCGACCATCTTCCCATAAACCTAATTAACTTTTACCTGTAGGTAATGTATATCTACCTTTTCCAGATTATTTTCCATTATTCCAATAACCGTCATATTCTAGAATAAATCTTTATTAAATACTTCTTCCATCAGGCCATAAATATATACCATATCCTTATTTTTTATCTTTTACATAATATCCTTCATGTGAACGTCCATCTGGCCAAGTATAAATTCCTCTACCATTCATTTCATTTTTACTCCACATTCCCACATATTTCTAAATTGAATTAATAATTTACTCTACCATCAGACCAAGTATAAATTCCATATCCTTCTAATTAATTTTTTTTCCAATAACCAATATAAAAAGATCCATCACTCCAGTAATATTTACCAAAACCATTCTTTTTACCAAATTTATAATTTCCTTCATATTTAGAATGATCTATTTATGTTTCAATACCATATCCATGTGGTAAATCATTTAACCAACTTCCCTCATATTTAGATCCATTTGCATGAATATATTTTCCTTAACCACTAACTCTATCTTCTTTCCAATCTCCATCATAAAAATCTCCACTGACATGCCTAAATTTACCTTTTCCATTTGCTCTATTTTCTTTCCATTCTCCTTCATATCCTGCTCCATCTGGCCAAATTTAAATTCCAAATCCATCTCTTTATTATCCAATCCATTCTCCTTCATAATATGCTCCACTTTTAAAATAATGTTTTTATCTTTTTTCTCTAATTTTTGTATTACATTTATTTCCTCCTGTCTCCATCATATCTTCATAATTTCTTTCAATCATTTCATTCTTTCTTCTCTATAAATCACTATTGGATTCTCATAATATTTACTCTAAAATATACATGAAGTTAAAATGATTTCTGATTATTATTTTTCATTAGGTTATAAAACAGATTGATTTGGATTTAAGTTATCGTAAACTAATTGTATTAATTAATTATTTTCTGTTTCTAAAGACACTTTTTCCTTTTCTTCTTCAAAATTCACTTCTTCACCGTTTGATTATCCACTTATTGTCTATTAATGAAACTCAGAAATTTAAATTTCATCCTTCTTTGAACAACTTTAACAATTTGAACAATTAATACCCATTTTTAGAATAAAAGACTGTGAACTTTTTATAAATAATTAATTCAACACAATCAAATGATGAGATTAATTTTTCGTAAATTGTTTAAGTTTCGAAAAGTTATATAAGAAAATAATAATTATTTGAAAATGAATAAAATTTTATTTTGTACTATTTTTTTTTCTTTTGCTTTATCAATTACTTAACTTTTAATCTAAAGGCATTTTTACAAATAGTTAAGATAATAGAAAAATTTATTATATAATTTTTCATATTATGAATATGTTTGCAAACATAGATGAAGTCTTATTTTTAGAAGAGAGTTGTAAATTTACAATAAATCCAGCAAAGTACTTTAAAATTTTTATTATAGCGCTGATAAATTGATATTTTTACGAGAAACTTATAAATAATATTTTGAAGGAAAATCCAATGTTTTGATATCAGAAAATCAGGATATTTTAGAAGCATGTATTTTAGAAAGACTAAAATAACCGTAAAAATAAAATATTTATATAGTGAAACTAATCCATTCGTTCTTTTGGTTTAAACAAAATAAAATATTGAATATTTAAAAGGAAAACCTTGGTATGATACTCCAGAAATTGCAAATCTTATTGAATCATTTAGAATCATGGTTTAAAATTACTTAATGACTATTCTACAATATCCTGATTAATTTTCACCTCAAAGATGTATTTCTGATAGAGAAAAAGAAGAAAATTAAGGTAATTATTATATAAATATGAAAGAAATATTAAAATTGATTGCTAGACTTTTTGATATCTTTGATTCAATAGGATTTGATTCAGAAATACTCACTTAATTTATCTAAAATTTAGAAGAAAATTTTAATGAAAATCAACTTCATTCTTAAATAATTTAATATTCTAGAAAATGCATATAAAAGGTTTCAATGAAACAATTATATTTAGTTACATATATATAATGATCAAGTGAACTACTATATTGCAATATTCCAACATTATTTAAATGATCTAAAAACTAGAGAGTTGATTATATCTGATATAATTGCTAGATGGTATGTAAGTTTCAAATAAATTTAGGAATGTCAAAACAGATAGAGGTGATATTTTGGAAAAAGAATTTGTTTTAGGTCCTTTATTTACAATCTCATTATTATAAGAAAATCAATATGTGAGATAGAGAGCTCATTAAAGTTTAAGCGGAAGAATGACAAAGAGATAGTTTGAAATTCTTCTAAAATAATATTAATAAACTAGTCATAATCACGTTGAAAATTTAGTAATTCTAACAAAATTATGTCTCTCAAAGTCTACGTTTCAATAAACTATTTAATTTTTAAAAGCTGTATGTTTTTGTAACAAACTCAAAACAAAAGAAGCCTATTCACATAATAGATAATTAAAAATGATTTAAAATGTTTCATCTGATGGATTTATACTCAATTTATATGATATTTTGCTTAATCTATCAAATAAAATATCATCAAGAGCAGATGATACATACACTAAAATAGATAAAAATTTTTGGTTTACTCTTCCATTTGAGAATGATCAAATGCTTTTATGTATTTGATTTTATTTATTATTAGTCTCATCTAAACCTTTAATTGGATAAAATTTATAAATTGGTAATGTAAGTTATTTGTTTTTCTATACCCTAAAATTTGTTCAAATAGGAATAATGCCTGTTTTAACAAGAATGAAAGATTTGTTTAAAGCTATAAAAGAAAAAAAAGATTTGATTCAAATACTAAATGATCATCCATAGAAATCATTTATTTAAGCATAAATAGATGCCTAAGATGAAGAAGCTCATCAATTAGAAGTAGTGATCTTTAATCTTGGAAGGATAAAAGATACAATTTAATTATTTGATACATTCATCTTATTATTCAAAACTTGGTTAAATGTTGATAATTGGAATAATAATTAAACTTAATGGCAAGAATAGGAAATTCTGAAATATATTCCAGAATTTATAATAAATGATATAATTGATTATGTTGATTTTTACATGTAAAATTTGGAACATTTCACAGAAAATTATTTTAATCATAAAAATGTATTTCATGTAATTAGAATTAGTTCACTTCATTTGTAGAGCTTGCCATATACTTTATTCATTTACCTATTGCCACTAATAAGTACTTACCAGGCAAATTTATAGAGGCTATATATTATTTTACTAAAGTTACTAAAAACTAATGTTATATATATGAAACCTTTGTTAATAATGATTTAGTGAGAGAAAATTTACTTTAAGGACTTATAAATCAATATTTAGCAGTTGGTGAAACAGGGGCAAACAATCAATTTTATGCAAAGTTTCAATATAGATTTTACATTAACGATCTTCTATTTTAATTAATGTCGATAAATGTTTATTAACGCTAATTTATAACACATATGGATAGTAACTCAGGCCATAGGTTAATTAAGCATATGATAAGTGATATGAATTATGGTTTTGAAGAGATTTGGACAAATTATTTAGAAACCTTTATAAAAAAGTAATAAGAATAAGAAATTCCAAATAATAATTTTGAATAGAGATACAATAAATAACGAGAACTTGATATGATTAAAGGATAAATTTAATCTAATTTATAAAACATGAAATCTAATTTGAAATTGTTAGTTGAATTTAGCTATCATATACCAAAAATACTAATGAAAGAGAGTAATATATTTAAAATTATTATTAGTATTTTAAGAAATGATTTTGAAGATGTTAAATTATTACCTTGATAATTTCTTGAGTGAAAAAAGTAAAGAAAAATTAGACATTTTAAAATAAATAGCTTAAAAGGAATTTAAATTGGCAAATTTTCTGCATTAAATAGGAACATTTTTTGCAAATATTTGTGAAGAAAACAAAGCTGTAAGTATCATAGTAAAGGATGGCAGATCCTATCATATTGAAAATTTTTAAAAATTAGAGAAAATATTTCGAGATAATATTTCTGGGTAACAAGATAAGGTTGAAAAATTAAGTAGATTTATAAAGAATTTGTAGAGAAAATCTGAAAAAAAAAGATTTTTAGAATCAATTTTAGAGTAAACTCAGATTCCAGATAAATATTAAGATCCTATATATGGAGAAGTATAAAAAATAACTAAATTAGTTAATAAAAGATCCAGTTATGTTACCATAATCTAAAACAATAATGGATAGGAAAGTGATAATAACAGCTTTATTAGAAAAAAAGTTAGATCCATTTACATTAACTCCTTTAGATGAAAAAGATTTAATACCTCTACCAGAACTAAAATAAGAAATTGATGTATGGTTGAATTAGATTAAAAAATAAAGAGATCTTAAGGTACAAGAAGCTGAATAGAATAGAATGCAAACAGAGATTCAATTTTAATAGTCTTAAATTTTTAAGTTTTAGGATGAAGAAGATGATTAAAATGTATTTAAGGGTAATAGATATGAGGATGATTGAATTGAAATAATAATAAATGGTTATATAAGAAAAAAGAATATAAAAAAATATTTTTTTACTATTATTTTTATGATTAACTCATATTTTTCATAATTTGCTAACTTTAGCCATATGAAGAGCTAAGTCCAAAACTCTGTTGGAATATCCCCATTCATTATCATACCATGAGACTAATTTGTGGAAATTCTTTGTCAATCCAATACCAGCTTTAGCATCAACAATAGATGATCTAAAATTAAGAGATTATATATACCTAGCATCATGAAGGAAATCTTATGAGACAACTTAATCACTAGTGAATCCTAAGACACCTTTTAATGGTCCTGCTTNAAAAAAAAAGAACTTGATTAGCTTAAAGGATCCATTTAATCAAATTTAAGAAATATGAAATCTAATTTGAAGTTACTAGTAGAACTTAGCTATCATATTCCATAAGTTCTAATGCAAGAAAGTAAAATATTTAAAATAATTATTAGTTTTTCAAGAAATGATTTTGAAAATGCTAAATTATTACCTTAATAATTTTTTGAATGAAAAAACTAAAGTAAAATTAGAAGCATTGAAATAAATAGCTGAAAAATAATTTAAATTAGCAAATTTCTTGTAAGAAATTGGAACATTTTTTACAAATATATGTGATTAGAAAAAAGTTGTAAGTATCATAGTAAAGGATGAAAGATCTTATGATATTAAGAATTTTTTGAAATTAGAGTAAATGTTTAGAAACAATATTGCTGGATAGTAAGATAAGGTTGAAAGATTACATAAATTTATAAAAAATTTAAAGTTAAAAGCAGAAAAAAAATAATTTTTAGAGTCAATTTTAGAGTAGACCTAGATCCCAGAGGAATACTAAGATCCAATATATGGAGAAGTATATTAAATAATTAGATTAGTTAATAAAAGATCCAGTTATGTTGCCTTAATCTAAAACAATAATGGATAGAAAAGTGATAAAAGCAGCTTTATTAGAAAAAAAGGTAGATCCATATACATTAACTCCTTTAGATGAAAAGGACTTAATTCCTTAACCAGAATTAAAAAAGAAAATTGAAGAATGGTTGAATAATCTAAAGAAACAAAGAGATATTAAAGTGGAAGAAGCTGATAAGAATAGAATGCAAACAGAAATTCCCTTCAAATAAACATAAAGTTTTAATATATAGGAGGAAGAAGAAGAAAATGTATTTAAAGGAAAAAGATATGAAGAAGGTGATTGAGTCGATATAAACTATATTTATATTTAGGAAGAAAGAATATTAAAAAAAAATATTTTTTTACTATTATTTTTATGATTAACTCAAATTTTTCATAATTTGCTAACTTTAGCCATATGAAGAGCTAAGTCCAAAACTCTGTTGGAATATCCCCATTCATTATCATACCATGAGACTAATTTGTGGAAATTCTTTGTCAATCCAATACCAGCTTTAGCATCAACAATAGATGATCTAAAATTAAGAGATTATATATACCTAGCATCATGAAGGAAATCTTATGAGACAACTTAATCACTAGTGAATCCTAAGACACCTTTTAATGGTCCTGCTTATGAAGCCTTAGAGAGTGCTTCCATAACTTCATCATAAGAAGCTTCTTTTTGAATTCTAACAGTTAAATCAACAACTGAAACATTAATAGTTGGAACTCTGAAAGCCATACCTGTTAATTTTCCTTTAATTTCTGGAATGACTAATCCTACAGCTTTAGCAGCACCTGTAGATGATGGAATAATATTAGCTGCAGCAGCTCTTCCAGCTCTCCAATCTTTTCCTCCTTTAGCTGGTCCATCAACAACTAATTATGTAGCTGTAGAAGCATGAACTGTTGTCATAAGACCTATTAAAATATTTACTGATTTTTTTACCTTCAACAATTCCAAAATTATCATTGATAACTTTAGCTAATGGGGCTAAACAGTTTGTTGTGCATGAAGCATTTGATACAATGTTTTAGTCTGCTTTATAGTTTTCATGGTTAACTCCATAAACAAATGTTGGTGTGCCCTTGTCTTTTGATGGAGCAGACATTATGACTTTCTTAGCTCCTCCCTTTAAATGGAATCCAGCTTTCTCGTCTGTCAAAAATGCACCTGTTGATTCACAAACTGTATTAACCTATATATAATTTATATTTAATTATTACTCCTGCATCTCCCCATGGAATTTAACTTGGGTCTTTTTGAGCAAATACTCTAATCTTTTATCCATTGACTACAATTCCTTAATCATATTTTTCAACTGTGAATGGTGATCTCAAATGAGCAGAATCATATCTAAGATTATATACTAAATAATCTAGATCCATGAATGGGTCATTAATAGCTTTGACACTTACCTAACAATATTTTATATATATACTGGTCTGTTGTTCTCAATTGCGGCTCTCAAAACCAATCTACCAATTCTTCCGAATCCATTAATACCAAGGTTCACGGACATTTATAAATGATAAAAGATATTTATACTTAGATAACCAAAACACGTAAATTTATTTTCTCTATTAATGCGTCATTTCATTTGTATAACCATTATAATACCTATGTTTATCATGAAATAACAGACGTATGTGTAATATTTTAAGATATTTTCAAATATCATTACTATAAATTTTACATTCTCATAACAATAATAATAAGAATTAAATATTATAAATTTAAACCTTTGTTTATCAATATTAATTCAAATTGATCAACTTATTCAAGTTGAGTTTTTATTTTCTTTTAATTTAAATCTTAATTATATTAAATTTGCCATTTCTTTTTAGTTCCATAATCATACAATTATATTTTATCATTTTCTCTTTTTGTTTAAAATCAAATCTTGAGTTAGTATTTGTTAAAAAAACTTATATATATATATATTTAATCATTATTCTTCTTGTTTTAAGTTTTCTGATTGATTCTTTACATTCTAAACTTCAGATTTAGTATTTTTTGGAATCAATCTAATCACTGGTACAGGAATCCAAACAATTTTCTTTGCCTCTCCTGGATTTATATCAAACATTTATTCAAATTAAAATAAAAAGTTTCTTGGACATAAATATCGAATGTTTTAATCTCTTTGTTAATCTTATTATTTGTTATCAATTTTTTTATTAATTTGAGGTTCCAATTAATCTATTTCTTATTTACATGATGACTCAGTTTTGATAGTTTTAATTTCTTATTCTTCTTATTTTTCGAATTCTTAATCTGAAACCTAAAGTTTCTATGAAATTAATATAAATATTACTAAGCCTAATTTATAACTTTGCTCTTTATGTTTAGTGTAGAATCTATTCTTAACCATTATTTCCTAAATTTTAAAATTAATGATTACAGATCTATCTTTCATTAGTTTTGCAATTTAAGTCCACTTAGCTCCATATTTTCTATATAAGAACACTAATTAATCATCTTCTTCTTAAGTCCATGGTCTTGCAGGTGGTGCAATTATTTGATTAATAAATCTATTTCGAATTTAATTTCCTGTTCTGTTTTTCATAATTTAAGCAATTTCATTCCAATTTTCTCCATATTTTTATACTAACTCTTTCAACATATCATCTTCTTCCTTAGTCCAAGGAGTCTTCTTACCACTCTTACTTTATATATTATATTTATTACCTTTAATTAAGTCCATCTTTGAACACATTCTTAATCTGTTTTCCCACACAAATATTCTGCTATTTTCTTCCATTATGGTCCATATAACTTAAAAGCCTCTTCTAATCGTCTATCATCATCGTAATTCCATTTACTATTGTTTTCCACTTCAGCATCAGTCCAAGCAAATTACATCAAATTAAAATAAATAAAAAAGATTTGTAAATTAACTCTCTCCCCCTTCATATTACAATCCAAGACACATAATTCTATCCATATAAGTTAAATAAGCAAACTTTATTCATTTTATTTTACTTTATCTTTAACATTCACTCATTAAGAAATCATTCATTTATTTCAAGGGCGCCTAAATACAACTAAAAGAGTTAAAAATTTAAATTTCTTCAACTTACTTCTTTTCCTTATAATCTTCATTAAAAGACTTCTTGTAACTTTGAAATTGATTTCATTTATCTTTTTCAAACAATATCATGCTCAAATAAGAAATGCTTTTTATTATATANCTTTTTGTTTAAAATCAAATCTTGAGTTAGTATTTGTTAAAAAAACTTATATATATATATATTTAATCATTATTCTTCTTGTTTTAAGTTTTCTGATTGATTCTTTACATTCTAAACTTCAGATTTAGTATTTTTTGGAATCAATCTAATCACTGGTACAGGAATCCAAACAATTTTCTTTGCCTCTCCTGGATTTATATCAAACATTTATTCAAATTAAAATAAAAAGTTTCTTGGACATAAATATCGAATGTTTTAATCTCTTTGTTAATCTTATTATTTGTTATCAATTTTTTTATTAATTTGAGGTTCCAATTAATCTATTTCTTATTTACATGATGACTCAGTTTTGATAGTTTTAATTTCTTATTCTTCTTATTTTTCGAATTCTTAATCTGAAACCTAAAGTTTCTATGAAATTAATATAAATATTACTAAGCCTAATTTATAACTTTGCTCTTTATGTTTAGTGTAGAATCTATTCTTAACCATTATTTCCTAAATTTTAAAATTAATGATTACAGATCTATCTTTCATTAGTTTTGCAATTTAAGTCCACTTAGCTCCATATTTTCTATATAAGAACACTAATTAATCATCTTCTTCTTAAGTCCATGGTCTTGCAGGTGGTGCAATTATTTGATTAATAAATCTATTTCGAATTTAATTTCCTGTTCTGTTTTTCATAATTTAAGCAATTTCATTCCAATTTTCTCCATATTTTTATACTAACTCTTTCAACATATCATCTTCTTCCTTAGTCCAAGGAGTCTTCTTACCACTCTTACTTTATATATTATATTTATTACCTTTAATTAAGTCCATCTTTGAACACATTCTTAATCTGTTTTCCCACACAAATATTCTGCTATTTTCTTCCATTATGGTCCATATAACTTAAAAGCCTCTTCTAATCGTCTATCATCATCGTAATTCCATTTACTATTGTTTTCCACTTCAGCATCAGTCCAAGCAAATTACATCAAATTAAAATAAATAAAAAAGATTTGTAAATTAACTCTCTCCCCCTTCATATTACAATCCAAGACACATAATTCTATCCATATAAGTTAAATAAGCAAACTTTATTCATTTTATTTTACTTTATCTTTAACATTCACTCATTAAGAAATCATTCATTTATTTCAAGGGCGCCTAAATACAACTAAAAGAGTTAAAAATTTAAATTTCTTCAACTTACTTCTTTTCCTTATAATCTTCATTAAAAGACTTCTTGTAACTTTGAAATTGATTTCATTTATCTTTTTCAAACAATATCATGCTCAAATAAGAAATGCTTTTTATTATATATCTAATAATTAAAATATGTTTCATAAATTCATATATATTTATGATCCTATTTAGTTTCTTATGTATTCTTAAAAATTTTTCAGGTTAAAAGGGAGAGAAATTATTTCTAATAATATTAATATATTTATTATAATGAATATTGAAACACAATCTGAAAAATCGGAAATTAGAAGATCTAAGCGAGAAAGGTATGTTTGGGAGGCTTTAAATGCAGTTTAGAAGTGGAGAGATTTATTTGAAAATGGTTATTGTAATGAGGTAGGAAATTATATAAAACCTACTTTAAAAGAAGCAGCAGATTTAGTTGGACTTCCTAAAAGAACTCTAGAATAATATCATAGTATTTTCAAGTAAATATTTCTTTTTATAAATAGAAAATTACCTTAATCTCTTGACATTATGAGAATTCTGGATAAAAAAATGGGATATCTGAATTAGCTAATAAAAGAATTTAAAAATGAACCAGCAATAACTTAAGAATAATAAGTTGAAATTTAGCAAGAATAAAGTTCATGGGATAATATGATTATAGAAGCAGATGATTAATTAGCAGTATAAAGAGATAATGATGAAGATTTAGAAGTGAATTAGGTTATATAATAATAACAAATTTTCGAGAATGATGAGGATTATGTAAAATATCTTTAATTCGAAGAAGATGAAAATTATTGTCAGGAGTATTACTAATTCAATGCAGAAGAAGATTTCTTATGGGATTAAGAATAAACAAATCCTGCATTGCCTGATTGTTGATTTAATTCGTTAAACACACTTAAACAAATATATAATTTAATCACCATAAGTAATTCCTATTCTATTTCATCATATTTATCTGTAAAAACTTAATAATTTTACAATTTATATAGATTTAATCCTACGATTTTTTGAATCTTAATGTATTTTCTTCAAACTATTCAACTAAATGGATTGATTATTTTTTTCTTCATTTGATAGTTTTTTAGACAACATAATCTAAGAAATAAATAATTCATTTTGGGTATGATCATCTTCATTCATAACATTAATTTCATAGTCTCCTTCTAAAAATACCTTATCTTTAAATTTTAATGCTGCTTCTTCAGGTGTAAATAATAATTCTACTTCCTCTTTTTTTGAGTATATTGAAACAAATGATCGATTGAGAGTATTTAAAGATAATCTTGGAGGATTATCTAGTCTTATTTAATCTTAATATTCATTATCCATAGTCATTTTTTTTTCACAAGGTTATTAATCTCTAGTCCAAATTTATTCTGATAAATAACGAGATCTTTTAAACATAGGAGATTCTTTTATCTTTTATTTTTAATATGATAAAACAATCTACAATTATCCTTACTAGGCTATTGTTAATTAAAAGGGAAGCTAATTTAAGAATTTAGTTGAAATCTTTTTTATTTATAATTTAGAGTCATCTATCCAATCACTTCTTTTTTTAGTATTTCTATTATAAAACAAAAAACTATGTGAAATTTTATATTATTTTGTTATAAATTCCTCTTAAAAAATTGTCGTCATAGTCATCATAGCTATTGCTGATCGCAACCAAATAGTTAATTACTTAATTAAAGTTATATTCTTTTTGCCTGTTAACATATTAAGGATGATACTCTATTATTAAATAAGACACCATTCTTCAACCAAAAAAGAGTTTCCATCTTATTCAAGAAAGAACTAAACAATCATTTCATTAGATTAAGCATTCCTCCAATTATTTTAGAGTAGCTACTAAACATTTTTATTTACTTCTCTATTCCAAATGATTCCTATTTCTTTTGTTTAATTTTACATCATAGATTAGCATTAAAGATAAGGGTATGATCTTGATTATAATAAAATGTCAGCAAATTTAGTGAATAAATGCTGGATTATATTCATTTGTTTTTAAATTGGTAATTATAAGTAATAAAAGAAAAAAAAATATAATTTAAATTTATAATCAAATTTTAAAGATGCGTATTAATAGATGTGTTCATAAATATAATAATGAACAAATATAACTCTTCATCATTTTTATTTATCTTTAGATTTCTCTTTTGATTCTTTTGTTTTATTCTTTTTTTCTCCAGAATCACTTTTCTCTTTGGTTTATTTTTCTTATTTAGGCTTAGTTTCTGGAATATCTTTTTCACTTACTTTAATTTTAGCCTAACATTGTATTATAATAAGCATTACTTTTGAAATTTTAGATATAATTTTAGTAAAGATAGACATTCCAAAAAAAAATGAAATGTATAAACCAGCTGTACCTAATGGACTAGTAATAAGTGTTCTTAAGCCAGCTCTTTTAGTTTGTGGTGCAGTTGTACTTTGTGATTAATCATCAACTTCAAATTCATTTTCTAATTCATTCAAATGATCATTTCTAAATTTGACTTTCTCCTTTCTTTTAACTTTAGCTTCAGATTTTTTTTATCTCTCTAATTCTTCCTTAATCTTTTCTTCACTTAGAATCTTCTCCCAATTATCTTTCATATACTAATATTCTTCATAATCTGTTTCACTAATTCCCCCAGCATATAAAACTATTCCATGAATATAAGGATTATCAAATTTTGTTTTTTCAAGATTCACCAACAATTTACCATCTTAAACTGCACCTACACATAATGTATTCTATATAATAAATATAAATGTACATTCTAGAACACTTAACCAGCTACATATTCAAATTCTATATATTCATCATTGGAAGCATACTTTCCAACCTTGGCCACAATATCAAGTTTATCAATTACTCTTTATTCTCCAAATTTAACATGAAAAACTCTTTTTCCTTTCGTATCAAAGTACATCTTTCATTTACTATATTTATATACTTCTGCAAATTTTAAAATCAGAGTGTATGTGCCTTCTTTTTAAAGAGGTATCTAATATGAAAAAGTTTTGTATGCATGTCTTTCTGTTAAATAGATCTAAGGCTCTCTTGTATATTTAATTTGTTGACTAGACACTTCTGAATTCAAACTGTAATCTGCTACCACTGTTTCAGGATCTGTTTATATGTCCTTTAGAAATAAACTTAAATCTATCATACTTTTTCATATTAAATTCCTGAAGGACTTTTATAATTAGATGGAGCACCACAATTTATAGCATATAAGACTTTTTTAGGGTTTAGAGGCTTAGAAAAAGCAAGTGCTAGAATGATGAATAATTATATCATTAAGAATAATAAATTATATATTCATGTATTCACAAAGTTTGTATTTAATAATACACAATCATTCAGCTAAACTTAGAGCAATTAAATAACTAGGAATGTACTCTTTAAATTTAAGATTGTCTTGAGATATATTATTACTAGTATTGACTGTTTAATTAGTGGTAAGTGTTTAGTGCTTTTAAACACGATAAACACTATTATTAAAGCAAGGGGCATTCGAATTCTAGAGTTGAGTAATTTACTTTTTTAGTATTTAATTCTCATTCTTTGATAAATTAAGAGCCTCTTATAATTGATATATGATTAACTCTTGATTATTTTATTACTTCAATAATTAGTTCTCTTTCTTTAATTTAGCAGCCAATTCAGTAAGTTTTGAAGATTCTTTTTCTAAAGCTGCAATCCTCATAAGATATTTGATTTCTCTCTATTTATTTTCTTCACATTTATTCTTATTTGTGATATCCTACATCTGAATTCTTTAAATATTTTCCTTTTTTTCCTGAAAAGCATTAGCTAAATATCCAGAAAGAATGTTAGTATTTTCATTTTAAGAAATACTTCTGTTGTCATGAAAGGAATTATTCACTTTTCTTTTACTTCTATTCACTATTGATAGTATATTGATTACAATCCCCAATAGAAGTATTTTATTTCACTTTAACTTTGTCTCTGCTTAACAATCTGGCACTTTTAATTACATCCGCTTAGACAATTTCTCTAATAGGCTTAACTTCTCTTGAAGAATTGCGGTATTAGGGTATCGAGGTATTTAGGGACATCAAGGTTTAACTGCTATATAATATAATAATTATTAAAAGTATGTCTAGCAAAATTATTAAAAGATAAAATAATCACAATAATATGTCTCAATGAAAACTGAAGAATAAAATTTTTAAGTTTTAATCCAAAGAAAAACAAGTATAATGAAAATAATGACCAAATTTAATCGAATATAATACAATTATCATCCTATTATAATAAATAAATTGAATATTAATTTTTATTTTTAGATCTATATGCTATTACCTCAATAAAATTAGATTAACATTAAGTTTGGTTGTAAAGAATTAAAATTCTAATTGTTTTATTTATCATGATCAAACAAATAATTTATTATTATAAATTGATAATAAATAAATAATTATGAACACAATATAGGAATAAAATAAAGATAATTAGATTGAATAAATTGAGAAGAAAGTAAAGATTGAAAAGCCAAAAAAAGCTGATTTTAGAATGCATGCTCATGTAAATCCATTAAATGAAACCTTATTTCCTTATCCACTTAATTATAATTAAGTAGATTGGTCTTTGCATTATCCAAAAAGATTTGGGAAAGATCCTTTAAAGTTATGTTTGAACACACTAGAATATCCTATCACTTATGATGATGGAGTTAATGCTGAAAACTCAAGATCTATTGTAGATTTTCTTGATATGTATGTATATATATAAAATGATAAAGTGGTTGTGGATTTGGTGGATTATGTTTTGCATTAAGTGAGAATTATCCTGATAAATATACTTTTGGAATGGAAATAAGGGGCAAAGTAGTTAATTATGTGGGAGAAAAAATAAGAGCTTTAAGAAATGAAGGTTAGGCAAACAATGTTTCTGTTATTCGAACGAATGCAATGAGACATTTGCCATAATACTTTAGAAAAAATAGTTTAGAAAAGATTTTCATTTGTTTTCCTGATCCTCATTTTAAAAAGAAAAATTATAGAAGAAGAATTGTTAATCCAGGACTTCTATCTGAATATGCTTATTTATTGAAACAAAATGGAAGAATCTATTGTATTACAGATGTAGAAGAATTGCATAATTGGCATGTTTTACATCTTGAAAAGCATAAGATGGTATTTATGAAAGAATTATAAAAAGTTTAAACGAATTTAAGATGTGGAATAGGATTCTGCTGCAAAACTAATTTGGAATTCAACAGAAGAGGGAAAGAAAGTAGAAAGAAATAAAGGATCCAAATTTATAATAGTTTGTGAAAAAGTGTGAAATAGAGATTAATAAAATACATTAATGTAACTTAAATTAATATTAAAAATAATAAATTTATTATATGCCTCCTAAATAATAATAAGTTGTGAATGTGATTAAAGATGAAGAAACATTTCTGAATCTAATAAGTTCAGAAAATAAAAAGTTGGTATTGTTAGATGTTCACCCTGATTGGTGTGGCCCATGTGAAATGATGCATCCAACATATAAAACTTTATAGACAAGCATAGATGACTTTGAAAAAAGAGTAGACATATACACTTTAGGCTATAGTAAAATTGTTACTTATAAACATGATAAATTTAGTAATATTATTATTATATCTCCTTTTAGATAGAGAGCCCAGCAGTAAACCCAGATTTGTCTTTTATTAAGAAGGCAGATTGGTGGATGAAGTCTAAGGGGCTGATATTCCTGCCATTATTGAAAGAGTTTACAAATATTTACCAATGGTTTATTGATTATTAGTCAATCAAATAATAAATTATTTTTTATTCTTTATTACATTCTTGTATTCAATCATCTATTTACACTTCATTTATATTTAAAATCTAAAATAATTAGAATTTATTTATCAACTATTTATTAAATCTTTTCTACTCTATTACTTTGCCATTTTATTTTCTTACGCGATAGTATAAAATAATTAATAATAAATAAATATCGTTAATGATTAAATTTCAAAATCAACCAGTCGATTATGGTGCTAATGGATATCCTTAACCTAAATATCAANGTGGATTTGGTGGATTATGTTTTGCATTAAGTGAGAATTATCCTGATAAATATACTTTTGGAATGGAAATAAGGGGCAAAGTAGTTAATTATGTGGGAGAAAAAATAAGAGCTTTAAGAAATGAAGGTTAGGCAAACAATGTTTCTGTTATTCGAACGAATGCAATGAGACATTTGCCATAATACTTTAGAAAAAATAGTTTAGAAAAGATTTTCATTTGTTTTCCTGATCCTCATTTTAAAAAGAAAAATTATAGAAGAAGAATTGTTAATCCAGGACTTCTATCTGAATATGCTTATTTATTGAAACAAAATGGAAGAATCTATTGTATTACAGATGTAGAAGAATTGCATAATTGGCATGTTTTACATCTTGAAAAGCATAAGATGGTATTTATGAAAGAATTATAAAAAGTTTAAACGAATTTAAGATGTGGAATAGGATTCTGCTGCAAAACTAATTTGGAATTCAACAGAAGAGGGAAAGAAAGTAGAAAGAAATAAAGGATCCAAATTTATAATAGTTTGTGAAAAAGTGTGAAATAGAGATTAATAAAATACATTAATGTAACTTAAATTAATATTAAAAATAATAAATTTATTATATGCCTCCTAAATAATAATAAGTTGTGAATGTGATTAAAGATGAAGAAACATTTCTGAATCTAATAAGTTCAGAAAATAAAAAGTTGGTATTGTTAGATGTTCACCCTGATTGGTGTGGCCCATGTGAAATGATGCATCCAACATATAAAACTTTATAGACAAGCATAGATGACTTTGAAAAAAGAGTAGACATATACACTTTAGGCTATAGTAAAATTGTTACTTATAAACATGATAAATTTAGTAATATTATTATTATATCTCCTTTTAGATAGAGAGCCCAGCAGTAAACCCAGATTTGTCTTTTATTAAGAAGGCAGATTGGTGGATGAAGTCTAAGGGGCTGATATTCCTGCCATTATTGAAAGAGTTTACAAATATTTACCAATGGTTTATTGATTATTAGTCAATCAAATAATAAATTATTTTTTATTCTTTATTACATTCTTGTATTCAATCATCTATTTACACTTCATTTATATTTAAAATCTAAAATAATTAGAATTTATTTATCAACTATTTATTAAATCTTTTCTACTCTATTACTTTGCCATTTTATTTTCTTACGCGATAGTATAAAATAATTAATAATAAATAAATATCGTTAATGATTAAATTTCAAAATCAACCAGTCGATTATGGTGCTAATGGATATCCTTAACCTAAATATCAATAGATGCCTCCTAAATAACAAAAATAAATGCCTAATTAAGGTTGCTTCCAAGAAACCTTTGGATAATAATAATATTATGGAAGATAAATGATTCCACAATAATAAGACTCAAAAAACTATCAACAACCTTAATAGCATTCACAATAACAAGCACAAAATTATTAAAACTATCCTTAAAAATAATAATAATATCAGAATATGTAATAATAATAATATTAACAGTCATAATAATAACCTCAGTAAAAAGCAGACCCTAGATATTAGAATGTTCAATTCACAGCTAAAGAATTTAATCAATTATTCTACAAGTAATAGTAGCAACAATAACAATAATAATAACAATAATAATAATAACAATAATAATAATAATCATAATAATAATAATAATAATAACACTAATAATAATAAACAAATTAGCAAAAGGGAACTGAAAATTAAGAAGAAAACAAATATCCTTAAACATAAAAAGTAGTAGGAAATGAAAGATAGATTTCTACTTACTCATAAAACCAATAATAATTACTCTAATAAAAATAAGCTGGTGTTCCTGGAAGAATGCAATCTGCAGATCCTGTTTTTGCCTAAAATAGAAATGGAGCTCCATTAACTAATATTTAGTAATGAATAAAAATAATTTCTTAGAAATTAGCAAGCTACAAAAACAAGTTAATATATTAGTAATGGTGGTATTAATAAAACTTAGAATGATTATTCTTAGAGATAGGCTACACCAATGAAAGATTAAATGAAATTCATGAGTAAAAAATTTATAAACCTTTAGACTAAAAACAGGTTCCAGAATAAATAAACCAGCAATTAATGTATTCTCCTATGCCAAAAAGCTAATTACTTAATGAAACAACAAACTTAGCCAAATTATAATAACAATAATTACAATAAAATAAGTCTCCTTAAATTTAGAAAGTTGGAGGTTCAGGGATGGGTCCAGCAATTTCTTAACCTACAAATGCTTAATAAATTGTTGAAGAATTAGCTAAGGAAAAAGAAAGACATTCATTATTAACTGCCAAATTAAAAAAGTTAGAACAAGAAAAAAAAACCTATAACACATAATTTTTAAATGAAATGGAAAGCAAAATTAAAACCTTAATTTAATAAAATGATTAATTACAAAATTTGAATATGGAGTATTTATTTTATTTATTCTTAGATTATTATAAAAGGCTTAGGATTAACCTTAAGGAGAAATCCAAGAGCTTAACAAATAAATTTCATATAATAGTCAACAATTAGATTTCTTGCAAAAATAAATAAATGAGGCTTAAAAGTAATTATCTGAACAAATGAAAAAATACAAAGAATTGGAATAATAATATTAGGAAAAAAATTAAGCTGAAGAATAACAAATCTAATTTTTAGTTACTGATTTAGAAGAAAAAGTACATGGTTTGATTGCTGAAAATGAAAGATTAAATGCCTTAATCGCTTAATAAGATAGTAATCCAAAAAAAGAATAATTATAATAATTGACAAATGAAAAAAACAAACTCATTTCGATGGTATTTTTAATTCATATAATAATAATAGACTTAATAAAGTCAAAAAGAAGTCTAAAATTGGAAAACCAAATATGAATAGTTATAATAAAAGCTTCAATAAGCAGATAAATTCTAAGAACCTTAAGGAGAATAGGTCGAAGCTCTTGAAGAGAAGATTAAGTCATTGATTGAAGAAAATGATTACTTAAATACAGTCGTTCAATAATAAATTGAAAGAGAAAATCAAATTGCATTATTAGAAGAAGAGTAAGCTATAGTCATAATTTTTAGAATGCAAAATCTAGTTGAATAAAATGACAATCTTGAAATGTTACTTCAGAATAGCACTAAAAAATGATATATATATAAATATAATAATGATTATCATGAATATTAATTAAAATTCTTAAAGCTTGATTTTTATAAAAGTAAGACTTCACCCTTCTTTAAATTAAATAAAAAGTTTTCTTTCTTAAAATGGACTAGAATAAAATATGGAAAAAAATTATTTTAATAAGAAAAATTTTTTATAAATTTAATAAATATGCAATATAACTAAGCAAACAATTAATATTCTAATGATCAAATAAGTTAGTAATATCCTTAATAATATCCTTAATAATATCTTTAATAATATCCTAACCAATAATCTCAACAATTTCCTTAATATCCATATCAACCTTAATAAAATTACATGTAAAATTATATTCCGAATGGTCAACACCTATACTAAAGTTGTTATACGAATCAATAATATTAATAAGTGTAGCTATCTATTATTATTAAAATTTAGATAATAATCTTATTTAACTAATGTGGCTATCTTAGTTACAAGCCCAATATTAGTTAGTGCCGATGGACTTAGATATCCTACTTAAATCAAATGTTAATTTTGTTCATAAGTTGGGATCACAAGAGTAGTAAATAGAATAGGCAATGGAACTATTTGTGCATCTATTCTAGTTTTACTTTTTTGTTGGCCTCTATTTTGGTTACCTTGTTGTCTAGAAGATTGTTTGGATAAGATTCATTTATGTTCAAATTGTGGTAAAGAAGTGGGATTTAAATATTATGAATTGTGTTGACACTTTCTATTTTATAAAATATACAATAATCTAAATTATTATCATTTTAAAATTCTCCTACTAAGGTTCTAAAATAAAAAATGGCAAAATTAAACTTAATTAATAATCATATAAACTTTTAAATTATTTTAATTTATATCATATTAAGATACATCTTTATAAAATCATTAAACTAATCCTCATCTATTTTCTTATTCTGAAGTATTTATTCTATAAAATTATATAGAATTCAGTCTTTAAAACTATTATCAATTAATTTCTGTATTTATTAAGTTTAATAAAATGCAGCCGAATACTGAAGGTTATAATTACCCTGTTTAAAATGAGCAAACTAATTAGCCTATGGGACAATAACCTTATTAATAATAACAACCCTATTAACAATAATAACCTATAAATTAAGGTTAAGGAGTTCCTATGGGATATCCGGTTAATCAGTAATACATGCCAATATAATAACAATAACCTTACATAAGTAACAAACTAAATAATTTAGATGGTCCTGTTATAATTTAGCCTGTTATAGTACAATAAATTAGAAGAGCAAATGCAGATGGCTGTTCATTCCCAGCCGACATAATTTGCTCTCATTGTTAAAAACCAGTTCAAACTTTTATAAAATATAGAAGCGGTTGCCATACTTGGCTTGCTTGTTGGTTATTATTTTTATTTTTTTTACCACTTTTCTTTTTGCCATTTTGTTTTGAAGAATGTTAAGATAAAATTCATTATTGTCCAAGTTGTGGTAAAAAAGTAGGAAAGAAAAAATACAAAATGTGTTGCTGAAATTGTTTATGCTAACATGATTTTATTTAAGTTTTATAGATACTTAAGATTTTATTTTTGTTTATTCATTTGAGAGAGTGGATTTTAATTTCTTTGTAAAATAGATTAGCAATAAAAAAGCTGAAATAGCTTATAATCAATAATAAAAATTCATTTATTAGCAAGATAGATATATTGAAGATAAGAGATAAATAAAAAGAAATAGGAAATCAACTGCAAAAAAGAATGAATAAAACATTTTGATTTTGATTGTATATTTGATTATGACATTATTAATCAGATAGTTGAATTCACTTTATTGGATTAAGCAACTAATTATCCAAGCACTTATTCTAATTCTGATTCATTAAGATTTCCAATCAAAGCTTTCTTTTCAACACCATANGATTTAAATATTATGAATTGTGTTGACACTTTCTATTTTATAAAATATACAATAATCTAAATTATTATCATTTTAAAATTCTCCTACTAAGGTTCTAAAATAAAAAATGGCAAAATTAAACTTAATTAATAATCATATAAACTTTTAAATTATTTTAATTTATATCATATTAAGATACATCTTTATAAAATCATTAAACTAATCCTCATCTATTTTCTTATTCTGAAGTATTTATTCTATAAAATTATATAGAATTCAGTCTTTAAAACTATTATCAATTAATTTCTGTATTTATTAAGTTTAATAAAATGCAGCCGAATACTGAAGGTTATAATTACCCTGTTTAAAATGAGCAAACTAATTAGCCTATGGGACAATAACCTTATTAATAATAACAACCCTATTAACAATAATAACCTATAAATTAAGGTTAAGGAGTTCCTATGGGATATCCGGTTAATCAGTAATACATGCCAATATAATAACAATAACCTTACATAAGTAACAAACTAAATAATTTAGATGGTCCTGTTATAATTTAGCCTGTTATAGTACAATAAATTAGAAGAGCAAATGCAGATGGCTGTTCATTCCCAGCCGACATAATTTGCTCTCATTGTTAAAAACCAGTTCAAACTTTTATAAAATATAGAAGCGGTTGCCATACTTGGCTTGCTTGTTGGTTATTATTTTTATTTTTTTTACCACTTTTCTTTTTGCCATTTTGTTTTGAAGAATGTTAAGATAAAATTCATTATTGTCCAAGTTGTGGTAAAAAAGTAGGAAAGAAAAAATACAAAATGTGTTGCTGAAATTGTTTATGCTAACATGATTTTATTTAAGTTTTATAGATACTTAAGATTTTATTTTTGTTTATTCATTTGAGAGAGTGGATTTTAATTTCTTTGTAAAATAGATTAGCAATAAAAAAGCTGAAATAGCTTATAATCAATAATAAAAATTCATTTATTAGCAAGATAGATATATTGAAGATAAGAGATAAATAAAAAGAAATAGGAAATCAACTGCAAAAAAGAATGAATAAAACATTTTGATTTTGATTGTATATTTGATTATGACATTATTAATCAGATAGTTGAATTCACTTTATTGGATTAAGCAACTAATTATCCAAGCACTTATTCTAATTCTGATTCATTAAGATTTCCAATCAAAGCTTTCTTTTCAACACCATATTCTATATATTAAACTTAATTGTACTATATCTAATAAGGACATAAGGGTCGATAGATTCACATTCTCTAACAACAAATGGGAAATGAGGATTGGCATCTTTCCATTGCCAATAATTTTTAGTAACAAGATTTCTAAATTAAAATGTAATATGAATACCTAATGCCTTCAGATCTGCCACAAGTCTAACAGAAGACAAATCTTAATTCTTTTACAGAGTTTCCTAATTATTTGTACCAAGACATATTATTATAATAAAAATAATAATGGGAGGTGTATGTGGACATCATCATCATCAACATAATCATCATCAATTTGCAAAGTCGCCTGGACCTCATAGAACTGGTTGTTCATTTATGAATCCTGAACCGATGAAGTTTAATATTATATTTGAAAATCTTCGTCTTCAATATCCTACTAAGTCTTGTCATTTGAGTATAAAAATAGCTGGACAGATTCTAATGGAAACACCCAACCATATAGATTTAGATGGTAAACATGCTGTAAATAATTAACTAACCTTAGTGGAAGAAAGTTGTCGAAACACAAATATAAGCCAATATAATTGAGCTACATGAGAAGAAGTTAGAATTTTATCTTTTTGAAGAGAAGAATATTATTGCAACTTTAGATATTCCCATTTTTGATATTATCAGTGGACCTATTCATTTTGATTATTCCATTGGTAAAGGTAGGTTGTCTTTCGATATGTAAATGGCTTAAATATTATAAATTGATATAAATCCTATTGAGATTGACTGTAGTTATGCGGAAAGTATAAAAGACAAAGCTTACGTCTTTAATTTGAGATTAGTAACAAGGAAAATGTATTTTACTTCTCCAAATTCTGAAACATTTTATAATCCTGCATATTTGAGAGGCTTTAATTCATCATTAAATAATTTTCTCTAAGAAATGATGTTTAGAACAACTTGGAATAGTTCTTTTGATTTACCTGTTCTAAGTATAGAGTTGCCGTCAAGTGAAATGTATAATAGCTCATTATAGATTTGTATTTGGAGTATCAATAAAGGAAATGAATTTTCATCACCTGGAATTTGTTCAATAAAATCCCTTAAAGAGAAATAAGAGAAAGAATTAATTATTGATTAAAACTTATTTGCAGAAACCTTTATTGCTCTGCATAAACTAATTTAAGAGGACGATGAAGAAGATTTCTAAATGTACTAATAATTTAAAACTACTGTTACTAAAAGTTTATGGTGTAAAGGTAATAAAGTTGGTACCATTTAAAGTAAATTCAATGTCAAGCTACCTAGATTTCTAAAATAGAAGCTAGTAGGTATAAGAACTGAGAATGGTTGCACATTAGGTGTTAATATTTGCAGTTCCAAATCAGTTGCTTAGATAGCAGAAATAACTAATATCTTTTAAAAATTGTATGAATCTATGTTTAAAATGCAATCATTAAGTCACAATGATCCAAATCGAGCTATTTTTCAACATCAAGCCTTAACAATTAGCTAACAACTATTAGTTGAAGTACAAAGGGCTGACAAAGATACTAATTCAAAGCAATTCTTTTATAAAAACTAAGAAGATTTATTTAAAGCTTAAGAATACTTTATTAAAATTGCTGAACAGATATCAAAATACATAGATTAATTGGATGACAATTTAAGAGAAGTCTGTTATGAAATTTTGTTAGTAATTATTGATAGAGGAGAGTTTAGATTGCATTCCTTAGGATATTTTGAAGAATGTAAGCAATTATCAAAAAAACAATTGGAACTCAAAAACTCCGTTAATCTCCATTATTCAGAGTTCATGTAGTAAACTCTAAATTGGGTTCTTCTCAAGGTTCCAATAAAGTCTTAATAGTAAAATGAGAGAAAATTTATGATGAGATTCCTAGTTCTAGCTTTCATTAGAATGTATCATTTTAAAGAATAATTTCTGAAATGTATAAATAAAGCAAACGATCCATAATTAGTAGAATGGAGAGGGAATGAGTTTTAACTGGAAGAATAAGATGTTTTCATAAATGAATAGGTGGCAATGATATTTGATTGGTAGACATACTATTACAATTATCTATCTCAAAGTCAACAATATTAATCAAATCAAAGCATGAGTGAAGAATAATGGAAATTGACATTAGGAAAAAGGAGTTTAGTTTATCAATATTTTATAATAGATTTTTGCACGTACATCCAATACATTTTGTAGAAAAACAACATATAATGGTAGCATGTTCCTGGTTATAAGCAATTATTAAAATCCTTATTAAGTGAATTAAAGTTAAAATAAAAATACACAGCATCCTTTTTTGATTGTGTAATGGCAATATCTAGAAATATCAATATAATAAATATTATTGTAATGATATTATTTAACAAAACAAAGTAAAATTTTTGATATTAATTAGTTTGTTTTAATCTGATTAGGTGATTTAGGTTTTTGATTTATTAAGCTTAATAATAAATTAATGTCCTTAAACATTAGCAGTTTTTGATTATCCATTCTTTTTAAATGGAATAAGAATTGTATTAACATAATCAGAACATGCAATAGCAATAGCAACAGTTTTGGAATTAATTTATACAAATTTTTTGAAATTTCCTATAGAATTTAGAAAAGCATTAATAGATCTATTATTTGAACCAATATGTTTTGAATTATTTCTACATTGGTCAAAGACAGTGAGAACAGTGTTTATGAGTTTTCTTTTGTATCGGATATGTCATCAATATAGAAATAACAAGATTTCAGTAATGGATGAGGATTTATTTGAATAGTAATATTTGATAGCTTCAAAGCCAAGAAAGAATTTCAGTTTTTATGAGAATAGAAAAGAGGAGAAATAGTTAATAGTATGAATATGATAAAATAACTAGGCAGATTATATTTATTTGAAATACACTAGATTTATGATGAATATAGAATAGGTGAAGATTCAATTAAAATAGTTTCCAATCCATAAAGATTTAAGTGTTTTTGAGAATCTAAAAGAGAAACTGGCTTAGAAAAATGATTAACATCAGGAGAACTAGAATATTATTATCTAGGAATAGAGACAAGATGATGATAAGGAAGAATTTCCATCAGATAAATAGATAGTTTTTGAGAGAAGGAACGAATATAGGAATCCAACAAAAAAGAGAACTATTATTTTGTCAGACAATAAATATAAATATTTAAAGGTAGCTTTAAATGAGTTTTCTGAATTGACAAAGCAATATACAAGATGGAGATATTAATCAATGAATATGAGTGGGGATGAATTGAGTCCAGAAGAGAAGAGTTAAGCTTATTTGAACTTTTAAGTTCCATAGATAAAGATATTGGTACATTATGATTAGAAAGAAGGAAAGCAAGATTGATATATTAACTATTTATGTTCTTAATTTGAAGATTTAATTTAAATAAATTAATTATGATACGAGGGTACACATCTGTATTGAGAAAATCACTTTGGTATTTACCATCAATGGGATTCTCAAAGAAATTGGGTATCGGAGAGGCTTCAAGTGTATTAGAAGACAAAATTAAAAATATCTCTTAATTGGTAAAAGAATATAGTGATAATTTAGAATGACATAAAAGAATATGGTACAGTCATATCAATTGGTGATGGTATTGCTAGAGTTTTTGGATTGACATAAGTATAAGCAGGAGAAATGGTTGAATTCAGTTCAGGAGTTAGAGGTATGGCCTTGAATTTGGAAACAGATAATGTGGGTATTGTCGTGTTAGGTAACGACAGGTATTTAATATAAATATAATTATTCTAGAGAAATCTAAGAAGGAGATATTGTTAAAAGAACAGGAGCTATTGTTGATGTCCCTATTGGTATGGAAATGTTGGGAAGAGTATTTGATGCTCTTGGTAATCCAATTGATGGACATGGTCCAATTAAAACTAATACAAGAAGAAGAGTTGAATTAAAAGCACCAGGAATTATTCCAAGAAAGAGTGTCCATGAACCTATGTAAACTGGATTAAAAGCAGTTGATTGTTTAGTACCAATTGGTAGAGGATAAAGAGAATTGATTATTGGTGATAGATAAACTGGAAAGACAGCTATTGCTATTGATACAATCATTAATTAAAAACCAAACTTTGATTCTGGTGATAAGAATAAATAATTATATTGCATTTACGTTGCTATTGGTTAAAAGAGATCAACTGTTGC